TCCGAGTAATGTGTATAACGTTAGGGATATAGTCAGGCTACAGTACATGTAGTCGTCGCTCTGTCCAATGATTCAAAGCTATGCCATACCTACAATTCTTGATCTGCTCTAACCTTAGCACTGTACGTGGAAGGCAAGGGCGCACTACGACTACGACTACACGATGTATAGTACCCCCATTTCACAGCCTAATACGGTATGCATCGTGATGAACTGGTGGTTGTACGGCGTAAGTTGGCCTGGTGCTGCAGCTCGATTAGTTAGCAGCTGAAATAAAGTAAGAGTTGTTTTATTCTGCTGAAATGCAGAACTTGTGTTTAGCGTTGTTTTATCTTCAACCGGGCTTATATTATTTTAAACGTCTGGTTGTTTAACGCAGTTAAACAACGGGCAAACTACATGAAAAGCACAATACTACGTAGTACTAGTACTACAATGTAGTACGTACGTAGTACTATTGCTGTATACACCGGAGTAGTACGTACAGTAGTAGTAGTAATATAAATGGTATGTACAGTACGTCGCCCCCAATGTGAACTCGTCGACACGCGATTCTGTATTCTACCGTTCCCATCAAGATTTAACGAGAGGCCATCTGTCAAATTGTGTTTCCCGCTAAACTTTCGTTGTGTGTCCGGCAAGGCAGGCGGAGCCCCATGATAGGATTCTTGTGATGACGCCGGCATGCTTGGCAGTCCACGCGACAGTTCTTTACTGCACTCTTGTTGGTCTGTACCACAGGGGTCAGACGCTACGGTGAGTGCTTTAGATCCTTTCCACTCCATTAGTGTATGCAGCATACATGTTCAAATCCATGAATTTGCCACCACTGATGGTGGGTATTGTGGGATCTCTAGTAGCCTGCTTAGTAGGTCCAACATGGAAGAATCATGTGCGACATTCAAACGTACGACGATCCGATTGGATGAAACCGACCAATCCGCATGCGACATTCCTGTCTGGGCGTTTGAGAAAAACCTATATTTAGAAAAGATACGGTGAAACCGTTTCAAGGGTCTGGTCGAAGTGTGGCAGCATTCCTCAACACATCGTGGTCATGGTCAACGAGTCTGCCGTCGTGGCCCCGCGGGGAATTGTCGAAACTTCCGTGGAAAAGACGCTCGCCGGGGACTTTACCCTTGCAAAGAAGCTCGGGATCGACCTCGTAGCGGCATGCACGGCGTCGTTGTTTGTGTCGCCCATTATCACCACGATCGACCGCGCCATCATGGAGAATGCCAGCGGGAAGCGAGTGTTGGCGCAAGGTCTTCGGGAGATTTCCCACGACTTTGTGCGCAACCCCCTGGCGTTCATCAAGCGAAAAGACTTCCTCCTCATCTACGGCCTGTACATTGCCACGTACGGCACGGCCAACACCATCGACACCATCAGCGAATTCGCTGGGACCGACAGCGGCATGCCAAAGTTGATCGGTACCACCGCCGTGAATGTCACGCTGTGCGTCGCAAAAGACCGCGAGTTTGCCCGCATGTTTGGCGTCATCGCCCCCACCAAGTTCCCCCTCGCGTCCCTCGGTCTCTTTGCCATGCGGGATGCGCTGTCTGTGGGCGCGACCTTTATCGCCCCGCCCGTCATTGCAAAGTACTTTGAAAAGGCGGGTATGGACAAGACAACGGCCAGTTCCTCGGCGCTGCTGCTGTGCCCGTCCTTGGTATGACTGTTTCCCCAATCTCATTGGGCTCATATGTCTTCCATGTAGGCACAATTGGTGTCCACGCCGCTGCATCTGTTGAGCTTGGACATTTACAACCACAGATCACAACCCATGAAGAATCGTGTGTCGTTCATCTCGCGGGAATACATTCGATCGGCCACTGCGCGCATCAGTCGCACAATTCCTGCGTTTGGCTTGGGGGGGATTGGCAACAAACACTTGCGGGAAGAATTGAACGCGAAGCTGCTGCTCCATTCATCCTAGGTACCGTAGCTAGCTAGCACTCTAAATATATGAAATCACCTTTCAACACAACCACGAGTGTGCCACAATATGTTTGCGGCCATTTAGTCGGAAGCATTCACAGCGACTGTACAGTACAAGGTGCAATTTACCTATGGCCACAACAGCAATTTACAGCTTCACTACTGTACAGTACTACTAACTAGTACATTGTAGTATTGACAGTGAACAGGGTCGTCAAAAAACTAAAACCTACGAGTAAAACCTAGGAGTAAAACCCAGATACTATCTGATTTCGAAGGGTAAAGCGCGTCCCTTTGCGGTTTTTATACACGTGGACTACCCCATCATTTTGTTGGCAATTGGGTTGGTTGGCATGCAAGCTCTACTACCTACATATTCTGCTCGGACACCCTTGGGCGCTTTGATCCGCGGGGATCCTAGGACTTATCGTTTCTGCTGTCCGATAGTACCACGTCGGCATGTCGACTGCGTGGCGTCACTCTCCACCCACAAGTGTGTATCACATCACACGTTCCATTTGCCATGTCACGGATCGTGCGCACCAATGAAATGCCGTGTGGCGTCACGACTTTAGATCATATTACGCGGTCACTTTCGAATCTGCGCTCAACCCAACATACACACAACCCCCAAATGTCTGACATTGTTGTTCTTCCCACCCCCGCCGCCATCGTCGACTCGTCGGCGGACGTGGTCCATGAAGCCGCCAGCCACTGGAGCAGCGCCGTGTTGGACGTGTCTGTGGCCAAGAAAGTCGTTATCGACGTCGTCGCCGCCGCCGCCGCGTCTCTCCTCGTGTCCCCTACCATTACAGCTATCGACCGCGCCATCATCGAGAACGCCAGTGGCAAGCGCGTGCTCATACAAGGCATCAAGGACATCTCGATGGACTTTGTGCGCAACCCGCTGTCGTTTGTCCGCCGAAAGGACTTCCTCCTCATCTATGGATTGTACGTGGCCACGTACGCCACTGCCAACGTGATCGACACGGTCAGCGACGTCATCGAGTCGGACAGCAAGCTGCCCAAGCTCATCGGCACGACTGCCGTGAATGTCACGCTGTGCGTCGCGAAAGACCGCGAGTACGCCCGCATGTTTGGACTCTTCGCTCCCACCAAGTTCCCCCTCGCGTCCCTCGGTCTCTTCGCCATGCGTGACGCGCTGTCGGTCGGCGCGACCTTCGTGGCCCCTCCGATGGTGTCGCATCTCTTCGAAGCCCAGCTCGGCATGTCCGAGTCGTCGGCGCATTCGACTGCGCTGCTCGTGTGTCCGTCGCTCGCCCAGCTGATCTCGACGCCGCTGCACCTACTCAGTCTGGACTTGTACAATCACAAGGTGGCCACCCCCCACGCCCGCCTCGCGTTCATCTCGAAGGAGTACATCAAGAGCGCCGCCGCGCGAATTAGTCGGACGCTGCCGGCCTTTGGCGTCGGCGGCATTGGCAACAAACACATGCGCGACGACATGCGCTCCCTGTGGCTGTAAATAAGTTATATCAACACCAGCGTAGTGTCCAAGCTCACAGAGCCTATTTATATAATATCAAAACATTCTCGATTCTAAGTACTTACTACCGTATACTACGTAGTACTATGTATTGCGACGGATTAATAATCTAAAGAGACTCCTGTAATAACTGATAATTTTCTTGTAATAAATGATATTTACTTGTGAACATGTTGAATATACTTCAAATTTGTATTAACAGTAAGCAATGGATGAACAAAATTTTGGAGTGTAGACCGGTTGTGAAATATCACCTGTCGCAATACATATACGTACACTATACGGTATATACTACGTAGTAGTACTAACGTTACAGTAGTAGTATACTATTAATAGTACGTATAATACTGATTCAGTTTCGAATCGATTTGACAATACTACGTAGTTTACCCTTAACCCGCTAGGATGGACGAGATTAATAGAAAGTGGCGAATTCTCAATCATGCTACTCGGACTTTGTATAGCATATGAACATCTATATTAAAGTTCGTATCTGCCGATTCAGAAAAGTACTTCGAAGGAATAATAATGTATGTCAAACACCAAAAACAAATTGGCCGGCAAACTATACAAATTCAACATGAGAGAATGAACTCTTCAAGCAAGTTATGGTTCAATTTTATCAGATTTAGAGTCCGTCTGACAACCTGAAGTATTACAATAACGTTATTCTGACCCTAAACGCCATTTTGGGGTCGAATTCAACAAATCTTATCAAATTGAAGCATGTCCTGGTCGAAGAGTGTTACAGTTAAACCCAAATCCAATAATTCCAAGTGGGATTTACTCGTTGGGTGGGTCCAAAACGCCATATTACAAAATGGACGTTTTACCACCATTTTGAAAATGACATTATTGGTTTATCCCATTTTGCCAGAAAATGGAATATTATTTTTGAAATGATACCAGATGCGCCCTTATTTGAATTCGACCCCAAAATGGCGTTTTAGGCCTGAATATTGTAATATTTTCGGTTACCAGATGCACCCAAAAGGACAGCCTAAGTCAATCAAATCACTTCCGGTCGAATTTCTGCCAATCCAAACTACTGATTTAGCCGGTAAAATTATCCGGAAGTAGTTTTTTCCCTAACATTACAAGTAGTTTTGCCCACTGTGGATGGACTCCTTGTTTTAGGACTTTATCTCCACCGCAAAACTGAATGTTTTGTTGGGCAAATTTATATGTCCATGTGTCATTCCCAGATCGTGTCGGGCCTAGTTCGACGTGAATGGCCCTGCGACGGCATTGACATCACTGTGGTACGTGCGCGCTGCGCTTTGAAAGTTATCAACTACTACACCATTTTGCGGTTAATTTCGAAAAATATATGGTATATTCGTGGAATCCCATTTAAATTCGTGGAGCTTCATTATATTTCGCGACCTCAGCATTTAGTTTCGTGGGAACGTCGAATTCACTCATTCTACTTCGTGGACTGCCAGTATATTTCGTGATTTTCTCAGTTAGATTCGCAAACATCCAATATATTTCGTGATGAGACCATTATATATCGCATAGATGTTAACGCAATGGGTATATTTACAGCAGGAGTGACGACTGTAGGCTCAAGAATACTTGCGTCAACTGGTCGAAGGTATGCCAACTAGAATGGCACAGGCCATCCTTCGGAATGGTGCAGCAATTGATAAATAACTATCAATTTGGAAGTGAGTCTATAGTTTTACACACCCTAAAAACTGAACAATTGTCGACTTTCAAATAATACAATCTTTGATTGGATGAATGTTATATACACTTGGATCAAACTAACGTTATGTTTACTTGATCACGACGAAGGTTTTGCCAAGTGGGCCTCATAATGAACGGTGGACGGCGCCACCCCAAACGAAAAGGGCAGTGGAACATGGGGGAAATGGGTGGTCAAAATCACCTTGATCAACGCATGGTGGTGAATGGCATGGTGGACGGCAAACGCCATCTCTCTCTCGACGGTCGATCGCAACGTCACTTCTTCCCCTTCGGCCGACAAGCGGAAAGCAGCATGGACATGTCGTGCCAAGAACTTGTCGTCGGCAACACGCGCGGCCAATGCACGGATTGCATTCATTTCATCCATCGCAGCCACTCGATTCGTCTCAATGCGCGTCAGACGATCTCGCACGTCATAGTGAATGGCTGCGTCCGCAGACAGGTCAATGGAACGCCGAAGGTGGTCCAGTGCGTGGCGAACGTGTCCACCCGTCGTGCCTTGGAGCGTTGGGCATCGATAGGTGTACTCGTCGTCAGACAATTGATGGAGAAGTGTGCTTTGCTGGCGGATGATGGCATGAAAGGCATCGCACACAGGATGGAATGAAGAACCAGTGGCGCGTGTTGCCATTTGGCGGCGACACCAAACTCCACCGACGCGCATGTTGATATCTGGCAAATTCCGAATCATCAACAACTATATCCGGATAATTGACGTGTCCTTACCGGACAGAATTAAGATCTGACATGAGAACAAGACAGTACACATTCGGACCTCGATGCATTGCGAAAGCACACGCCTCGGCTAATCACTTGAGAACTCACCGCTGCGCAGATGTACATGTAGACGTTTGAAAGTGTGGCCTCAGTGTGAGTCTCATTACTTGTAGCATGCCCCTTGGGCTCGACATAACTGTCGTAAATTCGAACTTCCAACCATTCTACTCCATTCGGCGCTAGCTTCACGAGTATGGACAGCGTCGCTAGCAGCAATGCACCAGTCACTACTATCCCTTCGCCTCCCATCAGTGCGGATGACCACACCAGCTCGCCATCAGGGCCATCACCCGTCGCCATTCACTCGGTCACTGCCGCCATGACATTAAACAACGAGGCCATTCTTGTCGATTGGTCCTACACACTCGCGAACAACTCGTCGCCCCGCAACATATCCAGTTGGTCGTGTCTCGTGCCATTCCAAGTGCACATGTTTACTGATGAACTCGCCACATCATCTAACGTTAGCGTCGTTGCGGCGATCGAACCGAGCAAACCCATGCAAACTGGGCATGTACGCATCAACGCCTCCTCCACCATCCCCCTTCGTTTCAACCACACATATACGTTCCAAATTGTGTTCCCATCTCTCAACACGACCACCAGTCCAACCATGCAAGACCACATGTGCTCATGGGTCACCACCTCCCACTTGTCGTCGTCGTCGTTGAATTCGACACCCCTAGTGTGGCCACTCCAAGCCAGCACCCGCAGCGACGACAGCTTGGCAACGGACAACGCCACTTCATGGCTTCTCTTCCTCGGCGCCCTTGGCGTCCTATTTGTCCTATTTGTGCTTCGGTTGCTCGTGTTTCACATGTTTCTGCGTCAGAACAACTTGGACCCGTTCGCAACCCTGCCCCCCACCGAACTTGACCTTGAACAACCATCATCATCCCGTCGCCGTTTACCTCATCGTCCGACGGGGATCCAGAAAAACACAACGTCGCAGTCTAAACGAGCGCTCAAGTTGATTGCGAGCGCGGCGGACAGCGGCGCCCCCCCGTCCCCCCACTTGGCCATGCAGATTAAACTCTACAACGGCGAGTATCACCCCGAGGTCGAGCGCATGGTACAAGCTGCTGTCGACTAGTACTAGTAGTACATACTAGCAAAACGTACTATCAAACCCTTGTGTGGTAGGCGAAAGCGATTGTCGCGATTGAAAAGCAGTCGCAACTGGACCACAAAAACAGACTGCGCGACCAACTCCGCCACGCCGACGTCCTAGGCCACCATTTGTCCTCTGCAGAGCGTCAACACACCAAACACCAAGCATTTGTACGATCGACGGCATACTCATTGTCCGATCTACTCTTTGTTCAACGTATCGTTTTCGTGGCCATTTGGAAAGTTAGCCTTCTTATACAGTGCCATGCCTGCCCTAGGTCATCCATTTGCACGACGGCGTCGAACTTCAGATGTTGCACGTGCGCAAGCCATCCGTGAAACCCATGGTCGTGTATGCAAACGACAATCTCACTACGATCAAGTGGCAGGTGGCTCGGAAACCCTCGACGAAAGAGTTTGTCAACGGGGGAGCCCACACTTTGCACTTTGTGGATGTGCAGTCGATCGCGCCCTGGACAAACGAGTTGCCGCCGCTGTTTGAGGCCAAGTACCGGCACTTGTTGAAAGATGGCGCGGACGAACATTGCTTTTACGCGGTGCTAATCGTGTACCTTCATGCCAAGAAACGCACGAAACAAAAGCACTTGCTGCTTCAAGCCAAAGACATCGACGATCAAACCCAGTTGGCGGACACGTTGGCCAAGCTGGTGGCATCTGCCAAAAGGCGGCGGGACAGCCCAGTCACCACCCCATTGCCCCCCGCAGCAGTAGTAGTAGCCGAGCCGACCAACATAGTCGCTGCTACCCCAACGATAGGCGACGAATAATGCGTCTATTATCATGATAATGTAACGTGTCCCCATCACTTGGTGACCGCACCAAGGCAGCAACTACTAGACTATTACAATTATAGCGTGTTGCTGTACATGTTGGTAAACTATTGCGGATGATGTTGGTAAACTATTGCGGATGGTTCTCGCATTTTATTCACTTGGCAGTGTCTTGCCAAAGCCTTGCCTGCACTACGGTATTTGAAAATATGAATCATCATGACCCTATATACCGACGAGAAAGCGAGCCTACATCCTATTAATATCACACAACGTTATCATTGTGAACTTTGTGGCGGTTAACAACTCATGCACAAACCGCCATTCACACGAAGTATGGAGAATGAAGCATCTCCCCCCCCAGTCGTCCACCAGCCCCCTCCTCTGTCCTCTCCCGCTCGTCGCCACACGTCCCCAGACAAAGCCAATTCGTCGAAGCGCTTCCGTTTGACCAAGCGTGCGTCCGACTACCTCGTTCGCGCCGCCGCCCAACCCAGTGCCGCCCCCAGCAGTGTGATCCAAGCGAAACTCATCCGCGGCGACTACCACACCGATGTCGAGCGCATGGTAGGATGCTGCGTCATAACCCCATGACTTCTACAGTTCTACATACTAAAGCCTTCATTCACCTATATTGGATAAGGCTAAAGCAGTCGTGGCGCTCGAAAAGAACCGACTTCTAGCGTCCAAGAGCGCGCGGCGGAGTGAAATGCGGCACGCGGACGTGACATGCAGTGCGTGGAGCCCCGAGGACCGACACCAAGCCCTTCACCAGACATTTGTTTGTACCTCTATATACTTCTTAGTATACGATTACAACTCACGGTTAACATGTCGGCCAGGTCGCGCATCTTCTGGACGGGATCAAATTGCAGCTGTTGAACGTTCGAGTTCGATCAAAGAAACCGACGGTTGTGTACGGCAACGACACCCTCACGACGCTTAAGTGGGGGGCGACCCCCGCTCGGAAACCGTCGGTGACCGAGTTTGCTCGTGGGGGGACTCATACGTTGCATTTCATGGACGTTGTGTCCATCGCCCCCTGGTCGAATACGCTGCCGCCGTCGTTTGCCCTCAAGTACAAGCATTTATTGAGCACAAAGGCTGGTGGTGAAGTCCAACAGGAGAGCGCCACGTCACCCCCCGACGCTGGGGGTGGCGGCTTGCACACCGTTTTGATCGTGTACATACATGCAACGAAACGCGCCAAGGAAAAGCAACTGCTGATTCAAGTCCAAGGCATGGAAGAGCAAACTCAACTGGTCGATTCGTTCTCGAAATTGGTGGCCATAGCCAAGAAAAAGTGAGGAGCCTTTCCACTTTGTGGGTTGGGGCCTCTGGGCGTCGTAGTACCCGAGCAAGTGAAATGTTCACCGCTAACGGCAACTACTGGCGGTGATGGCAGCAATGAACATGCCATTGCAACGGGTGAATGCCACAGTTTGGAACGGATAGATCAAGACTTGGGGGCATCAGACGACGTCGTCGCCACCTCGACATGAGATGATGTAGGGGTGGGTATACCCCACCTCCTATGTAACCCTCCTCCTAGTGGAGTGTGAATATAATTTGCTTGGATGCTCAATAGTTACATCATGGGTCAGGTAGAGGGGATATAGCTCAAGACATCAATTGTGACTTGCCCATCCATCCTAACTTCGAAGTATTACTTACCGACATTGATGAGTTGAGTTGCAAAAACTTTCTGTTCCAGTTGACGGTGATTCTCAACCACGATTTGTACATTGTCCATATCATTTTCATTCCATTCTGTCATACGTAGTAGTATTTATTTGTAACGGCCAGGTGAATTGCCTCCCTGAGACTGTGACTTTATATCCCAACTAATTGCCAAATGACCATTAGTTGGTGTAGAATTCGCAGGCTGGTCGAGGCATTCACTTCCAACTCCCCATCACTTGATCCGGCCATGCTACGACAGAGCAGTTCGTCGCGAATTTTCGGTCGTTCGTTGGTCACCGCGACGGTGGGCAGTGAAGGGGGTCTGCAAAAGAAAAACCCCGAAATGGGGGCCCCAACACAACTGACAATCACCAGAGCTACCCCTTGGGGCGACGTATGCTGTACTCAGGCCGTAGTACATATACTCCTAGGTTTCCCATGTCCCCTATTCCGTCGACTCGATAGTCCGATAGGGTTCTATGCGTCAAAGTCAGCCTCGTCACTTGACTGTGGCAGCAACGACGGACATGTTTCGGTGGTAGGGCCTTCGACCTGTACAGTACACGTCTTTCTTATGAAACAATTCAACACCTTCATTAATATACCTGCTAACACCCATCAGGAGGATGCTCGAACTGGAGAGGGGAGGTGCTGTGCCATCCGTGCCGCCATCAAATGCACTATGGTAGACTAGACAAGGGCCGCGGCATGTTGTCGACGTTGGACTTGGCAATGACGTTGCTAAGAATTGACTTGGGTATAACTACGGACGGTTTCGTTGGGGAGTTATAAGGGGTCAATCAATGTTGCAATATAGGCTGAGTAGCGAATGTTATGACACACATAATGTAACGGTATCGCAATGGTTCATTTTACCAGGTGTTGTAATAATGTCCACATGGGGGCTTGTATAAATCACCTTCCCCGTGTGGCGTTCACGAGAAAGTAGGGAGCAATATATTTGCTACCTGTCTGAGGTTAAACACATTTTTGTTCGCCACATGAGTAAAATAGACAATGATATGCTACTACTGTATTGTACTGGCGAGCTGAATTGCTGGTTGTGGAGGCGCGGTTGTGAAGTTACCGACCAAATAGGCACTTGCTGCCAAGGCTCAGCCAGGGGGAAATATGTATGGTACCGGTCTGGGGAAAAAATAATTGTAATTTAATCGTAATTTTCCCACTGAAATACTACGTAGGAATTTATTTTATGTCCTTGCTGAAAACAATAATTTATTTTCGACAGTTCGATCAGCCCTGATGGGTAGTCCCGGCGGCTTTACACCCAGAACGTGGGCGTGCTGGACCACTCAAATCGGCACTGTTGTCATGACCAAATAGTTCCATGTGCGAATTGGTGTTTTGCTTGAGTTTCATTTTCGAGCATTCCAATTGTTTTGTCGTTTCCTAGCGTGAAATGTACTTCTCTGTCCCAAATTACCTCTACATTTCACCTCGAGTTTTGCCACCAAATCATTTTTATTACCAGGATTCATTTAAATTTGTCCTAAATCAGACTGAAGATCATTGTACAGCGTCAACAGCCTCTTGTGAATAAGCGGGTAACGTTAGTTGCATTGCAGAGCACCTACGTTTTAGCTGGGCCTTGAATATTTACCCTTGGACTTTCCAAATTGTCTCCCACATGAGTCAGTACCCACGTTTGTCATGTTGGGAATTGCATGGCGCGGACGGTTACACTCAGTGACGGTTACACCACGTATACCCAGCAAACTTGTCTGAGCTTTGAAACTGCGAAATTCTACAAGGGTCGACTTATACTACCACCGGTCCAATCAACCAATCACCGCTAGCGGCAACGACAGCCTATCTTTAGGTTGGTTGCTCTGGTCACATGAGTTGCCCTCACTCCAACCACAACACAGCCATGTTGCCGCATACTCTTGGCCCCAAGGCGTCGTCCTTCTGCTCCACGAAATCCATGTCGCCAACCAAACTCGTAAGGCAACGTCAGCTACCAGACCTCCTTGAAACCTTTACCGGTAGTTGGACCCTCCCACTCCCCCAGCGCCACCATCGCCACAGCCCAACCAGCCACAGCCACCTGCACGAACCAACCAACCGCATCTGCAGTCACACCATCTGCTGACACGGCAGCATCAAATGCAGCGGACGATGAGAGCCGAAGACTTTCGTGGCATGATGGCGCTCAAGGAAGATGCGGAAAAGGTCGCCCATCGGTCGTTCGTACGTCGTCCTGGTTGTTGTTAAGCTCTCTAACATTGTCGCAGGTGCGACGGCTCGTCGACGGGCGGACTCAAATCCCTATGTTGAACCACCGCCGCGAAGGATACGACCTCATGAACGTCACGATCGATGCCCACTTGACGACGCTGCAGTGGTCCCCCGTGGTGGTGATGGCCACACCCGATGCCCTCCACCGACAAGGCCAGACAGTTCAAACGCTAAATTTGGAAGATGTCGTGTCCATAGTTCCGTGGACACATAAACTGCCGACAAAAAAGCCGTCCATGACCGAGCTGGAAATGGCGAAGAAGGGCGCGCGCTGGTACTTTGGGCTGTGTGTGGCATATCCCAAGCGCCATCGCACCCAACAGCTCACCATGTTGTGCACCAACGCCGCAGAACAAGAGCAACTGGTTGCGAGTTTCCGAACGCTGACCCGCGCCGCCAAGCAACGGCAAAGTGCCCTGCAACTTTTAGAACGGACGAAGTTGGAGTACGTCGAACCCGTGCGACCCACCACGACCGTCCATCGCCCTTCCATCCCGTCATCGTTGGGGCATAAATGATATCTGAAGCACTAGATTTAAAGTATAACGTTGCAACCATAATCGTTCCGTCTGCTGCATTTCACTGCCTTGCAATCTACTCGAAGTGCCTATGTCCTGGACAAGAAATGCCAAGCACGAGCAAGTTAGGATTACAGTGCATGCGTACTATCACGTGTAACAACCCTACCTAGCCTGAATTTCCATTTTCGGTGTCAGGAGTTCGTAGTATGTTTTTCATCTTGAAACCTCGCCGTCAAAAGTATTTTTCAAATACATTTCCTTAACTGTAAATTAGTGTATTGTAACTTGCCAGAAGAACAGAATTAACGATGTAATAACCGGCAACAGCAACATGTATGAGGGTCCTGGTTCCAGTTCTTTCAGTAGATAGTTACATCAGTTTCATCTACTAATAAGGCGACTCCAGGTTCAGCAGTGTGACCTACCAACCGAATCAACGCCGCTGCTCTTGATTTAAAAATACAAGATAACGTAGATGGCCAGTTTATGGACAGTTTAAGGTGCACTCAATTTGGCCAATGGAATTGCTTGAGTTTTGGAGTAGCCAATCAAATCACTAGCAAAATGAAATCACTAAAAAATAAGCAATAACAGCATACATATTTTAAGCTTAAACCGTGCACCATAACCCGTCCCTCCTATTTTGCCTTGAGTGGATTCGAAGTAAATGAACGCTAAGCTGAAGTCTATTCAAGCCGATTAAATAATCAGAAGAATGCCCAACCTTTCGGCTTCATGCAGCCCTTTTCAGAATCGAAATCCCGGTCCTGGGAGACGAGTAAGCTGCATTCTACAACGAAGTCTCTTTCAAGTGCACCATAAACTGGCCATCTACGTTAGCGTCTCCTACAAATCAAATGGTCCATATACTCTGTATTCCATCATGAGTGCGATGATGTCGCCCGCTCGAAGTCTTTTCAACGGCGCACTAGCAACGGAATGTGGTGCGACGGCATGGCAGGTTGCGTGGGTGTCATGTGCGATGCGGTCATTCCAGGCGTGAGCCGCGCAGCGTCCGCCAGCTGCAACGAGCTCCGGCGTTGCTTGGCATTTCGAATCAACGTGCGAAAACTCAATACGAGTTGCTCTTGTTCCGCGGCGTTGTGGCAGAGCAACATGAGTTGCTGGGGGCGTTGCTGCTTTGTGTAGGCCACACACACACCAAAGTACCAGCACCCGCCCTTGGACGCCATTTCCAATTCCGCCGCGGACGGCTTCTTCGTGGGCATTTTGTGGGTCCATGGCACAATGGACACGACATCCTCGAGCTCTAGAGTTTGCGCAGAACTTGCTTGACGGGCGTCCGGGGAAGACAGCAACGGGGACCACGTCAGCAGCGTTAGGTGTGCATCGATCGACACTTGCATGATATCGTAGTCCCCACGGCGGGGATTGCGCACTGGTATCCGCATACTGCCGTCGACGAGTTGGCGCACCTACGTCACATCCTGAGGAATTTGTTGGGGTATCGACAGGTATAGATAGACACATCGTCGCAGTACAAATGAACGATGGGCTGCCTTCTCGCCGTCTTCTTTTATCGCCATGCCGCGGAAGTCTTCTGGTCGCATGGTGCGCTGTTGATTGACTGGACACGGACGAGCGACGTGGTTTTGAGATGGCAGTTGCGGTTGACTGCTGGTGTTGGGCGATGGGGGCGGTCTCACTTCTTCCTACGCAGTTGCGGTTAGTGAAAATCGTTCTCGACGCCCACGATGGTACAAGTCTGGGTTTCGGTGGCGACGGCGTCCGCGGCGACGAAGTCGGACTCACGTTCGGCAACGCCCCCCTAGAGTACAAGGTCACAGGCTGTTGCTGCTGCTGTAGGGCCTGCTGCCTGGGCGAAGGAACCTTAGGCAACGCCATTCGAGAATAATATTGGGTTTTGCTGTGGAGAACTCACGCCAACTCGCGGTTCAGGTGTATTTTTAGTACTGGTTATCAAGTTGTCGACCGCTTGGATTGGTGCAAAGTGCCAAGGTCGCCGTTTCACACTTTTGACATCCGTGTGGTTCTAGGGACTTTGGCTCGGGCACTTTAGCACGAGCCGAAACCACTTCAATCGATACAGTCAGACAGTCGATACAAACCACAAGGTATTACTTGTTGCGTGGGTCGACGACATGACACACTCTAACGTGCGCGAGGTTGGTGCTTTGATGTGGAAATGGAGTGTTTCGCATGATTCTATCTCCTACACGGCCACGATGACTGCATGGCGTCAGGCATGGCGATAGTTGTTGTTAGGAACGACAATATCCGGATCCGAATACGAAAGATCGCGACCTTTCGTCTCGACTCAAGTGATTGTAACGTGGGGCGCCAGTCATCGGCTGAGACAGTGGCGCTGTTGTAAGCCAATAGAAATCCCCAAATACCGCAATATCTCTTACCAGGATTGGTGAAAATCAATTGTCCTGCAACGTCTGGCATGTACAGCACATTGCAAGGGATTGGGTTTGTTGCGGGGGTCAAGGTACAGCACCTTATCCCATCACGGGTTGTATCAACCCATGCGAGCTTCTTCGGTCCCCATGTGTGGCCTCAACCGAATCATGCATTCATTTGTGTCGAGTACTATTGTTGTCCGCCGTTCGCTTCTTGGCAGACTGAACATAGCGTTGAAAGCTCGTCACCACTTGCACTTGTTCCGCCTCATCGTGGCACTGAAGCCAGAGGCGAAGCGTGGGGGTGTCTACCCACACACCATGCACGGGCGACACTTCAGGCGCGGCTGGCTTGGTCAAGGCATGTGGCCATTCGTCGCTTCGCTCAATGGAGGTCACGCTTTCAAACGAGACTTGGACGACCGGGGATGAGTAGAACAGCCAAGAGCGCCACCATCCAATGTCCCCCGTCGTCGTTGGTGTCCACGACAGCGTTGTCAGTTGTGAATCAATAGCCATCATCGGTCCTCCTTCCACTTGATGGGGCTGGGTTGGGGTTGCTGGCACTTGTCGGACTCGTTGAAGCTGCTTGTTGTTTTCGACGTACATGGAAACCAATCGCATTCCGTCCATCAGAACCAATGTCTACACTACTCCATGAGTCGATCGATAGCATATACTAGTAACCAACATGTCATGCCATCGTACAAACGTATGGTGGGCGGCCATGGCCTTTTCGTCGTCCGTGAGCCGCCGCCCGCTCACATCTTCGCGCTGATTCCGCGTCCGGCGATCCACCTGCTGTGCAATGCGATGCTGCTTGTTCACTTGCTCGATCGTGCGAGCCTACGAAGATAACAAGTTGCTGCTGATACTGGCTAGGATGAAGCCTTCTAAAAGTGTGTCACGCACAAGTTTGGACGAAGGACATGCCGAGTCGACGGAAAGCTTCGCCGACAGGACACACAAGGACTTGGATACCGCCGCGTGAACAGACGCATGCGCTACCCGCTGCGACATACTAGTATTCCACGCAAGAATGGAATTCAAAGCCTTTTGTATCGTCGGCTAAACATAGCTTTCAAGTAGAACTACATATATACTACGTAGTATTACAAGACATTCAAAACACATGTATTGTGCTTTCGAGTGAAATTTCGTGTTGTGGTTTCTCGTTGGAAGTTAAATTGATTTGATTGGCTACTTCAGATGAGCTCAAAATTACTAGCCAATCAAAATGAAATTCAACCAATCAGATCGATTCTGGATCGGTTTGGTCGGCGCGATTCGATTGCACCCCCTCCCCAAATTTACTAACTATAGTTAGTTACTACGTAGTACTTCGAAATACTAACTACCTAGTTAGTTTGTATTAATAGTGTATGTATTTGAGGGACTGAATTAATTTAGTGTGGATGCATCGACCTCTCCCATTGGTCTATCTGAAATTAATAGTCGCGGATTGGCTGTAATCCATATTCGATTTTTCGAAGTGGATAATTAGCCAATCAAATGTCTCGGGCTCGGTTAACGCACGATGAAGAATCAACGATATATTGTCGATTTGATACACCCATGAGTAGGTAGTACTAGTACGTCGAAGTACAGTAACTAACTATAGTACCCATGAGCGCAGTGAGAATTACTTCGAAGTATGAAATAGGTCCGCCATACATGATTACGACAACACATTTGCTTTTCATGTGGCGGCGGCGGCGGTTCCAGTCGAGAGATGATGGATATGAGTGTGTCTAGAGGTCCAGGTAGAAGTGTTGTACTTGAACGACGTCCATGTATCTATTTGATCGATCCAGTGCCGTTGGTTTGCACGAGGTGTACGAGCTGGCGGCCGCGGACGTACACGTGGACAATGTTGCGGTCATCGCCCAAGAACAAGAACTTTTGAAACCGGCTGCTGCAGTCGTCGTGGTCGTGTATGTCAACGGCGCTGTTGATGCTCCCTAGATCCACGACCAGCATGTCGAGCTCCTTGCCTGGGACAAAGTTGCCCACAACATCATGCAAGCCGAGGCACGCGGCGCTGCCGACTGTGGCCAAGTGGAACGCTTCTGCATACGTCAATGGCTGGTGCGTCGGCGATGTGAGCGCCGTCACTTTGGATGCAATGACGGCGTGGCGGATGGCGTCCAGCATCGACGTCGAGTACCCTGCCGACACATCCGTGCCCAACCCCACCTTGACGCCTTCGTTAAGCAATTGGCGTACGTTTAGAACACCACTTGACAAGGAAAAGTTTGAGTTTGGACCTGCATACATACATAATAGTGACATATTAGTGACACATATTGTCGATTTGGTACAAATAACATGGGGAGAATCGCGCCAACCAAACCGATCTACAATCGACCTGATTGGTTGAATTTCATTGAGAAATGGGTTTTGATTGGTGAATACTTTGGAGCTCATCTGAAGTAGCCAATCAAATCGATTTCAAGTCCAACGAGAAACCACAACACAATGAAATTTCACTCGAAAGCACAATATTAGTGTTGGGTTTACAATGGATCATGCTTGTGCCGCGATTCTTCATCAACGACCGTTCGTCGTGGGTGCACCAAATACAGTGTGCCATGTACGTGCGGTCGTTCAGGAGGCCATGGCGGTCGTACACCTAGGTGCACGCCACAAAATCATGTCTAGGAATACTACTACTAGTACATGGAGTGAGTTAGTCAAACTGTACGTACGTACCTCGGCATAGCTGGAGCAGTCGGGGTGCAGCGCCTGGACCCATTCGATTTCCTTGGCGTTTTCAGACAAATGCGATTGGATTGGTAGCGTGTGCGTGTTGGAGAGAGCGGCGAGGCCAGTCATGAGGGCCGACGACGTGCTACAAGATACGTGAACGTCGGAATCGGGGTGATGGACGATGGACCTCGGGACAAAGCGGGGCGTGATCACGGGTGTGAGCAGCGAGTTGTGCTTGGTTGCAATGTACTCAATGAACGACGTGGTGTCGGCCAACGATCCGTGGGTGGATTCCGTCAGCTCGGGCGTCGCGTTGCGGTCCATGTTGACCTTCCCAAGGTACCCGCGTTGGCCAATGTCGTGCACGATGTCGGCGAGAACTTTGCATGCTTCGAGGTGGATCGTGGCAAAGTACGAGCAGGTCGTGGTGCCGTTGAGGACGTGCCGGGTCACGGCCTTGGTGTACATGTTCCTGGCATATCTACAACCGCGCATGAGACCAACATGGACATAACAAAGTCGCGTTTTGCATGCGATCGTGACGTACGCTGGATCGGCGAATTTTGCTTCATGGGGGAACGTATATGTGTTGAGCCTACACGCGTCGTGGCATGTCAAATACAACGGGGTGTTCTTGCACTTCCAGGGAACTTACCAGTCCAAGAGCGGGAGGTGCATGCCCACACCTAAGAACGAGTACTGCGGCGCGTGAGCATGCCCGTCGATGAACCCAGGAATGAGGAGCTTGTCGTTGTAGTCGACGAGCTACACACAACACGGACGATGGCGTGAGAAGGTGCACCCCAGACCCGGCAATAAATGCGAGGACGGACATTGTCAAAGGCGACCGAATCGAGGGAATGCGTCGCCAAGTCCACCACGTATTCGATCGTGCCTTTTTCGTTGACCCCAATGAGTCCTGGGTTCAGCATCTCAAGCTGTCCCAATGCGAGTGAGTGGACGACAACTCCTTTGTACGCGGTGATCGGCATGCTGGTGGTGTGAGGGGAATTCAAAAATGAGGCACCTAAGATACAGTTACTATTGTTTGAAGGGACATTTCCGTGGATCAAAGTCTGGCTATCCGCTTATTATGAGGATATGGGCATAACATCTACCCTATTTAGGCATTCAATATCCTAAATATGTAGAATTTCAAGGCTAAATTAGGTATCTCTCACACGATTTCCTTGTTTATTGTGAGCTGTTAGGTTATCGTTCGAATTCATGTCATCCACAATTAGCTGACCAAATTCAGAAGTAACTTAGTACACTGTACTAGTAGTAATTAATATACAGTAGTACTGTATACTACGTAGTATTAGTAATACTAACGTTAACAGTAAGAGCACTACTGTATATAGTAATGAATTCGTGCTTTTCAAGATGCTCTTGCCTCAGCCATACTAGTATGAAGCTCTCATACTTAGTACTAACGTTATATCGAAGTACTACGCTTGTGTCACCACATGTGTTTGCCTTGTGCGGTGTTTGTGTTTGCGTTTATGTGATTTTTGGGGGTCCCCCATTGTGCTAGCATGAATATTCAATCTTTATTTGCTCAAGAACAGTAACGTTAACAGTAAGCTTTCCGCCTTGCCGCTCAAGATAGTGCTTGCCCTTCATGCTAGATATCAAGTGCGCAGTTCAATGCAGTAATGAGTCGTCTGAGCTCAATAGCATTGCACGAATTCATGTAAGCTGCAGTGAAGCAGCGTACTGTATGCATGTTGACATGAAGGTCGTCCACGCATTTCATGTAAACGTTTGGTAAGGGACCAACACTCCAAACCTAATCCGGATAAAAGGACCAACACCAAGCAATACCGGATACGAAATCCAGTTGACCGCCACAGTTAGGATTGCATTCTTGAGGATGTCGTCGCCTAAAAAGCCGCGCCGCGTGGGCGGTACATCTAACCATGGGCGCATTCCCATCCCGGAGATCTGGCACATGATTGTCCGCATGTGCGACCTCGACACGGCGTTCAACGTCTGCCTCGTGGTCTTCTCGACTCCAAGCTTGTGGGACGTGGCGACCGACGTCGAAGTGTATGGAGACCTCATCGAAACGCATTTTGGTGCGAAGCGCATCTTTCCCCCGGCGGCGTTGTGTCCACCCGCGTCAGGTGTCCCGAACTTCCGAGCATGCAAAGGGTTCCATCCGTCGGATGAGTTTGTCGAGTTCTGCGAGACGTACGGCGAGCGGACGTTGTTCTCCAAGGTTGACATCCGTCAAGGCGACATTGGTCGCGTTGTGGACATCGACGGGGCCCCCCTGGACTGCCTTGTGTTTCCGACCAACTACACTCTTCGAAACGCAGGATCGGGGGCCGCCGTCGCCGTGTTCCGCCGCGCAGGGTCCGGTTTGGACGAGTATGTCGAGAGTTTGCATTTCCAAGGGCGCGAATCCAATGCCGTGGTCACCCCGGGGTTCAATGCGGGCGTATCTCATTTGATTCATTGCGTCGGGCCTTCTCCCCATGCCATCGGAAGCTTTGCGTTGCTCTACCAGACCTACTTGAACGCGTTCGAACAAGCGCGACGACGGAAAGTACGATGTGTGGCGGTGGCGTCCATTGCCACGGGGGCGCTGGGGTTCCCGCTCTCGGCCGCGACCAAGCTGGCAATGCGCGCCGTCCGCGACTTCGTCAAGACCCATCGATGGGACGCGAAGGTGGTGTTTGTGTGCTGGGACGTCGAAGTCACCAACTCCATGCGCGCCGCCAAGGACGAAATCCTGGACGAGTTCAACGATCAAGCGTTCCAAGTGCTCACTGTGGTATAGACAAGAAGTTCAATAAGGGTCCTGTATTCTTAATATTATTTTAAATGTGTTGCTAAATCTCTACTGGGACGATGGGAGTTTGGTTTAATTGAAATGGCGGGGTTGGTTGAGGCCACGGCTGAATCGTGGGCTCTTGGCGTGCTGTTGATGCGTGGGCGTGAGCTTCTTGTTGCGTAGCGCGCGAAACGCGGCTTCTTCGTCCTTGGACGTCTTCATCAAGATGTTCCAGATCGTCGACTCTTGGCTGCGGCGGTTGTCCTTGAGTTCGTGGCATTTGTCCGCGAGTTTGCGGTGCAATTCCTCTTGCATGTCCAGCAGTTCCAACTCCGCGAGCAGTTCGTTCATTTGGTCACACGCTTCCAGCTCTCGTAGGTCCGTTTGCGTGAACGGGTAGAACGCCGGGTCAAACAGTTCTTCGTCGGGGACTTCGCGGGTGTAGAACTCTTGGTCAAGGATGACAAACCCGTCGGCGTTCACGACGCCGGGGGAGTACGGGATGTTGAACGCCTGGATCACGTCGTCCGTGATGGCAGTCTTCCAGCCGAGCGTGGGGTAGAAGGGAGGCGCATGGACGTTCAGCTTCATGGCGGCGTGAGATGGCATTTGTAATGACCTGGAGAATTGGAGAATGCCAGAAATCTTGGCTCGCGGCGGCCAACTTGAACTTGCGATGCACGCAACTCTCGGTTTGAAAATTGAGCCAATCAAAGCTCGCAAGAATGATTTGTCGACCAATGAAATGCCACGATTTAATCAACGCTGCCTCCCAAGGTAGAACTTTGAGTTCTTATTCGATATCGTTGAGGTATACTCAGTTCTATATAAACAGATATTTACCCGAGAGGTCGCCATCTCCTTTGGAGGTGCATATGATGTGTTGGGGAATGCCACACCCTTCATCTCCACGCCCCTATCATCCTCGGACTAAGCGAAAATGGTCATTTGACGACGACGCCATAACGTTACAGTGCTACACCTTGCGCTCCTTTTAGCCATGCCCATTGCGCTGCTATGTATGGCCCAGTTGCTGCTATGTTATGGCCCAGTTGCTGCTATGTTATGGCCCAGTTGCTGCTATGTTGGGGCAATGCTTCTCATAGACACGTGGTTCGTACAGTGTAAGTACTCACTACGAGTAGTAATACTCCACTGTATACTAGCTAGTACTACCGGTACAGTATGGCTAGAATTGTTGTAGTCGAATTATCCGGACGACGAACAATGGGAAACACGTTATTCTCGTTGATTGGATTATATTTGACGCAAAAACATTTAACGCACGCAATGTTTTCTTCAAGGGAAGTTAATCCGGATATCGGTAGGGGTGTGACGGAAAGGCACTTCCGTCGCCACCAGGAAAGAAGATGAAGCTAAATCCGAAAGCCGCGTCATTTGTGCCGACGTTTGGCACGTGGGGTGTGCCGCCACCTCCGGTGCCGACAGACAACAAGGTCTACTACGACGAATACGTGGAGGAGTCTTATGACCCGAACGCGTACCCGTCTCAAGACTATGACGACGACGGCGGCGACGACGAGATGAACGAACTACTAGCAGAGATCGAACGCATGCAGATGGAAGCTGACTTGACACGGGAGTTGGAATCATTGAAGGCGCAGGGACGAAGTGATGATGCGGATTTGTGGAACAAGTGGATGGCGGGGGCGCCGTCTCCCCGAGCCATCACATACCAAGACGACCACACTCCGCTTTATGCCCAATCGGGCCACCACAACCACCACCAAAGCAACTCGTCCCCCCGCCACCACAAGAAAGCGAGTCCGCCTTACGCACAGCACACCAGTCGACATCACTTTGCCGACAACAGTCCCCGTCAGAGTCCACGAAACAGCGGCGCACCGCAGTACCAGCCGTCGTCCCAACCACGAAGTAGTTACACCAGTCGAGCAATATACCAACCCCGAGCGTCCAACTACTAGCCCAGGCATAATGTAGTAAGTAGCTCACGCGTACAAAGGACAATACGTTTCCTGCTCATGTTTCATCATGCCGTCCGTATTCGTGTCCACGTCGCATTCAACATCTACGACGAGGACATCTAGAGCTTGGCCGTCAACTTGAGCGCTTGGTCCGCTTCCATCACATGGCGCATTTCAAGCAAACTCTCTTCGAGCAAGTGGCCAAACGACCGCGCCACCGACGGCTGGCCTTCGATGGACTTGCGGCACGCAATGTTGAAATGCACAGAGTTCTTCTTGATGCTGTACGCAATCCCGACACCATCCGGCACAACTTCGCCCCATCCCCACCCGTCAAACAAGTCGTGGGTCAAGTGACTCGTGGAAATCTGTCCCATGAACGATGACCACATGCCGCAGCGTCAGGCAGTCAGTCGTACCTGCCAATACTTGGACCGGGCAAACACTGGGTCGTCAAACAGGGCGGCCGACTCGCCAGGTTGCAGGCACAGCCGAAGGCCCAGCAAGTGGCGGTCCACGCCCTTGGATTGCGCCGCAATCTTCATGTACTTGACATGCGCGTTGCATGCATCGCGACACAGTCCCGCCTGTGCCGTGAAAAAGCAATATTGTTTGTTGTTCAGGCAGTAAAAGCCAAAAATAAACACTCGAGCAGTGGGTTTGTTTACACATGTGGATGGGGCATTCATAATTATATATACAAGGATAGAACAACCCCAGCGTTACCTTGACGGACAGCTGGTCCACGGGGCTGGTTTGCACCATGATGTTGGCAAATGCATGGCTCGCACTCGAACAAGAGCGCGTGGTTTCTGTCCGTCCGTGTAAGAACACGCGCACTTGCGATGCTTCGTACGTAGCTACTGACTTGCCCCAGTGCTTTCGGCCCTATACATGTATATATTATATGTTATATATCCACGCAACCACAGATCAACATGGCTCATGCATCGTTCGTTCACAACATCCTTCCTCATGGAGTTCCAAAGATAACGAAGCAAAGGCATGCACCACATGAACCATACAGCCAGGGGGAAGACACTTGGCGTACCGCCAGCTGGATAGCCATCTGGACAAACGCGTCGGGGCTGCACTGAAACGACTTGATCGCGTGGTTGCCATACCCAAAGAACGATTCGACGTGCACGTCGTGGCCGGCGACGGTGGCGTCAAACGTGCGTTCGGCCGACGCGATCGCTTGCAACGTTGCCGCCGACATGTGGACCTTGAGCGGTGTGACGGCCGGCAGGCGCGCCACGAGCGCTGCGTGGGTCAGCGTGGTGTCCCCCAGGTCGATTGTTTGCTTGTGGAGCCCCGTGAGGATGAAGTCGGCGTACACGGACATGGCCATGCCATCCAGCATGGAATGTTCGGCCAACAAGCCCGCCTTGCCGTTGCCAAACACGACGAGCTGAATACACTTGTCGTAGAAGCGATTGCGGCCATTCCCGTGCCACAGCGCGCGGGATACGTCCGTGCGGGATGTGGGCGCGTCGTCGTCCAGACAGAGCAAGAGCACGGCCGACTCGATGTCGCGCAGAGTGGCGGCGTTGCCATCGGCCAGCAGTTGAGTCCGTGCGTCGGCCCACACGTCGCGGTTTTCCGAGGACAAGACACCGACGGATGACTCGATCGACCCCGCCACGTCCAAAATGTGCGTGAGGATAGACGTCCATTCCAAGAACGACAGCGGCGTCGGACCTTGATGCACCTTGAAGAACTTGTTGTGGCGCATCACGACCACGTGGTGATGGGTCGATGGGTCGTAGATCCTGTACGAATCGGCGTCGCGGCGAGGGATGCGACACGCGTTGAACATGTACTTGTACGCCGTTGAGCAGAGCGGAGTCTGGCCTTTCCCCAACGTTTCCGGCGGCCGAGTGCCCGACGCGACTTGGTTCCGAAACGCCATCGACGCCACGAGTAGCGACGCAGCTCGACCCACTTGCGAACGCTGCGCGAGGTGCACACTGTCGCTGAAATGGAAGAAGTAGCTCACGTTGAACACGACGGGATCCCGCACGTGGAGGTACCCCAACGTGTTCCACCACTCGGCCAAGTACGACGAGTTGGGTCGCGATGCCGCGCGTGCTTCAAGGCGCTTTTGAAGGACCGGCCCCAATGGACCTTTCAAAAAAGCCTCGACAGCCGCTTTCGTTGCGACGAACTCTGCATCCGTCGTGAGGGGACGCACCGTTTGCAGGTACAAGGCACACGTGTCGGCCAACGACGGCACGGGCAGCTTCGGGAGAGACTTCTGGTGCTTGTACAGCTGTTGGGACGCGACTTCCAGGTCTTCCTCCTCGCGGTAGTCTCCCCAGCACTCGCGGAAGCCGTTCGGGTACGATGTCATTGGATCTTCTTGTTTTGCGTTGACTCGACACGTCGAATTGTGCGCCAAGATACTCTAAGAATCGATACCTCGTGGCTGTACAGTATTAATTATAAGAGGTTTTGACCTTCAACTTCAAGTTGCGCCACCACGTCGGGGACGTCATTTCCATTTTCACGTCGGACGGACCAAAGTATGTACCTGCCGGTGAAGGACCTCTGCAAAGTTGACGGACAAGGAGCATGAGAAGGAGACAACCTTAGTTGCTCCTAGCGCAGCAGGTAAGGTTGGATCCTCCATGTCGAGCCCGTTTGTGGAGAATGAAGCATAGCGATCTGCAATCCCATGTCTTGGGACCTGATGAACTCTAGAGCTAGAGATGCGTTGGGCCCATATGTGCACAGATGTCGGCGTTAGTTTGGCGGCAAGCTGCCACAAATATTCGGGATCCTCATTGCGTGATAGCAACGCAAGGAGGGCTCCCCATTGTCATGTACATTTTTTCATGGTTTGAACTTTATCCCACCTAACGTTGTTTCATGTGGAACGTCGTCCAACAGGATGAAGTCAAAATGAAACGACGGGTGACAAGTGGCATACTGCGCAGAACTCAATCCTTCGAACGAGCTCGACACCGGTAACTTCCAGTAGAACTATTCGCGGCAACACTCGAACGGTCTAGGGAATGGCACCATTCCTGCTAAAACATGCTCGTATCGGAATCGTCTCGGCGGAACTTCTTCCACTTGACCGCAAAGCGCGTTTGCGTGGGTGGTGGCCCCATATCGTCATGCTCGTCTTGATGTTGTTGTGACGCTGTCGTAGGTCTCTACAAAAGCGATCGTATCACCATCAGGTACACGAAACTATTGGGAACAAGATACTTGGCTGCTTCGGTGGGCCTCCACAGCTTGGCCCCATCGCGTGGCTTGCATTGTTCGAGTCGTCCTAGCCTATTGATCGAATATCCCCACAAGCGACACTTGAGGCCGTGCATTCCGCGAGGTTGGTGTCCATGCTGCCCACCAACCTGGGACGAAATGTGCGTATGCTGTTGGCTAACGGGCGCTGCGGTGGAGGGATTGCGTGGAGACGTCGATGGCGGCGGTGTCGTGGCGAGTTCCGTGAGTACCAAGTGGTTCAAGATCACGTGTTCATGCTGGTAGTACTCTGTCGTGGGGTCCGCACTGAAGCTCTTGTGGAGCACAGATTCGTAGCCGAGCATCGAATCAGCCGACTTGGACGTTTCAGTGATGTACACGGCCACGACCGCATCCTGCCATCCCATACATGAGCATCATCATCATGGCGGCTAGGTATGAATGTACCTACCTGCACGGTCACTTCGTGCCGACACATGAGCTTTGCATGCGCCTATATATATACGCCAAGCGTACTCCATGAGGTTGTTGTGCCAGGCATGTATTCTCGTTCAACACATGGCGACATTATCGCACTTGAGATATCCGAGTCAAGCTCTCCAGGAGGCGAATCGTTGTCCGCGCGGCGTTGCGCATGTCCGACGACCTCTACACTCACTCATCATGACTACTACTACAGTATGGTGACAAGTATTATCATATTTAGACAGATGAAATATGCCCCCGTTCGAGATAGATACACAAGAGAGGTCGGCACTCATTATGTTGGTGTCGTACTTGCATTTGGTAGTATCGCTGCAGCACCGTCATGGCACTGCGGGACAGTCGCGGATGGAACGATTCCTATATATATATATATTATTGTATATATACATGAATCCACAAAGTATACACACGACAACAACGAACGACGTACTTTAACGTAGCAGAAATATGCTTGCAACTTGGCCACGCTCCATCTTTTTTGGTGGTCCAACGAGGAAGGGCAAGGATGGGGGGGTTGCGACAGGTCTGTCCACATATCCGAGTCTCGTGATGATCACAAGCAGCAGCAGCAGCGTCGGTAGTACCTGAGTTGTAGGGCTCGGAAGTGAAAAGCGACGACGACGACGACGACGACGAGGATGGCATGGCTACGTCTGCCGTGACTGCGGCTTGGTCCAAGATGAATCCCGACACTCGTTCGTCCCACTATAACAATATCTCAAGTGTTGATAGAGACGACGACGACGACATGGATGAGGATGTGACGTCATAATAGTATCAACGTACCTCTTTGTGCACCGTGTCCAACAGCACCAAAATTATGTCAAACCGACTAGAGTATGATATGATCAAGAAGGAAGGTCATGAGAAGGATATATATATATATTATCAGCTCGTGTCTGTACTTTATATCCAAATCACCTCCAATTGCATATCAATATATATATATATATTTCACAAACCCCCCAATGAACATCACAAGAAGTCAGATCGAGTATATTGACACATAGAGGTAGTAAGTATCGTATACCTCAGCAGTGGGCTTGCAATGGCAGTGTTGACAGACACGTCGGCGTTTGGGTCGTATCTACATTAAATATATATTTATATATATATGTTATTGCTCCACTCTCAGGCCATTCATTAATTTATGTTGATTGGTTTGTATCATGTACTTATTTAGAGATAATCGTACCGGCCTTTGGGGTTGGTGACGGCAAACACTGTTGTGCGCGTGTTGAGTTGGCACACGAGGCCTGCCTTAGCCACGCTGAGCGTCTGCTGCTCCATCGCTTCGTGGATCGACGCCCGGTCGTGTGACGTGATGCTGCTGAACTCGTCGATGCAGCACACCCCTCTAAGTCCATTCTCGTCATATATATATATATATATATATATACTTGAATCAGATGTCAATATTTCAAAACACAACACGCACACAATATATCATTTGCTTTTGGAGATTCGATCGGACTGGTGTTTAAAAGTGAATAGATTTTTCTTCATTTATCAATTGTTAGTGTACAGTAGTACCTATCGGCTAGGACAAGTGCGCCGGCTTCGAGCATCCACTCGCCACCATCCTTGACTGCCGTGCAAGTGAGTCCAGCGCTATAACATCAATACCCAAACTTACAATATCGGTCCGTTCATTGTCGTGATTGTGATATATATATATATATATACTGTATATAGAATTAGCGTAATATATATATTACTGTACCTCGTTGTGCCAATACCAGTCGTCAAGACTGACCGCGGACTCAATTCCGCCGTAAAGCGGAGAAACTGCGACTTGCCTAATCAACGGTCAGTCAGTGTGTATATATATACTTCAATATTGTATATTAATATATAAATACATATAAAATAAACACTCGATCGACGGTGTGGGTCGTAATATCTACCAGTGCCGGGATCGCCAATCAAGAGCATATGCGAGTCGCCGCGGGTCTTCATGCCTCGGTCGTCCACGTACGCGCAGCCGCCGATCACCGTGAGCGCCACGGCCAGCTTGACCTACACACACACATTACAATATATATATACAAATATATATATCCAACCGTACAATAAACAGCCCATACACTTGGGGGCAAATGCTCGACAGAATCACATCCCGACCTGCCAACGGCGTGTCGTGATGAGCATGCCAAAACTGATCAAACTCGCGGCGCAAGTCGTCTGTGACCATCGCCCGCGCCGCGCCGTTGACGTTCTTGAGCCGAATGCTGCTGGCTTGGATCACTGTTTCCTACGTCAAAAGACTCTGTCGTCACCTCAAACGTCCAATCCACTCGATATATTCATAGAAGTCGATTCGAACTGGAATTATATATTAGTAATTAATTCGATTTCAAAATAGACTGGGGCTGCCAATCGAATCGAAAAAATACTTCGAAGTATTGTGCTTTCGAGCGAAATGTCGTGGTGTGGTTTCTCGTTGGAATTGAAATCGAAAGTGATTGGCTACTTCAACGAGCTCAAAATTATTAACCAATCAAAACCTTCTAAATGAAATTCAACCAATCAGATCGATTGTCGATTGATTCGATTGCATCCCCCCCCGTCCCCGTATCAAATCGATAATAATCGATGGAACGAAGTAGCCAATGAAATTTTCGAAAAAAACCCTTCGACCAATCAAATTGCACGTGCATTGCCCCAAGCTTCTCCATTTCACAAAGAGTTCAACGTTGTATATCGGATTCACAGGGAGTATATTTAGTTTAGGTAAAACGACGTGTCGACGATTTCAGGTGAATTTCACGTCTTTCGTCGAATCTACCGAATTAACATACCAAATTGAGCTTGAAAGCACAAGAAAATTCAAATCATAACATCATTTGATACAAATTTGGGGAGGGAGTGCAATGGAATCGCGCCGACCAAACCGATCCACAATCGATCTCATTGGTTGAATTTCATTGAGAAGGTTTTGATTGGCTAATAATTTTGAGCTCGTTGAAGTAGCCAATCAAATCGATTTAAATTCCAACGAGAAACCACGCCACAACACGATATTTCACTTGAAAGTACAATAATATCATTTAATTTTTATTTATGATATCGTTGTTGTTCATATATATATATAACCTCGTTAGACGTACGAGGTCGCATCGAACGTCCTTGATCACAGGCTTCCAGCATTTGATCAGCGTCCCGACGACCACGACGTCGTCGCCTGCCTTGACGCTGTCCACCAACGCGCCTATACATGATCATTTCATATACGAGTGAGTACCTCGTGCAAGTCATGGGAAGAGCAGCAGCACTCTCATGGTCCTCATGCTGGGTCATGACAACCTTCCAAAATGACCATGATCGACCGAGGAATCGACCCCACGCCCAACTTGGACACTTGCTCTTGCAACTTGATCGTCTACAACAGCAAAAGTATATATTATTGTCAAGTCGATATATTCGGAGGGTTTGGGTGTTCTTCATCGAGTATGACCAGAATTACCAAATAAATCAACAGACAATCATCGATATACAACCAATCAAAAACCCAGATCAAGAATCAAGTGGCCAATCAAATTATCCACTCTTCGACCAATTCCACATCGAATTAGTGTGTGACTGAAATTAGTGTGATACTGGACGATCTTTTTTTACATACAAAAGTCAATCGATCGATAGATTTGGCAAAAAATTCGCACAAAAGTGAACCACATTTTGGTTAAAAGAAACACAATACAAGAAGGAAACGTCCGATAAAACTAACTATAGTATGGACGACAAGGAGGAGGAGTCGTAGTAGTTGTAGTAGTGGCAGCAGCAGTCGTACCTGGTAATCCACGCATTTCTTGCTGCCTTTGATCTCGCGAATGTTGGTCGACTTGCACGCTCCGCGGGAAATGCACGCTCGCTAGTACGACAATGCATGTGATCACGGCACGTCGTCGCTCTCGAATATGCATGCCCTGTCGCGACGAAGATAGTGAGGACGGATGCGTACCGGGACGACCATGCGATTTTGCTCTTCGGGCTTGGACGTGACTTCCCATGTCGTGTTGCATTTTGCGCATTCGAATTGGCGGACTTTCTCCAACATGCGTGTCATGCCGATGCGCACGACCGTGCCTTCCACGCCCATGAGACCCACGGCTTCCTTGCTTCGAAGTGCGCTCACACGTTTCTTCAGACACGGCGGAACGTTGGTCAATTGAAGTTGTTGCGGTGATGATGATACAGTCGTGGACAAGCCCTGCGCGAACGCTGACTCGAGCACTGGAAGACACATGGTCGGGTTCTGGATGAGAAGGGTGGCGAATTGAGGGCATCGACTCAGCAAGATCTGGATGTCCACTTCCGGGCCAGGATGGATATCAAAGTACGCCGTCAGCGCCGGCTTGTACTGGGTCAGCCGCTCGTCCATCGTTCGCGCGCGCTGATGCCGCAACAAAACTCAAACACGCTATCCGGATAATTGACTGTTGTATTTGTTATTTGTATGATTATATGCTATACGTTGATTGGATAATATTGTATAAGTAAGTGGATTTGATTGGTGGAATAAGTACTTTTAGATACATTAATATCCAAAATATAGAATTGCTGCAGTCATATGTATAATATAATGGGTACAGAACTCAGAAGAATACAGAAACCTCGGTTTCATCCACCACGACCCCTCGACAGTCGACACAGGCGCAACCATGATGGACCCGTCCGTGGAGATGAGTCCGACGACGTCGAAGTCCAAGGACAGGCTTGGTGCTACGTCTGCGTCCCCCGTGCTGTCCGGATCGGAAAAGTACATGAAGCAGCTGCAGTCTCCGTCCGTACGCAAGCTCTTCAGTGAGAACCAGACAGTGCAGAACTTGCATGTGATCCACAACTTGAAAAAGGTAATGCCATCCTTCCTCGAGCATATCTTGACGTACACGACGTCAGGCTCTCATGCTGCTTCATGTGCTCTGTAGAACTACCGCCATCGCAAGCTGTTTGAGATCTGGGCGTTCGTGGTGGCGCTGGTCGGACTGGTGCTGATGCTGGTCGAGAACGAAGTGGTGATGGTCGCCGAGTCGCCGTCGACACCTCTGTCCGAGGCGTTAAAGACCGCCGTATCCATCTCCACGGCGCTTCTGCTCGTGCTCATCGTGTGTCGGTACCAATCGCACACCAACATCTACAAGTTGCAGAACATCCTGCCGCCCACGGCATCCATGATGTCCGTGTACTGGCCGGTGCTGCTGCTAGAGTTGATCGTCTGCGGGTTCCACATCCCTCCAGGGCTGTCTGGGTCGGTCCCGATTCTCCAGTTTCGGCACACCGTCGAGGCCAACGCCACACTCTGTCGGCATCCCAAGAACCTCATCACGAGAATCCAAGGCAACTCGTGTTACCTGTCATATAGCTACTTTTACGACGTATTTGGTACTCATGTCGGCTTTGATACATCCACGCTACTTTCTCCATGATCATTCACATGCCATGCTAGGGGTGTTTATGGTGCTGCGCATCTACTTGTTTGGCAGGTACATGCGCAGCTCGTCGCCGCTATACTCCCAGTGGGCCGCGTTCATTGGTAGAGATGCTATGAATGGATGACCCATGTACGGTACCTGATGAACGCGATAGGCACGTTGAAGAACGTGAACGCGATGAGTCCATTCTTTCACTTTAAAGCCATCTTTAGCACCCAACCTGCTCGACTAGTGGTAATCCCATGAATCATATCTCGCTCTCGCAATTAAATTGGACAACTGTGTCTGATGGGAACTGCAGGCCCCGCTGCTGGTGTTTGTCACGTTTGTCACTGCCGCCATCATCCGCATCCTTGAAGTGTACGAAAGATTTCCCTATACATTTATATATTTCCATATATATATATGGAGCTCTCTTCTGAGCGTGCCACGTCATGTAGACCCGCGCAACCGGTGCTGCTCAACTATTGGACCGCCGTGTGGATGACCACTGCGTCGATTGTACGTCCACCAACACTCTCGGAACGTCTGAGTGTTGGTCTTTGAATGTTTTCTTTTGACATGCACTCTTGTTTCTTTCTTTTATTCTTGTCTTGGTGTTCGGATTTGTTTTCGATCAAACCGTCGGCCGTACTATGTCCTGTCGACCCTCGTAGGATATATATTAGTGATGTGGTTATTCTTTCAATATATATAAATAATATATATATAAATATGTATAAATATATAAATATATAAAGTTATATTGAAAGAACGACACATATATATAAATAAATATACTGAGAAAACGACCATATATATATATATACATATATATATGTATATATATAGATACTTGGAAGTTGGTATATTTGTTGCAAGGTGGCATTCGATTGTGATTGGAGTTGCTTTGGATGTAGACGTCGGTGGGATATGGGGACTACGCGCCCGTGACGTACGCGGGCCGGGGCTTCTTGACGTTCAGCGGCATCTTGGGCGGGTTGCTCATCTTGTCGTTGGTGCAGTCTATCTTCTTTGGGGCGCTGGAGCTCACCGACAACGAATCCCGCGTCAAGTACATCATCGACAAGAGCCGCTGGGACTGCCAACGCCGCGAAGCCGCGGCCAAGTTGATTCAGACCCAGTTCCGGCTCAAGAAACAACAGCAGCAACATGGGACCAATCCAAGACTTGTGGAGGCGCTGACGCTGCACTTGTTTGAGTACGATGATGGATGTGATGATGAAGAAATGAGGTCGTGTGATATATTGTGTGTAGATGCATGGAACACATGCACAAGTTTGTGCGGGGAGAGCCGCGCAACGTCCGGACGTTCGAAGAAGAGATGGACGCGCACATTGGAGGCCTCCTGCGGGACATGGACGACATGCAGCGCCAAGAAGACGCAATCTTGGCGCGTATTCAAGACAAGATCAGACGACTCAACGCCGCGTGCGACTGCATTCTAAGTTCGCAAGCATCCTAAGCATATTGTACACTACTTTAACGTACACCATTTTGCGGTTAATTTCGACAAATATCTGGTATATTTCGTGGAATCCCATTTAAACTCGTGGTGCTTCATTATATTTCGTGACTTGGGCATTTCGTTTCGCGGGGATAATGTCGAATTCACTCATTTTATTTCGTGGACTGCCAGTATATTTCGCGATTTGCTCAGTTCGATTCGCAAACATCCGTTATATTTCGTGATGAGTCCACTATATTTCGTACGTTCACTTCAACTCGCTCTGACTGATCAGAAAAATGTGCGCGAAACCGTCTTTCGCGCACTACATATTCAAACCTTCTCGATGCAGTACCTCCTCATGGATCCCAACCTTCCCCTCATCCCCCCCGATGGCGATGAACCTCCATCACCTCAAACCCCACTAAGCACACGCATGCTGACCTAGTAACTACATAATGTCAGCCATAACGACGAGGCACGCAGACATGTTTGCATAGGAATACGGGTAGATGACGTTATTGTAGTCTATACTCGTTCATGGTGAATAATCCAATCGAGAACTTGTGGTCAGCAATGAAACTCCGCGTGAAGACGTTGCTTCGTGAGCCACTCCCTGCATTCATTTGGCCACCTCCTGGTGGAGCTGAATGCAGTGTCTGGAGCATATATATTCCAAGTCTAATTCTAGGTATTTTCTGATACCACGTAATGTATGAGTAGTGGCGATTTGAGTAGGATTTGATGTGAATCATTTGTATGAATATGCTCTCCACCTCGAACACAGAGCCGAGACGAAGTGGTTGGAGCCTACAGTCGTCACTCCTGCATAAATACACCCATTGCGTTAACATTTATGCGAAATATATTGGTCTTATCACGAAATATAACGGATGTTTGCGAATCGAACTGAGCAAATCGCGAAATATACTGGCAGTCCACGAAATAAAATGAGTGAATTCGACATTATCCCCGCGAAACGAAATGCCCAAGTCGTCGCGAAATATAATGAAGCTTCACGAGTTTAAATGGGATTCCACGAAATATACCAGATATTTGTCGAAATTAACCGCAAAATGGTGTAGTAGATTGTTTCGATTGAAAGGCTCCTAGTCCTACACCGACGAGAATGATACTACTAACAGTACTACTCCTCGTTTCGATGGGCAATTATATATTGGGATGAATTAATGCCTTACTGTTCGAATGAGTGCAGCATCCGTAGCCTTGCGTTGATGGGCGTGTAGAAGAGACACAACGTGTATTGTGAACTCGCTATAACTTAAACTTCCAAAATTCGCGTGGTTTGACTAATCAATACTAACGTTAGTCTAGTATTGAATCACGCTGGAGTTCGGATTGGTTGAATATGCTTGTCCTTTCTGTAAGAGCCAATCAAATCCACTCAAAATTAGTGTTTAGCCAATAGCGTCGATTCGGGATGACGATTCTTTTCTAGCCAGGACATACAATATGTACTGTATGTAGTAGCTAGACTAGGCAGCACTGTGCTATATAATAAACAAGTCGATCAAGGGAATGGTCATTCTAGATATAACGATGGCTTATGGGGTGACTACCGTATGTCATTGCAACTTTAGTAGCGCCCCACACACCAAACTACAATCAGCCAAAGCCATTGGATATCAGCATGGCGCCACGTGACCAAGTACTTGCCTCGCCTTCGTCAGTGTCCAAGATAAACCAGTTGAAAGACCGCCTTTGCGTCCAGCCCATGACTCCGTCAAAGGATCAGTCGTGCCTTGCGTTCACCATGTGGGCCAACCGCGCTGCCATGGTGATGTTCTTCCTTCTTGCAGGTACATATATACATAATATGTACTGTATATTCATTTCTAGAGAAGTTATATCTTGCACGACTAAGTCGATTGGTTACTACGTCATGCACGCTGATGTTGGCAGCAGTGTCTATCGTGATCTGCCTTGTGACCATGCTATTGCCCCCAACCAGCACGCTGATGCCGCCATCGACGACAGAGCCGCCGCGCATTGTGGTCGGAATGACCATGACGTCGATCCCCCCACGTGTCGTGAACCGCCGTATTCGCTACGAACCGCTGATCAAGTAGAAAAGGTCGTTGTTGTGCATAAGTCGTTAATGAGACCATGCGCACGCTACACTCGTTGGACTGTCGATGTGGGATCTGGACGACATGTATGTGCGTTACGGTGTGGCCGGTCGTGGCCAGTACAGCATGACGAGGACTCCGGCAAACGCAATGAGCGAGCCAACCCAGTCGCCCACGTCGGGCTTCTTGCCGTCTACAGTCCATCCCCAAAACAGACTCAGTACGATGAAATATCCACCATAGACGGCAAACAACCGGCCAAACTCGATGGCCTGCAGGCTCTGGACCCACCCGTAGGCCACCAGAGCGATCGAGCCCAATACCGCAAACAGGATGTGCCGATACGATGCATAGTCTTTGTTCTTCACAAATACCCACACGCCATAGCCGCCGCCAATCTCGAGCACTCCCGCGACGAGGAACAGTAGCGATTCCCTGACCGCGCTGTGCATGTTGATTGATTGATGATCTACACCTTGTTTTATCCGGATATTCGCGACTCTGTATTCGGATAACGTGTATTTTCCTACTCTGCAAAGTACGCTTGGGTTAAATCTAAGCCAATTATCTGTTCGCAATACACATTTATGGGCCAATCAAATACAACTATTTCCGTACTTATCGACCTCTAATTCACTTAATATAGCCAATCAAAACCGAGTATGCCCCCCACCAGCCAAATCACGGCAGCCACCGACTTAAGGATGCGGCCACATTATTCCTTTGCTCAAAAGTAAGAATGGTTGCCACCACCACCGCCAAGATCGTCAAGCCTGCGGGCCAAGTCGCCGATGACTTTGAAAAGCAAGTCGCCCAAGAATTGGTTGCGTTGGAGAACTCCGCCGCGGAAATCAAGGCCGACTTGAAGGACTTGTACATCACCGCCGCCAAGCAAGTGGACGTGCCCGGTGGCCGCAAGGCGATCGTGATCTTCGTGCCGTTCCGCCTCTTGAAGAACTTCAACAAGATCCAAGCCCGCCTCGTCCGCGAATTGGAAAAGAAGTTCTCTGGTCGCCACGTCGTGATCATTGCGCAGCGCACCATCTTGGGCAAGGGCCATGCCCGCGGCCACAACGTGAGCGCCCCCCGCGCCCGCAGCCGCACCTTGACCGCCGTGCAAGACTCGATCCTTGACGTACGTCCACAATCTCGACTATATGTCCGTGTCTTGCGCGCGATGGCCTCTGGGGGTTAGCCTTCCCATGCCTCATGCTCACTTTAGTATATGTGTTGTAGGACTTGGTGTACCCCACCGAAATCGTCGGCAAGCGCACCCGCGTACGTCTTGATGGGTCCAAGCTCCTCAAGGTCTTCTTGGACCCCAAGGACCAAGTGAACGTCGAAACCAAGTTGGACACGTTCGCCACCGTGTACAAGAAGTTGACGTCCAAGGACGTCGTGTTCGAGTTCCCCGTGCAACAAGAATAAGGTGTTGGTGTGTGAGCGGCGCCTATCTATAGGCGAAGTGTAGTGTGTTGTCGGGACGCCTCTTGCAAAATCTGTCGCCTGTTTACGTTGAAACGACGTGACCATGACAATGGATATGCAAGAGGTGCAACGAGCACACCTTGCATTCGTCACGACTTCTTCTTACTAGAGCAAGCCCTTAACAAATGATTTATTAACTCGTTTGTTACTCGGTTGTTGTACCTTTGTCAAAAAGAGTTGCCATGGATTAGAAGGGGAGGTAATAAGTAGAGGAACCAACCTCGTGGGTTGTCGACGAAACGGCGTGAGGGTGGTTGGGCACTGGGATGGCTTGATTATAACGGGTTAAGGAAACGTCATCGGCCATCGTCGTCTTGCAACGTGTGGAACTCAAGCGCTTGAACCCTCAGGTCAAGTGGGTGGACACGACAGCACAAGAGGTCGAGGGTGGACACCGAGAGCACGCGGATGGCGTTGGATCGGCCCATGCCACCTCCAAGCGGGCCCTTCATGTTCATGGAAGGAACTCGAGAGGCATTTGGATGTCGTCGCATGTATCGGGCCGATTGATGCAGCACGCGGGCGGTCCTATACATTGCGTCGGCGGCGTCGGAAGTGCTGTTGTGGGTTTTGATCACTGGGTGGCACCAATAATATCACACTTTAATTATTTCATCAGGGGTTCAATAATTAATTAATATATTTAAATAACTTTTAGTCTTTTTTATGAACTAAAAATTCACATATCTTCGACTTTTCGGTCATAAATCCGGCACTTTTCAAACCTTAGACCATGGGACGAATCCAGCGATCGGAGCATGTCTTTCCCTATGGGTGGGACGTTGTGACCGCCGCCTTCTGGCGCAAGTACCCCCATCCAATGCTCCCTCACGTGGAGAAGATGGACGTGATCTCGCGCTTCATTGACGAACAAGGATGCCTCCACACCGCGCGCTTGGGAGTGTGCAGTCCCATCAACGTCCCGTCGTGGGTCACGTATATCCTTGGCACGCACTATTCGCATGTGTACGAGGAGTCCGTGTGCAATCCGGTATCGAAGACGCTCCAACTCCGTTCGACCAATCTGTCCTACCGATCCATTGCCGTCGTGGATGAAATCTGCACTTATGCTGCTGCGGAGTCCATCTTGGGCCCTTCCCAACCTTCCACCCTGTACACCCAGGTGTCTCGTGTGAATGCGCTTCTGCCCTTCTTTTCACAATCGTTCGAAGAGTATTGGGTCGAACGCGGCACGGCCACGGCGCGCCAGGGAGTTTTGGCGATGGACGAGCTGTGCTCTGGGAAGAGTTCATGTTAAGTTATTCAAAAGTTGTTGTCCGACGCCGAGCTACTTCGCTCCCCCGACGACAGACACGACCGCGGCCCCGACGACGACGACGTGGATTTGGACGACGACGGTGGCGGTGGCGTCGCGTACTCCTTGGCTGCCGCCACGATTTGCTTGGTGAGCATGCGATCGTCCTTGATCTTCTTGATCTTCTCCTCCTTCCGCGCTTCGTTCAGCGCAGCATGACGACGGAGCTGGACGCGGCGCCGGATCTCGTCTTCTTCGCGCTGCCGAAGCAACTCGGCCTTCTCGGCGTGCTTGAACTCTTGCTGCAGAATCGCGAGCTTGCCCTTGTGCTTGTCGGGATCGATCACCCGTCCCGCCTTGTCGATCATGCCTACATCGTACAGATGGTGCTGCAGCTTTCGGTTCTCGAAGAAATGGCGCAAGTTGTGGTCGGCCAGCGCATTGTACTCGGGCAGCTTTTGGTTGTGCGTGTTGGTGTCGAACGATTTCTCGCGCCGCTTCATGGTGATACTATGGTGCGTTGGCCAAAGTCGGAATGCAACATGATAAGGGCGACCTGGCTAAATATACCATCCAATCCACATGCGTTTCAACGGTTCACATCGGCAGCATACATGGATGTTTAATCGGAACGTTCCATGGCGGCGGCTTTGATTACACGATGGCATCATGCGAATGAGGGGAATGTACCTTGGACACGTATTGCTCCGAGTGGCCACGGTACGGTCGACGCAAGTCTACCTGCTTCCCTGCGTCGACTTCATACGCAGAAAGAAGCATGGATGTACTCGTGGACGATCATCTCATGCATCTCTATCCATTTCGCCATGATGTCTCCATGGAGACGTCGACAACGCCGCGATCACATGGGACTGTATCATTCAAATACCCGTAATTTCAGATCTTGGCGAGAAAGATCCGGATAACGGGTGGCATACAAATATCCAGTTTAATCAAACTGTGCGGAACACGAAGCAGTTTTGATATCCGAAAGGAAGATCAAATCAACTTTTTCGACTTCACATCATGGACGGTGCCGCCTTCGACCAGTCAAACGCCGCTCTGGCGTACGTCCCCTTGTTCTATTTCATGCTAGGAAGCTCGGTTCCTACTTCCTTCTCCATGGGGAGGTTCATGGACACCTTGGAGTTTCTATGTGATGTCATGTGCTGTCGTCAAAAGTTGCCTTATCGCTGCCATGTAGGGAATTCCACGCGGAGTACGAGCGCAAGATCGCGGAAACGGCCTTGGAGCACGAAAAGGTCGGCGAAGAGAACCGCGAGAAGGCTCTTGCCGCCATGGAACAGTTCAAGACGGAACGACAACGTCTCCGCGACTCGAAGGTGCTAGCGAACCGCACGCAAGAACAAGCAACGGTCGAGAAGCTGACGGCCGATTTGACCAACGAGAACCCGTGGGAGCGCGTGGTGAGCCTCGTCGAGTTGGAGTCGCAAAAATCCAAGACGGCCAAGCGCCTCGCGGTTGAAGCCAAGGCCCGCGGCGAAGCCGTGGACAACAACAAGGCGGCGGCGGACGCGGACGAAGTGGACTTGACCCGAATGAAGCAATTGTTCTTGCAACTCAAGGCGGAACCTTTGGATTTGACGCGTGCGCAAGCAAATGGCATTGCGTCGCATTAAGTAGTCTTCCACATCGAATCACTTCATATCGAACCATCGATCCATCGATCCATCCTCGATACATTCATTATCTCGTCCATTCTGTACATGGAGCAAACGACGACGAGTCTACGGTAGCTTCCCACGGCCCCACGCGATCGTCCTACTCCACTCTTCGTACTACGCAGGGGCAGGGGACGACGATCCTTCTACCTTGGCCAGCACTTCCTTGGTGCTTTGCTTGAGCACTTTCTTGATGTCCTTGAGCACCTGGTTGCCGTCGAGCGCGACTTCATCTTCGAAAATGTCTTGAAACCGGTAAAAGATGTCGTTCACCACGTCTTTAAACAGTTCCGACACGTTTGGAGATGGAAGCGGCGCTTCGAGCAGCAGCTCCTGCGCTTCCTTCTTGAGCGCGTCCGCGGCTTCCAGCGCCTGCCGCGCCGCCGCCTCCTTGACCGATGCGTCAACTGTAGCTTGGTGCGCCTTGGCGTCGGCTTCAGCGCAATGCGCACACGAACCTTCCTTACCAGCAAGGCCATCATCCTCGTCCCCTTCATGAACCACTTTCGCCTCCAGCGCCGCCACCTACCGCCGTTCGTTCACACATGACATGTTGAATGTGCTCAACTACTACTACAGTACCTGCGCCTTCAACGCCAGCACTTCAGTCTCGCGGGCCTGCGCGTGAAATGCCTGCAGCTGCTCGAGCTCGGAAATGCGCTCCATATGCAGCGCGTTCTCGGCCTGTAGCGCTTCCACCGCCGCCGCATGTTCCTTCCACTGGTCGTTCTCGGCATGCAACCTTGCATCCACAGACGGACTCGGCTACAAGAGACCGTCAGGTCCTCTCCATCTCCGTCGTCATATTATCGTCGTCGTCTATGTTGTACTGTACCTGCTGCTGCTGTGCTACTTGGGTGACCAGTTGGCCTTCCAAAGCTTCGAGTTGGTTGTGGTGAGCAGTTTGCAGCCGAGCGACCTCTTGGTCATGAGACAGCCGGAGCGACTGCATTTCCGACGCATGAAGAGACGTGAGGTTCACCGCCTGCTTCTTGACCAGGGCCAGTTCCTGCTCGGCAATCGCGCGCGCCGCCGACTCGTTGGCCAGCGCCGCGTCGCGCTCCATCTGCAGTTCCGTCACCCGCGCATCTTGGCCGGCTACACAAAACACACATCTATCATATCCTTGGTCAACCATTCATTCGCAGTATGTCAAAGTGAACCCTCTAGTGGCTAACTAACGAGCAGCTAGCCTAGATAGCCAAGTAGCTAGTGACATTGGCAAGTAGCTAGTACTAGCTCACTCGATAGCTGAACAACGACTAGCCATGTAGCAAAGTTGTTGGCAAGTAAAGTAGCCTCGCTGGTTTGATAGCCAAACCACCAGTAGCCATGTAGCTATGTAGCCAGCTGGTTGATAGCTAGCTTCACGGTAGCACAGCTCGACGGTAGCACAGCTCGGTCATTGCAAGACTGGCTAGCCTGCGGGATATGACATGATCCCCACCCACCCCACAGCCCTCAAGCATATGTGTCCAACAGCAATCAACTAGCCAAGGTTTCGACGTACATGACGATTGGCTCGTCTGGTACAGCGCGTACCGCAGTTGCTGGACTTCTTGGTGCAGCCGGCTCGCTTGATGGAGGGCGGCGTCGCGCGCGGCCGTCAAGTTGGCGGTTTCGGCCAGTTGCAAATGTCCCTGTTCCTTCCACTGGCTCTTCTCGGCCATGAGTTTGGTCACGGTGGTTTGCAGGTCGTCGCACTTTGTTTCAAACGCGTTCACTTGCTGGCTTTGCAGGCCGATTTGGTGCACGAGGCGTTCGTTTTCTTGTACCAGACGTTCGACTCCTCGCAGCGTGTGCCCGGCGTCCGTGTGCCCCAATAACGTCGTCGACGACGACGACGACGACGATGATGAGGATGTGCGAATCAAATGATCGACTTTCGAGTGCAATTCCAACACGAGCACGTCCACGGACTTGCCGCCCATCATACCTCCCCACGGATACATGGATGAAGACGGCGGCGGCGACTGGGAAGGCATGTACGGCTGCGGCGGATACATCATGTGTGGCGGATACATCATGTGCGCCGGTTGATGAAGGGGTGGTTGTGGTGATGAATTCACTCCAGGCGTCACATTGGCAGCTTGCTGCTGCTGCTGCTGTACTTGCTTTTGCAGCTCCAGCAGGGACTGCCGCTGTTTCTCCATCTCTTCCTTTTGCTGCTCAAATACAACCAGATCTGATGTGGTTGCTGCTTGGCCATTCGACGATGACGTGGCACCACCGCGGGGCGACTCACTGGATCGCCGCGACGAAGCAGCTGCCGACGACGACGGCTGGTCCGTCGCGTTGTGCGGCTTGACTTTGACCAGCTCGATCTGCAGAATGTACCAGTCTTTGCCGTTGGTCTTACTCGGTGGCGCCAAGACAATTCGAGTCCCGCCCTTCTTCATGCCAACGACGCCTTCCTCCAAGGCTGAAATGCGCTCGGCTTTGTCCCCCACGCGGAACTTGCGCACATCCGTCGCCGACACCTTCTCAAACGGCGCGTACTTGGTCACGACGTCCAGAGGAGAGCTCCCGATGTTGCCGACCACGCGCCAAACGCTCAAGGCCACGCCCACCGAGTCGCCATCGACGATCGCGCGTGCATTCGCGTCGTGGCTTGACAGCTCTTCCTTGGTCAAAGCAGTCGCCGAGATCGTAGGGGCTGCGCCAGCGTTCCCGCCCCAAATGCCCACATGCACCTTGGTAAGGAACAATGTGCGGATGAACGTCTGCGCGTCCACGTCCGTGGAGAACCGCGCCGAGAAGTTGTCACCCGAGGCGTCGTAGAAGTTGACGTACTGCCCTGGCTGCAGCGTCGCCTGCAGTGCCACCGTCACGGGAGAGCGTGACAGGTGCTCCTTCGCGGCGTTGTACAGGAGCAGCGAATACGTGGCGTTGTTGCCGAGAATGACGCAACCCACGGGGGAAGGCGAGCAGGATGCGTACGACTTCTTTGACACGTCGTACTTGAACAAATTGACGGTGCTGCTGTAGATGATGTTCTGCGCGGCCTCGGAGGCTGCTGGCGCTGCTGTCGCCGCCGCCTTGATCGGTTCCTTTGGAGCGCTATACCTCAACGGATCGTTCGTGTTGTCCCCTGTCCCATTAGACCCAAAGAGACTGCCTAGTCTCGCCTTTGCTTCGGTCATGAGTTGTCAAGTCGAGCCGTCGCTGCTGTCGTCAGATGGCAAGCTTCGAAGGAGTCGTGGAGTGTTGTTAATGCTTTTGACAAACACTCGACAAAATATTATCCCGGATTTGGCAATAATCAACATATACACATTGTAATATATATTCCGATGAATGTATGTATTGACAGAGTGAGTGATAAATACCCAAACAACTGAAGTCGCATTCTAAAAATATAGCCGAGCCAGCAAACGCCCAATCCTCTCGACGATGGCTGTCCTCGTCCATTTCGATTTGACCCATCGCCATGTCAGCTGCCTCCCGCGGATCTCGTGTGCACCACGTGCGCAAGACGCCGAATCCGTTCTTCACCACTTCATCGGGGATTGTTGGGATTAACCTGCACGAGCCGACGGAGTTCTTGGCGCCAACCCTGGACGACCATTACGTGGCACGTCCAACAGACAACAACCAGTCGGAGGAAGCCAAATTGGTCAAGTTCATGTACCAAACCACAACGTCTTCCATTGGCGACGGCATCGAGCGGCGAGAAAGCCCCATGACGCAGCGCATGGACAAGTTCAGTGTCAAGCGAGGTACTTACTGGAGCTCTCACTATTCTTCGCTAGTTCTAATCACACATAGAAATCCAACAAAGCGGGCTTGTCAAGATCCGATCGGTGAGCGTGATTTCGCCGGAAGAGGTCCTAGCTCGGGCCAAAGCCGACCTGCTGCACCAAGACCCCACCAAGCAGCAAGCAGTGGACATCCAATTGATCGCCGCTCCTCGCGGCGAGCATCCCATGTACACCACCAGGTACACACCCTCCAATACAACATGCGAGGACTACACGCGTCGTCGTTGTAGCACTCGCGTGGTGGGCGAAGAGAAAGGAGCGATCCAAGTCACGACCGAGCGCATTGTCAAGCCAGGCACGTTCACCAACTCGTTCAATGGGTTCCGATTCCGCGACTACGGGCTCAACACGGCTGTGACAAAGTCCAAAATCTGCGACCAGTTGGACCACTCGTGATTGATTAAACTTTTTTATCGAACTAAGTAACGAATGAACGACCAGCTCAATACATTGTCGACGACAATTCGCTTGCTTCATACCTATAGCGTGGATATCTTGACATTCTATCCACGCAAATCATGCGACTTGTCGCATGATTTGAGCATGTACCTCGCGGCAAGCTACTACATTGTTCAGAGTCTGGGCCTTGAATAAGCGAAGGGGGTTGTTGGCCATGATATATATCTATGCTGTGTAAAGCATCTTTCCACGCCTGCAACCTTCACGGCAATGGCCTCCTTCCCTGCACTGTCAATGCTACTTGACCATTTGAAGCATGATGGTATTCCTGCCCATGGGCTTCTTGGTTGACATATACGGGCCATCTTAGAGTGTACTACTTCACAGCTAGCTCCCACACTTGTAGCCCGGAACATGCATGTGGTCTGTGGATGCCATGCCCAAGAAATCGATGGCGCGACGGATCACCACGCTCACTGTCAAATCGCGTTTAATGGACTTCATAAAATTTGTCACTTGTACAATTCATATATTCAAAGCCAATATTCACATGCTAAATATACATGATGGGCTAGATATAACCAATAAATAATTCAAATATGATTAATTGTGCTTTTAAAATAGTGATTTGATCCCTGACCTATAATTGTAGCACCCCGCGCGTCCACATCAGTGGCCACCAATTGTTTAAAACAATCGTATCAAACCAAATCCTGTTTCGAACACTTCGTTTGGTTGCCCCTGGTTGAATCTTCAGACGTGAATCGGACTCGTTGCTGCCACTGGTTTTGGACGATGTGGAGCCGTGCATTGACGTCCATGCGCCAGCATGCTGGCGTGGCGACTGCCGCCGCTGCCGGTGCTGGTCTCATGTACGCTTCGATGGCGTTCGAGTCGAAGCCATTGATGGCGAATGAAGTAGCCCCTCGCGACACCACACGTGGCATGCTGCGTGAAGTGATCTCAAAACTCAACCGGATTGAAAGCGCCGTGGCCAACCCCAAACGCGAAGGCCCTGGCGTCGATGTTGTCTTGGGTGCGCAATGGGGTGATGAAGGCAAGGGCAAGTTGGTTGACATGCTTTCCCAGCAATACGACATCATTGTCCGCGTCGCGGGTGGTGCCAACGCCGGACACACGATTGTGTGCAATGGCAAGAAGTACAAATTCCATCTCGTGCCTTCGGGTGTGCTCAACGAAGAAGCGGTGTGTGTGATCGGCAACGGTGTCGTCGTGCACTTGCCGTCTTTGTTGGCCGAGTTGGAAACGTTGAAGGCCGTAGGTGTCGACTGTGCGGGCCGCGTGTTGATCTCGGACCGCGCGCACATGGTCTTGGACTTGCATCAAGAAGTGGACGGGCTCATGGAAAACCGTCGCGGCCGCAACAAGATCGGCACGACCAAGAAGGGCATCGGTCCGGCGTATTCGTCCAAGATGCTTCGCAACGGCGTGCGCGTCGGCGACCTGCGCTACTTTGACGACTTTGCCGACAAATTGCGCGCGCAGGTCCAATTTTACAAGGACAATTATCCGGATTTGGAACTCGATCCGGAAGCCGAAATCGAAAAGTACCGCAAGTTAAGGGAACAAATCTTGCCCATCACGGTCGACTCGATCGAGTACCTCAACAAGTCGTACATCAGCGGCAAGAAGATCCTCGTGGAAGGCGCCAATGCCACGATGCTCGACATCGACTTTGGCACGTACCCGTACGTGACGTCGTCGAACCCGTCCATCGGCAGTATCTGCACGGGCGGCGGGATCTCGCCCAACCGCATCAACGGCATCATTGGCATCGTGAAAGCGTACTGCACGCGCGTCGGTGAAGGTCCGTTCCCGACCGAGCTCTTCGACACGGTCGGCCACCATCTTGGCAGTGTCGGCGCCGAATTCGGCACCACGACCGGCCGGCCGCGTCGCTGCGGCTGGCTCGACATTCCCCAGATGAAGTACTCGAACCTTGTGAACGGCTTCACCGATCTGAACCTGACCAAGCTCGACGTCCTCACGGGGTTGGCGGAAGTGAAGATCGGCGTCGCGTACTGGCACAAGGGCGTCAAGCTGAGCGGCATGCCGTCGAACCTCCAAGTACTCGAGGAGTCCACGGTGCAATATGAAACCCTGCCGGGGTGGTCGGAAGACATCTCCAAGTGCCGCACCTTTGACGAACTGCCTGAAAATGCACAGAAGTTTGTGCTGCGCGTGGAAGCGCTGCTCGGCACGCACATCAAGTGGATCGGAGTCGGCCAGGACCGCACCGACGTCATCGAGCGCGCGCATCCGCTTCAGAAGGTCGCCGCGCCCGTTGCCGTTTAGGGAACACACACCAGCCACCTCTAGACTAGTATCCCAATACAATACACTTGCATCTTCTCTTGATGTACCATGTTTCTCTCGACAAAGTTCCATAATCATACTTGTGCTTTTCAGTCAAATTTGCCTAAACTAATATGATTGGCAATTTGATTGGCCCAAATATACCTCTTCAACTTAGTTTTATATGAAATTTTAAAGGTCCGACGGTTCGTTCATTCACTGTCAACGAGAAATTTTGAGAACACACAATACTTCAACGTTGAAGGTAGTGTTGTCATGTAGAGGTTGCGTGTCCGTCGTCGTTGTGGTGCATCACACGTCTCCTATATTCCCCTGCTTGAACGTCATGCCCTGCTCGTGCATCCCCAGCTTGTTGCTGGCATGGACTGGTACTTCTACTCTTGCTTTGGCGTGTAGCGGCACTGGTTTGACGATGGGCTTTGCAGGTGCCTTGGATTTGAGCGGCACTTTTGCAGCCGTCGACGGCGCACCGGCGGCCGCCGCCGTGGGCGATGCAGAACCCGCCGCCCTGGTTGGACTTGACGCAGCCGCGGACTTCGCACCGCTTGCCGCCGCCGTGGCCTTTACACAAACCGCGGGACCGGACGCCTTTGGGGCAGTCGGGCACGGTGCACTTTCGAAACCGCTCGATGGGGAGGCTGGTGGCAGTGGCCTTGCAAGGGACCTGGGTCGGTTTGCCCGCCGTGAGCGTGTCCAGCTCACGTCGAAGCACCGTTTCCACGTCAAGGAGTTGGTTTAGAGCTTGATCCGACATGGTCGTTTGGAACTCAATCACTTGCTGGGATGCCATGTGCATGTCCTGGAAGAGCTGGTGGATGCGGGCTTCCATGGCATGACCTACGTCATACTGCGAAGGGTAATACTGCTGCCAACTGGGATGACCATGAGCCAGCGTATTCTCGCTCTGTGGCAACGAACTTGATTCACTGGGCAAGGTTTTGGTACGGGGCGACGACGTGGCCGACTGCAGGAGGTAGAGCAACCTGTCGACGTGGGCCAGCTTATTGTGGATCTCTGGCGGCCACATCGAGCCAGGATTCTGCTTCTGATGCTCTTGTGACGGTGGTTGCGATGGATGAATGGGCAGGTTTTGCTGCTCTTGTAGGGCGGTGAGCTCATGACGCAGTGATTCGACGTGCTGGACGTTGGCTTGATGCAAGAGTCCATCGAGTCGAGATGCATCCAGCGTTTGCCTGAGTGACGCGTTCTCTTCTGCAATACGTTTGCTCAAATCGTCTGCGGTCGCCAAGGCATCGATGAGGCGCCCGTTGTCGACTTCAAGCTCGTGAATGCGCTGGTCGGCGCGGTCTAACCTGCGTTGGAGCGTGGTCGTGTATGGGTCGCTCTCAAGGCTGCTCTTGCAGTGGGCGAGATGGGAACTCACAATTGAGTACATTTTCCGAGACGTGTCGTCGAGAACAGTTTCCATGGGCACAAACCTGCACATGGTTGGCTCAGACGGGGATGATCTGCAGGAAGACGGCGGAACGTCCAGGTTGTTCGCTCCGCATGAGGTTGTGGAAGGGGCAGAATCCTGGCAAGTCAAGACATCGCCAAGACTGACGTCGTTTGCATGGTTTGCCATGTAAGTGACGTCCCAATCCAAGGTGATGTGTGGCGATACGGACGTTGGGGTCGTCGTTGCCTCATCGGATTGAGTCGCCACGGTTGCCTTGACCAGGCCACCACTAACGTCCAGTTGAGAGATTGGCATTGACGACGCATTGGCTTGCATCTGGCCAGTGGTGCTATGGACTTGGGTGTCTGGAGCAGCCAGCATATTGGTCGCTCGGTCGCTGGCCTTTCCCACGGACGCACGCAATATCCAAACTGCCATACCAAAAAAGTCCACACATCCAAAATGGACCAATCACAGTCGAGCAATCCGCATTCGGCGATCTTTATCGGTTTCGACTACTAACGTTACAGTAGTATTTTCAACCGAAATATAATATTACTATTATTATAATTCATCCACGGTGGTTATACTGTTAGTCAGATGCAAATGAGGAAAAAGTCGATTTGATACAAATTTGGGGAGGGGGTGCAATCGAATCGCGCCGACCAAACCGATCCACAATCCATCTGATTGGTTAAATTTCATTGAGAAGGTTTTGATTGGCTAATAATTTTGAGCTCATCTGAAGTAGCCAATCAAATCGATTTCAATTCCAACGAGAAACTACGCCACAACACAATGAAATTTCACTCGAAAGCACAATATTTCACTGAAAATATATACTATTTACGACAAAATGTCACTCTATAATGTTGCAACGCTTTTCCATCTTATTTCTCGAATTTGGCCACCACGTCATTCGTGTGCTGCTTGAGGATCTTCCGGATCTGAATCGCGACTTCTTTGCCTGTAAACTCGGCGTCTTCGTCAAAGGCGTCCTGGCAGGCAAAGTAAATGTCGTTCATCAACTCCTTGAACAAGTCGGCCCTGGCGTCACGCGCCGCCGCCGCGTCCTCCTTCTCTCGCCGCCATCGGTCTTCCATGTCGGCAGCAGCCCGTTCCGTCGCCGCAACTTTGGCTCGATGCACGTCTCGCTCCTGCATCAATGCTTCCACGTGGACCTTCACGGCCTCGGCGTCCTCGACATGCGATGCACGCTCCGCCGCCATTTGCGTTCGCAGGATGTCCATCTAGGCCCATACATCATATCCAGCACATACTCAACAGCATCTTCACCATCTCAACCAATTGCACCCTTCATCCTTCGTACTATTTATTGTATTGGGATTATTCGAAACTCGAGCGACACAACCAAATACAAGCAATTCAGATTGCCGGAAACCATCATCAACGTCAAATTAGTGTGTGAATTCAATTAGTGTGATACCAAATCACCACACACACACAGGACACCATTTTACACACAACATTCAGTATAAAGAATCGATATATAGATTTGGCAATTCAGCACAAAAGTTAACCAAATTTTGGCTAATAGAAAGACAAGATTACCGATTTGATAGTACAAATTTGGGGAGGGGGTGCAATCGACCAAACAAACCGATCCACAATCGATCTGATTGGTTGAATTTCATTGAGAAATGGGTTTTGATTGGCTAATAATTTTGAGCTCATCAGAGGTAGCCAATCAAATCGATTTAAATTTCAACACCACAATGAAATTTCCCTCAAAAGCACAATACTAGTACCTCTCGTTGCATCTCTACCCGACGGGACTCGTACGTCGTCTGCAATGCTTCGACGTCGGCCGCCATCTTGGCCGCCGCCGCGTCATGCTTTAGTTTCTCGGCTTGCATTTGCTTTTGAGCCATCGTCGCGACCTGCCTAGCTTCGTCCACTTGAGCCGCGACGACTCCATCTGCCGACTGTTGTGCGCTGCTTAGTCGTTGAGTGGCCAGGTCCCGTTCCAGTTGCATCCGCTGCCGGCGCTCCGCCTCCACCGCCGCCGTCCACCGCTCGACGTCCGCCTCCATCTGGGCACATCGTTGCTTGGCATGCTCCAGCGCTGCCTGTACTTGGCTATACGACGCGGCAGTGTGTCGCCGCAGGTCGGCCTGCAGGCGATCCACGTCATCCTCGAGTTGTCTGTTGTGCCGCTGGAGGTCCGTCACTTGGCTCGTCAGTCGATGGTTGGCATCGTGGAGCCCGTCGAGGTCATTCAACGCCCGCTCCATCGACTTGAGCAGTGACGCAGTGGTTGATTGGTCTGGACGGCGGCTGTAGGCAGACCCGCCGCCGCCGCCGCCACTCGAATAAGAAGATGGCACGATGACGCGGTCTATCTTGCGCTGCAAGTCAATCAACATGCCTTCCATGGCCAGCGTCGTACGGTGCACGCGTTGCAACGTCGAGTCCATCTCGACGTTGGAAGGAGTAAACAAAGCACTTGAAGCCGACGGGACGCTTGTGGACGTCGTCGCGTAAGCTTGGGGTGGCGGTAACGGTGTCGCAGGGACAAACGGTACAAGGTTGAAGCCGCCAGTGGATGATGAAGAAGTAAGTGGGGCGGCGACGTGGTGCTGCTGCTGGAGGTAGTTGGCAGAAGTGACCGACGATGCACTGTAATACGCGTCCAACGTGGGGGGAGATGGCGGCAGCAGCGACGTCGGCGGTGAACTTAAATGCGCGGTAGGAGGGCGGGCTTTGGACAGTGGCGGCGATTGGATTTGCTGTTGTCTTGTCAAGGCTTGTCGCTGTCGTTGGATGTCTTCTTGTTCGGCTAGAAGGCGTTGCTGTTCTTGGCGTAAAGCAAGGGACGATTGGTCGGCCTCGGTGGTCGGGGGGGGCTGTAGGGAGGTACTGGAGGTCGGTGCAAACGCGGCTTCCGACGGTGGCGGCATGCTGGAAGGGAATGATGATGCCAATGATGAAGAAGGATGGGAGTGCAGAGGAGGAGGGGAAGGCGACTGGGGCATGGTGAGCACGATGGGCGTCGCTACCTTGTCGGCTGCCGCATGAGTCGGCTGATGGGGGTCGTCCGGATGCGACGAACGCCGCGACGCCGCTGTCGGGAGGGCGGCATGGCCACTTCCCATGCGCGACAGATGCGCCATCCGAGTGACGAGGTCGTCGCGCTTGAGTTCGTCGTCTTCGGAACCTGTCGGGGGAAGGGATATGACGGGGGCGGAAGCAACGGCGGCGCTGTTCGGTCGCTTGTCCTTCTTCACTTTGACCAGCTCGGCGTGCGCGAGGATCCATGTGGTGGCGGAGGAGGACGAAGGAAGGTAGATGTACCGCACAGACCCTTTCTGCATGCCAACGACTTGTCCAGACAGTCCCACGAGTCCTTCGGTGGTGGCATCTCCGAGCTTGACCTTGAGAAGGTCGTCCACGTCAAGATATCGCATCACGGGAGGGCTGGCCACGATGTCGACGGGGTTGGTGGACGAGGACGAATCGACCGCAGTGTCGAATGCCCAGGCCTGGATCTTGATGCCGACGATATCCCCTAGTTGCACGGCGTATCCTCCGTCGCCAGGGTGGATGTCGTCGTGTGTCGCGGAGATGCTTCCACGGCTCACCAACGACAACTTGATACACGCGACAGCCTGCAGGAACGCCTGCACTTGGGCGTCATCCTTGAACCGCATCGAGTAGTTGTCCGTGCCGCTGGCATCGTAAAAGTTAACGTAGTGGTCTTGCTGGGGGGTGAACTTGACGTGGACGCCGAGCGGAGTCGTAAACACCTCCGCCTGCGAACGGTTGTAGCAAAACAGGCGGTACGAGGTACTCCCGCCCATGAGGGCTAGCCCCAGCGCCGACTCACTCAGCGGGATGTAGCCTTGAGTGGCGGCGTCGTACTTGTGGACATACACACTGCCGCCATAGACCAATGTCTCATTCGATGGCGCCGCATTTGACATGGTTGAGGGGCAAGAAATTATTGTTCCGGTCGTGTTGCAGGAGGTCATATCCTCTACAATCTTATATTTCAGAGTATTTGACTATAAAGGTTTTATGACCACAAAACAGGTTTGGATTGGCTAAAATTTGAAGCCAATTCACGAATCAAACAGCATGTGGACGAATACTGCGATGCCATTGGATATTAAATGAAACCGCCATCGACTTCAACTCTCGGCAGATCGCATTCAAGCAATCTTCTTCTCCGAGGCGCTGCGTAGCTGGGTAAAGGTGTTGATGTACGTGTATCGTGAAAAGATCACAAAGAGGCGCCGAAACCACACAAACTGGCTGTGATGGAGCGCCATGGCATTGTAGTTCTCCCACGGTGTGAACGACACAAACTGTACCGCCTCCGATGGCTCTGTAAAGATCACGTCCAACGCCCCAATGTACTTTCGCCACATGGAAGTACTCTCCAAAGCATACGCATCGACGGCGGATGGCAGTTGATGGTGCAATGCACGCTTGACGCCGTGGTGCACGGAAATATGGTTGGGGTGACCGGACACACCGTACTCGTCAAAAGTAAATATCTATCCGAGGATACGTCAACAAAAAGCGATGCATTTGCGTAGAGAAGAGTACCGCGTCGATTGCATGTTCGTTGGCATACTTCGCCACGGTGGCGGCAACATCTTCGGATGTCCACACGGACTTCATGCCGTCTTGGAATCGAGGATCGTCCAAAGTGGTCAAAGTGTCGGGTTGCATGCGGAGGGACGTCCACACGGCGGCGAGTTCCGCTTTGCGAATGGCGCCAAGATTGTCAAAGTTCCCTGGAAGGATACGTGTGCGTGAGATGTATCCATGGGGGACGGGCTGAAGAGGAGAAGGACCTACCGGTGGACAAGCATAGGAGATGGAACGTTGCTTTCGACCGGAGATTCAGAAGAAGCGGCAGAAAGAACATGCTTTCGTCGTCGGGGTGGGCAATCACGAGAAGCAACTGTTTCGTGCCGCCATTGGTTGCGCCGGCAGTGAGTTCAGAGATGATGACCTGACTCTTGGCCGCAGTGCGGAAGATGGACGCTAGGAGTGCCAATGCGACACAAGCAAGGACGCCTTGGACTTCCCATGGCGGCAGCCAACTGACCATCGTCAAGCTCGAGAAATGGAGAATGCGCAGAATGAATTCCCAGGATTGGACGAAAAGATTCCAAATACACCAATTAAAAGTGAATATTCAAGTCGAGCTGCCCAATGAAATTTCTATATCCAACCAACATTCCATGCTGTGTCACTTCGTGATTGTGCCAGCACGATGACGGAGGCGGCGGCAGTCCAGAAGCTCCTGTTGAGCCATGTGGGACTTGGACCAAGACTTCCCCACCGCCATCTCTTCACGCTCCCTAGTTTCTCATCGCTCGAGTCGAAGCAAGCCCTACTTGCACATGCATGTCTCTCCCAATGCAGCGCCGTCGTCGAAGACGTGCTTCTCTTCCTGTCGCAAACGCTGTCCGAGCCGCTATTCCTTCGCGAACTTCGCCTTCCTCAACACCAGTTTGCCGTCGACCACTGGGCCAACTACCTTCGGCAGCAGCAGCGCCTCCACGTACGTTCTATGGTGCATCCATTGGCCTCATTCCATGTCATGTAAAGGCGTCGTCGTACGCAGCTCTGCAAGATTACCCGTTGGTCGCATTCTTCCGCGGCGTCGGTCGATACACGGACATGACTACGGAGATTCTGCAGCTCCTTCTGGCGCAATCCGACGTCGCACGCGTCCAGGAATGGGCGCGTGAAGCCGACACCCTCCTCGACTCGTCGCACCAGCCAGCATGGCTACGAGACCAAGTGGGTCAATACATCCAACTGCAGCTTTGGATTCGAGATACCGAAGCAAAAGATGCCGCGATCGCCCCGCCCGAGCAAACGCTCTCTGGCTGGGCCGACCAACGCCAGATCGGTTCGCAGGGCCTCAAGTGGGGAAAACGCCACGTGCAGCTCACAGCCACCTACATCGCCATCCAAAAGCACGAGCCAGACAAAGTTGAACGTTCCGTCAACCCTTTTCTGGATAAGCGGCAGGAGTGCATCTCGTTGGCGGCCGACATGCAAGTGCAATGTCGACACCACGCCTCCAGCACCCATGCCACGTCGCTCGACCGCCCGTATTGCATCGAGCTCGTGCGTCCATCCTCTTGTGATACTTTGAGTACGCCAACGGTCATCGTGTTGCTACTGGATATGTGGTCGGAACGAGCTCAAAACGAATGGCTGGCAGCGATTCAAGCCAACATCGCGCGCTTGACATTGGATCCGATCTGGCGGACGTTTCCTAGAAACGGGTTGGCCCCACGCACGACCACCGTGGCCCACCTGTGGCATTACATGGCCTTGTACCACACGTCACTTGACCACCATCGCTTCAGTGACACGTTTGCAGTCGACCCCACACGAATATTCTACCAACACTTGCGAGTGTCTGGGCTAAAGCAGCAGTGGGACGCCTTGGCGGAGCTGACGACGAGACGGCTGGGAAAGGTACACAGTATGACTAATAGAGATGACGACATTATGATTGTTTTTCTAGGTCAAGATGCTGTTCAGTAGCAGGGCCGGGCCCCCACAGTCGGCGATTGGGTTTGGCCCAATTGTCGACATTTGTGTGGACTGCAACGCCCCGCCCGAAGTACTGCAAACGTACGTGGCGCTGTATGAGAAGCAGCCACACAAAGGATGGCGGGCGCGGCGGCGGTGGGGATAATAAAGTGGACTTGACTAGGCGACGACATGTTTGCCAAACTGTAGTTACAACATACAGTATCATCAAAATGTATGTGTAGCTGTGCTCAAGGATTTGTGTGTTCGTCCTTCGTTGAAGAAGGGAAGGACGCAGCGACCATTGGATGAGAAATATTATTATCGAGGCAGTCGCATTCGCTAACTTGGACGAACGACACGTTGAAATACACTACTAGTACATAAATAGTATGGCTTCCTAGTATGATATGAGTCCATTTTTCAATCATCCGACGAGGTAGGCACCCAGCCACCTTCAAGCGTCCTCGGCCGGCTTGCACGCTTGACCAGATTCAAACAAGTACACCTTTTTGCAGTTAAGTTGGACGAATGCCCGATATAATTGGCCGTGTGCCCGATATAATAAGCCGTGTGCCCAAGCAATTGGCCATCTGCCCAATGAATTGTATCGTGTGCCCGATGAAAATGGAATAACTCAATTACTGTATATTTCATAGAGTGCAAATCAGTCTTGGTGGAAACATCATGTGGTTGTTGAAGCACGGAGGAAAACGCGCGAAGGCAAGAATTCGAAATTTAAACTTGAATAAAGTATAGTTGAAGTTTGAATGCTCATTCAAATCGCCAAGGGCGATGGGCAACATGGGCGTTGGTATGTGACGTCACAGCAACGATGCTGCATGTGTCGTTTGACGACCATTTCTATATTGAATTGACTTTTTGTTACCATTTTCATCGGGCACACGGCCAATTATATCGGGCACACGACATCCGTGTACCAAATTAAATGGGCACGTGGCCAATTATATCGGGCACACCGCCAAATATATCGGGCATTCGTCCAACTTAACTGCAAAAAGGTGTAGTAACGTTAGTACATACTGTATATATATATATATATATATACATACATACATACATACTACGTAGTACATGGTTTCTCTTGATGAACGGGGTCCTGGTATTATTAATACTGTAACTTGACTGGAACTTGAGTACAGTAGTACTACAGTACTATCGTTGCTGTTGCTGTACTTTCTAACGTTGTGTGAAACTAACTCCCCATCACAACGATGTAGAGCATTATATCTCGAAACATAATGTGTTCCCCACCATAGATAACGTTATGCACGTACAGTACTAGCCTTGCAAAGATGGCAATTTGCCTCCACGAGTTTATAAACCAGCAGCATCCTGCTGCGATCAACCACCATAGCCGATACTAGTATTTCACTAAACTTTTCATATACTGTTAACCCATCACGTAGTGTTGAGGTCGTTCGTTTACCATGGTAGTATACAACTACATCTCATGGTCCAAATCTGGCCGACTAACTACTATTAATACTCTCTCTCTCTCTTCTCGACCCAAAACTACGTGTCTGCTGTAGTGGCCACACTCCCCAAGTACTTGTCGGACGTTAATATGTTCTTCCTTCAAATGTCCACCCAGCGGGGCCGCACATCCAAGGATGATTCCGTTTCCACTGGAGCATCATCATGTGTACCCAAAGCACGTTGAACGTCTCCACCTCTTCGTGTCTTTCGAAAGGACCAATACACGACGCACACTGCGATGCCCTAGAAGAGGATTGTGTCAATCTCAATATATATATATATATATATATATATATATATATATATATGTTATATGCAAAAGCAGGGATTATTGACATGTCGATATATTGTCGTTTCTTGCCTGCAGCACGGAAAACGTGGGCCAGTCAAACGAGTAGTCGTGCCCCCCATCAATTCCAGTAGTGGCGAGCAATAGATCCTGCTTTAGTTGACATCCGTCTTGGATGTACTTGACCACGAGAACGATCTAACAGTTACACAGATCAAATACAATCACACCACTCAAATGTCATGAACTAATGAACAATGGCATGTACCTGCAAGGCGATGTTGACCACGGCACACAGTTCCATGAGCACCAGCACTTTTAACACACGTTGGTTGTCCTGGCTCGATGTCTCTATCGGCGGCAAGTGCGCCATCATCACAGGCCCCACGGCGGCTTGTGCATCTTCATGGGAAGAGGTCTGCATCATGGAAGGTTGTGGACATGTCTCTCCATGCGTCGTGGGGGATGGAACTGCCTGGCTGCCATGCTGGGAACTTGGAGGAGGCGCAGGGACGGACGTCGCCGACGACAAGCGCTTGGCTGGGGGTGCGGTGGTGGCAGCAGGTGTAGTTGACCCGCGAAGATCGTGCAATTGTCTTCGAGTGAGCTGGCGGATGGCGTCGATGTCGTCTGCGCGCTGGTCGGTTTTGCGAATCGCCGACAACCGGCGGTACGCTTGGAGTCCAAAGTGCAGCGCCGTGGAGGACGTGATGAAAAGCACGACGGGTGCCATGGAGAACTGGACGAGAACATGCCATGAATCAAAAATGTTGCGGTCGCGGCGGGCGAGGTAGGCGGGCCGCACGATGAGGAAGATGAACCCCGTCAAGAAGAATGCTAGTATGGAGAAGCCGCGGATGTAGTGCTCGGACTCTGCTGTGCGAGCCGGTGGCGCGACGAGGCGAGCGTAGAAGGCGGCGTACAGGATGCTACGAAGGCCACAAAGGTCAGGACGAGTCCAAGGACAGGCAGACGTACATGACACCATAGATGGCCGCCGAGCAAATGTCGACGAAGAGGCCGCTCACGATCGGGTGGTAGATGCGTTCGTGGGAGCGCGGATCGGGGGCTCGAGCGACGAATGTGAAGGACGCGACGGCCATCAACATGTACGCACGACGTTGGATGGTCGAGCCTAGACAAACGACCATGCATGAACATGACAAGGTGGCGATGGATGGACCGACGTACCGCCATTTCGTCGGATGGAGTACAGTTTGCAGAGGCACGCGATAAACGCGGCGACACCAAACACGAGGAGCCCAATGCGCAGCGCATCATTCTTGGCCCGGCTAAGGGAGGCCACGGTGTTGCCGACGGAACAGTGCGTGTTGTTCTTGTACAGGCCATAGCAGCATGTGATTTTGTCTTCCAAGACACATGTGGGCATGATGAGTCGTTGTTGTGGAGAGAGGATGTAGTACGGCCGCCGATTCTCGCCACGGCGCCAAGCATCGATTCAATTTTGGTGCCGGAGGGTCGAGCAGGGTTTGCCGGCAGGAGGCTATGATATATAACGTTTATGTATATACTAAAGGGTTCATATATCATGAGTATCATCAAGAATGGTTAAATATAAATAAAACTTGGTTTAGCTGTATACCCAAAGGTTCATTAGAGTATTATATTATGTAGCACATGAATATGTATGACGTCGTCGAGGAAGGAAATACTACTACCAAGCAGTAATAACCTTATAACGACATTGGATTGGCTACTTCATATTCGTGTAGCCAATCAGCGATCCTTGACCACACCCATGACAACTGTAGTTTGACATGTAGTACTCCTATAATACCTTCGATTATTTATTTTTCATTTATCGTTTAAATATCACGTGCCATCATATGGATCCATTGTATTTTTATATTTTTTATTGTTTAAACTTGCATTTATTATAATGCACCATCATATGTTTCTTCAACCATCAGGTATTTACTGTTAATAGGTGCACTCACTGCCTCGATTTGCAATTTGGATGTGTTAACACTGTAAGATCATCTCCAACGGTGTTTTTATTTCTATTTCAATTCGAAGTTACGGATATAGAATAGAAACTCTTTCTAGTATCCGGAGGGTGTGTTGCTATTTCACGAGAAAATAGAAATTCTGCGGGACGAAATTTCTATAAAGTCCGGATAGTGCCAAAATAGCAACCGTAAAAACGAAGTTTGACTGTTAACTTACCATGCTTTAGCAATAGGTTAGAGAATTTACCATTGGAGTTGCTCTAAATAGATCGATTTACTGTTAAATGAACCGACCCGATGCCGACGATGCGAGAGATACCGCCGACGTCGTACGCGCGGCAGCTCCATGCTCCAGTCGCCCAGTCGACGAATTCAAACACATTTCTTCCGTGACAGTCTCCGCCGTGAGCGGTCTCGTCTTGCGAAAGCTCCAGTACATGACCACAATACCCAACAACTATACGTCGAATAAGTATGTACACATCACCACGATCATGTCATTGACTGCGTGATGGTATTTGAAGCATTTACAGAGTTTTCAAAAATATGAAGATCTTATTTATTTTTTATATTTGAAATATATATAATGATATGAAAATTCTCTATATTGTACAAACCATACAAAAAATAAACCATCTCACATAATATGTAAAGAAAGCGTCATAATAACTCTTTGGGGTCGCATCGTTCGAGCGAAACACACGAGTACCCTACTTACTATACGTATGGGCACAATTCCGTGCCATGGCTTTGATAGGTCAGTCAATTCGGTCGATATTTGACCTATTATAGATTTTGATACTCGAGGCTGCATTTTTGCATCCGGATAAAATGGCACGGATTTGTTTTCAGCCTACTTATCGAGATTTTGAATATTCAAGGCTATTTTACTTCCAAGTCACACAATCTGCATTTTTCCTCGTGATTAAAAAACACTATTATAATAGCAAATTGGACGTCAGGAAGATCTCCCAACTGAGGGCATTTAAATGTGGCATGGAACTCGGCCCTTACGTATACACATTGCCAATGTATTGAATGCAAAAGTATGTACCTACCTGGGTCAGTGGCAGCATTGGAAACGGAAAAGGCAGGTCACATAATGGCCGGGGGGATCCGTCTGTCGATTTCGGCAGCGCATGGGCCGACGAGCACACGTATTCGTGTTCTAGCATGCATCCCCGTCGAATGAAATCCACCAACACATACACCTACAGAGAAGCAGCCCCATGAGGAACCCATGGACAGACAACACATGATGACACATCCTAGCTCGAGTCCATACTCAGTAGAATGTCTTAATGGGTTAAAGCACCCAATCAAATCATGTTCTGTACAGAATTTCTGCCAATCCAAACGTTTGACTCGCCATTGACCATATACATATATATATTCACTGATCTTTGTCTAGTTTCTACTACAAGCTAAGTTAAATTGGATGATCAAATGGATACGAATACTACATATTTGGCGAAATGACTCCCAAGTTGTCCAAATTTAGGTGAAAAAATGCACAATATTGGTTCCGATATACCCACATTTCATTTTTAAAAAAAGAATATAATGTTAAATTATTTATATTGAAAACCCATTTTAAATTAAATATCAAAAGAATTTTAAAAAATTTATTAAATAAACAAATAAAAAAAATAAACCAACCTTGTGCGAGACACAGTACCTGCGCGGCGATGACCACGGCGGACAAGAGCGCCATCAACACGAGCACTTTAAGAATGCGAGAATCCCGCTTGGGGGCGCGCGGGTCGTCGGTGTTGCTCGAGGACGACGACGATGCCCAGAGGATCCGCGGCGGCAGCTCGTCGGAGCTTTCCGACCGCACCACCGTCGGATGGGCTTTGAGTGCGTGCTGGCGCAATGTCGCGATCGCCATGGACCGTTCGTTGGTTTCCCGGATCGATTTCAGGCGGCAATGGATGCGCATGCCAAAGATGACAGCCAGTGTCGAGACAAGGAAGAGCAGGAACGGCGCCATGGAGTACTGGATCAAGATGTGCCACGACCGGAAAATCCGCAGCGTGTCGCCCCATGCTGGAAGGAGGTAGAGCGGGCGGACACATGCAAACACAAACCACGTGAGGAATAATCCCAGCACCGTGGACGCGCGGATGGGGATTTCGGCACGCACGAGGTCGGTCGGACGTATGACAATGCGCGCCCAAAACGCCACCGATAGGATTCTTCCCCCGCCAAAACAAGCATTAGCGTTGGGCATAAGGTATCCAAGGAAAGCCGAGGAAGCACGTACAAGACGCTGTAGAGGGACGCGGTGCATACGTCTGAAATCAACCCGCTCACGACGGGGGGGTAGATGAAGTCGTACGACATGGGGTCGACGGCGCGGGCAATGAACGTCACGGACGCAAGTACGAGGAGATAGTACACTTGCTTCTGGATGGGAGAGCCTTCGTCCACAAGAACGATGTCAGATGGATGTGCAGGGGATTGGCAATACCGCTTGGTTGCGTACCTTTGCTTTGATGGACAGAGTACAGCTTGTGCACGCACGCGAGGAATGTTGCTATCCCGACCACGGCGCAGACAACGACGTACGCGTCATACTCGGCGCGATGCAGGTTCGCATAGGTGTTGTCCACATCACATCGCGACCTCTCCATGACTATCCCATAGCAGCACGTCTTGCCTGCGACGAGGAAGCATTCCTTGGCCATCGGAGGGTGTCCTTTCTAGCGATCGTCGTGCAAGTGTGCCGAGCTGGAATGTGATTCGGTCGTTGTGATTGGTCAAAATCGCTGGATTTGGCAATTTGACAATACAAGACTGCGACCAATATTATTTCCAGAAATGGGATATCCTTTTTATACTTCAGTAATATTAATATTTCGAAGTACGTAATAATTACTTACGTAACGTTATATTAATAAATAATATTATGATTTCCCCTGGATAATAATAAAAAGCCGGTCGAATTCCAATGCTGGCCCGTGATTGGTGCAAAACCAAAGGGGTGTGTGGCGCACAACACCAGTCAGTTCCTTTGCGGTATCATCAAGATGACGTTTGTCGGCACCGCGGTGGGCGCCGTCCTCGGCCTGAACACGAAGCTCCTTGTCAACACCTTGCAGAAGGTCCCTCTGTTGCGCCGTACGTTAAGTTCCTCATCGTCAAGTCATCATACTCATCGTGTGTTGCCTTGTAGAGCCTTGGGAACACTTGGCGTTGATCGGCCTCGGTGCCGTGGTCGGCAACCTGGCGACGAACAACGTGGAGAACGACAAGAAAGAAGTCGAAGCCCTCCGTGCATTGCTCGGCAACGTCGAGCAGCGCAAGGCCGTTCCTTCCGCCCAAGATTAATACCTAACCTACTAGATGTCTCCACCCTTTGCTCCGTCGACGTCCCCGCTCCTGCGTTCGCGTGTATCGTCTGCATCACTCACTGTCGCCCATACCTATCTATCGATTTCACACTCCTCCTTGTCCTTTCGCATCGATGACGTTATGTACATGGAATGGTGGTGGTTGTATTCGACACATTATAATCTATAGTTTTATTCCTGACTCGTTGGGGCTTCCGCCGCCTCTGTTCGCTTTCGCTTCTTCTCTGCCTTGCTCTTCTTCTTGTCTCCGTTCTTTGACGAGTTGGGGCCAGCCAACACTTGGAGCATCTGGGCCACCATGCCCTTGAGCACGGGGCTCACGGCACCTCCTCCTTCCTTCTTGTCTACTTCGCCACCACCACCTTGCACGACCAGCAGCGCCTTCAACTCTTTCGCCAGCGCGATCGCATCAATCGACTCGTCCTTGGCGTCCACGCGGGCCTTGAGCAACGCTTGCGCGCAGTTGGCCACGCCCTTCAAGCGTTTGCCCTTGACCTTTCCGAGGGCGTCCACCAACGCCGCATGGAGCGCCGGTCCCGTCGCCGCCAACCCACTGACGGGCACCGCGCCCTTGGTCTTGAACAGCGCCGTGAGGTGGCGCACCACTTCAGCGCGCGCGAAATCGTCGGCCGCCGCCGCGTCGTCAATGGCCAATGCCGCCAACGTATCAAACAGCAGCGCACCCGCCAGCGCCGGCGCGTTCGTGACGAGGTGGTCGAGCACGACGCGGGGCAGCTTGGCATGTTTCTTGGTCAGCAGCGTCGAAATGGACGGAACCAGCGCCGCGGCCACCGCATCGCCCGACGAGTTCTGGAGACCCGTGCGGACGAGGTACGTGACCAATGAGGCAGCGACCGCCGCCTGCTTTTTGTCCACGACGGTGCCGCTGGCCACCGCGAGCACGGCGGCCAATGCCCCGACGACCGCGTCCGTCTCAAAGGACGCCGCCGCCTCCTTGGTGCGGCGCGCGATCTTTTGCAGTACCGCGCCTACCCGATCGCTCCACACGAGCGTGTCGCGATGAGGCTTGAGGGTGGTCCAGGCCTTGAACAGCGGCTCGATCGTGTTGATTACGTGCGCGGCGCCAGGGCTGCCGGCGTACACATGGAGCAGATCCAACACGCGGACTTTGAAGTGCAGCGCTGCGATGCGGAGGCGCTTGGCGTGCTGTTTGGCCTTCTTCTTCTCGGACACTTGGCTTACCATGGCGGAAAGTGCCGCGTCTTCGCGTTGCAAATCGGCCAAGTGGATCGTTTCGTTTTCGTCGTCGTCTTCCATGACATGGTCGACATCCTCGTCGTCGTCGACACTAGTAGTAGTACTAGTAGTAGTAGTCAACTTGGATGGATCGATGGGCGCGCCGTCGTCATCGTCGTCGTCCACTTCGTCCATGTCCAACATGGATGTCTCTTCGTCGGCAGAACTCACGACCACGTCAACCATGCTTTGCACACTCGCGGCATCCAGCTGCTCCATGATGGATCGGAACACATGGGTGACAATATCACGCATGACACTCGAGCCTTGCGCGAGCATGCTCAACAGCATGTCGGTGAGCACGGCCAGCGGTTGCTGCTGCTCTTGTTCAGTCTCGGCTTCTTTGGCCGCCTTCTTGGCCTTCTTCTTGGACGGCGCGGGCGCGTTCAGCTCGGCCAAACATCGCGCGAGGTCGGCGAGCACGGACGACGCATCGTCTCGCTGCGCCGGGTCCAGCAGCTGCAATCCCACACATACATTGAGGAGCGTGAACCCCTTTAGCCGGAGCGCGGCCTTCTTGTCCTCGGCGGCGGAAGCCACCTGCGCCACGAGCGACTTGAGCTGTTTACCCACCGCCGTCCGCTGCGCCGCGTGAGCCGTCGACAGCGGCGCCTTGAGCACCAGCTGGCCATCGTTGGTCAAGTCGCCCCACGTCTGCCACAGACGGAACGGCACGCTCGTGTCCAATGCGACCGATGGGTCCTTGAGTACTTGGTTGCCGAGGCCGACGAGGGCATACACGCGCTTGGAGAGAGCGGCGACGACGGATGCGCTGAGTGCGGGTGTGGGTACTTGGTCCAAAGTGCTAGACCCGGCCTTCTTCTTCTTCTTGCTTGGCTTCACATCGGAGGATGGTTCAAAGAAGGCGTGGGTGACAAAGAACCCCAGCGATTCCTTCCACACGTCGTCTGAGGTCGACGCGGCCGGGAGTTTGAGCGTGGCCGTGTACATGGTGTCCAGGGCCCACATGCGGGCGCTGGCAATGCGCTTGGCTTGAAAGTCCGCCCGTTCCTTGTCTTCTTCCAGCGCCAGCAACGCTTCAAACCCAACTTTCTTGTTCTTGTCGTCGCCAATATTGTCACCATTGTCATCGTCGTCATCTGGCAAGTGCGACACCAAACACGTCAACGGATGCAAAAACTGGTGCTGCAGAAACCGGAAAAACTCGAGGGGTTGCGCCGACACAAACGTATGCAGGGCGCCGAGCGCGGCTTCGTGGAGGTATGTCTTCTTGGACACGGCGTTGTTGTGGATGACCTTGATAAAGTGCGGCGTGAGGATAGACCGAAGCGTGGGCGGCGGCAGCGTCGGCACGAGCGCCTCAAACAACTTGAGCGCGGTGCCGCGGCGTTCGTGGGACGATCCTGGCGCCACCAGCATGCCTTCGACCAGCACCGACCACATTTCCTGGAAACGTTCTTCGTCGAGCTTGGCAGTGGACGTGAAATGCTCGACGAGGCGGCGCCACGACGAGTGTAGCCGCGGGTAGATGGACGTGGACGACTTGAGCGGGTCCACGAGGTGGTGAAAGTGATGGCGGCTAACGATGGTCGCGATCGCGTCCAAGGCGGCGGCGGCGCCGAGATTGTGGGCATGGACGTACGTATGCAGTCCAATGGCCAGCGACACTTGGTCGGCGTTAAATTGGGCTACCGAGCTGGTTGAGAGGAGCGCCGTGAGCTTGGGCAGCGCCACCGACTCAAACGTGGCAGCAGGCAACGACTCGACGATTGCCAACAACCCTTCGTAACAAGCTTCTCGAAACCATTTTTTCCACTTGGATAAGGTGATTACTTCGTCCAGCAAGGACGCAATGACCAAGTCGTCGGCGCCGCTCAATCGACCCGACGAGTGGATGGCGAGCAAGCCAAAGAGACGACCAAACATGTGATCGCGCTGCTCCATGCCCTTCATGGACGCGGACACGTCCATGGTCGACTTGAGAAGGTCCAGGACCGACTCGACTGGCACCGCGGCCGGGAAATGATGCAGAAGGGCCGTGAGCGCCGTGCTAAAGCCTTGGCGCGCGGCATCCCGCGACGACGCAAGGCCGCGGATCAAGCGCTTTAGTGTGTACGCCAGCTCCTCGGCGTCGTTGGCTTGGTTCAAGTGTTGAACGATGGACTCGACGGCGGCGACGCGGGTCGCGGGGTTCAATTCGGCCAAGTCCCAGAACACTTTGAGGAACGCGTTGCGAGAATCTGTGTTGGTGGTCGCCGTGGAGGCGATGGGTGCTACAGCAGCAGCGACGACATCCTCTTCCGAGTCTACTTTGGAGGCAACAGCGGCAGGAACGGCGGCCGCAGCCGAGGTCTTCAGCTTCTTGTTGGCCATCGCGACACTTGTGTGGATCTGTTGCCAAGACGACAAATTTGATTGGTGATCAGCAAATAGGCAGATTTATTTTATCACCAGTCGTTCGCCCCGTGTGGTTTTTATAATTACGGCACGAACGCATCCGATTGGCTGGATTCTCCCCCTCGATACAAGCACATTGACCCTTCTATCGAGATGATTGCTTTCTTCCAGTTTCAGGTGGCAATGGAGGCACACAGGGTGAAGCTTGTTGCATGATGCCGATAGGACCCGCGTGGAAGCATGTATCCCTGCACCCACCTTGATGTATCTAATGCGTGCAAGCGCTTGCATGCATGAGATATGTACGTCAAGGTGGGTGCAGGGATACGAGGTGTATGGAAAAACATGCTTCCTTGTACGAGTCCTGCTGCCCAGGAGGTCATCGACCAGTGTGAAGCACCGCACTCATTGGTGAGATGGATAGCACAATTTGATAGTTCCATCGTATCTCCCCAATCTGTTACGCGTAGGTGTTGTGTATTGGGGAGATACGATGGAAGTTACTATCTCGACGATGCTCCCCTTCCATCTCGGTATCCATGCAAGGAACGATGTATTGACATGACGTCTAATATTGTATCGCATATTAGAACGTTCGATCATTCCTATGTCGTGGTGTCCGCGTTTTGCATCCGTTTCGACAAGATGTTCATCTTCCAGTCTGCATAGGCGCTGCTGGGCGCGGTCGACGCTTGGACCGGCGACGTTGGTGGTTGTTGAGTCCGTGTCGGTCGAGGGGTTTCTATGGACGGGGAAATGCATGACGATACTCCATGTTTCAAGTCCTTACGGATGGCGGATTGCGCTGCTGCTGCTGCATGCTGCTGAATGAGTTTCTTGATCTGGTCCAACGATCGTGTGTTGGACACAGCATTGCTCGCGTCCTTGGAGTTGTTCTCCTTGTCTACGGCGTCTTGTGTCGATGCGTCGACTTCGTTTCGTTTCCGCTTTCGACCTGTAAACCGAAAAGCAGCATTATGGCATCATGTCATGGACATCGTACGTACGTACCCAATGCACAAGCAGTGGCCGCGGGAACAAACTTGGTCAGTGCATGTTGACACAATGCCTTCGAGGTAATCATCAGTACAACACAACGTCACATGTGTCGACAGTACCTCGATCGACGACACGACGCTGCCAAACTCCTTGGGTTGGGACATGGTCAATTGAAGCAGTTGGTTCTTGTCGACCCGGTACTACATGTATCCTGTCAGATCACATGGAAGGCGGGATCATTCCGTCAAGAGTTTCGTGCATGTACATACGCTAGCCTTTTGCGCGCATGTGTAAAACACCGCGGCGGGAAACAGAGGCCGTGTCACGTCCACATAGCGTTGTTGGGTGGCTGTCAACTTGGCCATCATGCGATGCTACATCCACAAGACTTTATGACGTGCGAACGCAGTATGTGTGGGGTACCTTGTATTCGTCGTGCACAGACGCAACATAGTCTTTGAGCCCGGGACATCCAAATTTCACGCAAAGCGACGCTGTTGTGATGGTCGTCGTGGTTTGAAGGCGTAAGATGCCGCTGATGTTGCGTACACATTGTTTGTGCTTCCCTAGACTCGTGCCCCCTGAGAGCATGTACAGCTTCCGACTATCAAACGGTTCCTGGAGCACTTCGCACGCCAGTTCCAGACACGCGGCTGGACGGTCCAGCATCGGCACGGCGTTTCCTCCCTACATCATCCTTCTGCGTGAATATCATGCAGAGAGCATGCATGACGACGGACCCCTTGAAGCTTCAAGTCGAGCAAACGGTGTAACTCTTGCGCCTTGCCGACAACTGCCGCCGATATCCCGCCATGTTTCTCTGCCAAGGCCTGGAGATCCATTTTTGAGAGGTTCGTTTTGGCGCCTTCGTTTCCGAATATCCGGATAATTCAAACCATACTGTACCAGATTTCCATTTTGTGTCAGTGATTTTACAGTACTGTAGTTGGCGCAGTCGGTGAGAGGACTGAAAAGGCCACCGTCCGTCTGCCTGGCGACGGACGGAAGCTGTTATGGCAACCATGTCAAGGTTTGTCACTTCGAGGCCACCAAGTACTAGTACACCTTTTTGCAGTTAAGTTGGACGAATGCCCGGTATATTTGGTCGTGTGCCCGATATATTTAACGGGCACATGGCCAATTACGTCGGGCACACCGCCAAATACATCGGGCACACGACCAAATATACCGGGCATTCGTCCAACTTAACTGCAAAAAGGTGTAGTAGCGTTAGAAACCAACACACGTATGCCTTGTACTTTAAGCAATGACTAGCGTCCCAGATCACCACATTGTCGACCTCTATGTTGTCCACGGATGCTTGCAAGGCGTGGACCGCAAAAATGTATGCGGCCATCGAGGCGTCGACTGTCATGGTCCGGTGGATCGTACAGTATCAACACTCGACGTCCTCCAAGGAAATAAATCAGGTCAGATTGATATTGATTCGTCTACCCCAGTCGGCAAGAACGGCTCCACGTGTACCCGTCGGGGATCCTCCACAGTCGTACTATACCTACCACATGCAAAGTGTTTTCATAAAAATATGTCACATGACCAAGTGTCTATTTCACATACTCGAAATGTCACATGCACAAGCTGCACCCTGAGATATCTAAATACCGTCAAGGAGGTCATTCAACTGAAACCCTCTCGCATCACCACCACCAATGGCGACGACGAGCACCGTACGCATTGGTTGGTCCTCACCCGACAAACCGTCCGTGTAGTCCTGGACAAAGTTCAGTCAAGGGGTGACGTTTCGAGCGTGTGAGATAGTGTTATCGCATCCTCTGTCTGTGTAATACGACTTTACTCAAGGGATGACATTTCGAACGTGTGAAATAACGTTAGTGTATCCGTTTATGGCATCCTTGTATACGAACTTTACACAAGGATGACATTTCGAACGTGAGAGATAGTGTATCCTTGTCTATAGATGCAATTCTAGTAGACATTTCAAACGAGTGAACATCTACAAACGGACTTGATTGCTACCAACCATTCAGAACTTGAACGATACAGACCGGTCCAATAACACAGTGGTTATCGATCGTCAAAGTATTGTTAAATGCCCAATCAAATGTGTTGGTTTGTTGCATTTTACGCAATTTGAACCAATCGACGCGCGATGTTGCCATCACGTTACGGTTCGAATGATGCTTTGGGTTCTTAAACAACGTTATCTTCTGCTTCTTCATACACGGTGCCACGGTAGAGGCTAACGAGGCCAAACACTAGGAGCTACCACCACCCACAGAGGCAACAATCAGATCCCATTGCAATGATTAGGCAACAAGAGGTGAGACGATATTACCGAGAGGCACGCGACCAAGAGCACTCCAAAGTACGGAGCAAAGACCACGATGGTAGCCAAGTCGCCCCAGTTGAGCTTGTACATGAGCAAGAGGAAGGGCGAAAACGTCGCGACGGTCAGCACCAAGGACGAGACGGCGGCAACCACGGGCCACGCGGCGGATGGAGGCTTCTGGGGGTCGTCGTCCAGTGAAGATGCATTCGCAATGGAAAACTTGACCGCAGCGAAGACGCCCAGTGGCTACATATGGATATAACAACAGCATGTCAGGATTCGTGTGTTACGAGTATATGATATATATATATATTATATATATATTGTCAAGTCGATTCGAAATTGGAGTGGGATGCTCCATCGAATGAGCAGCAGCCAGCACCAAATCGACAGACAATCGATCGACCAATCAAAACCCACAACAATCATCAAGTAGCCAATCAAATCCACTCTTCGACCAAACCAACATCGAATTAGTGTATGACTGAAATTAATGTCATACTGGACCATTTTTACATACAAAAGTCAAACAATCGATCGATAGATTTGGCAAAGAATTCACACAAAAGTCAACCAAATTTTGGGTAAACTAGTAGGATTGTCAAATTAGATCGGTTGTATTGTTTTAAACTGGAGCGAACATGGAGAATGAATCGACACAACCAAATGGACACAAGAATTGGCAGAAGGATTTAGCCAATCAGGTTGCAGGAAACCATCATCAACGTAAAATTAGTGTGTGACTTCAATTAGTGTGATACCCATTACCACAGGACACCTTTTTACATACAAAATGAATCGATCGATAGATTTGGCGAATCAGCACAGAAGTCAACCAAATTTTGGGTAAAATGACAATACCACAAGAACGATGCTGACGACGACCGCGATCCAATATGGAAAAAACACGGCGTTCCAGCTCCACGTGAGCGTTCCGTCCAGTTTCGTCGCGACGAGCACGACTTGGGCGACGTTGGCGAACGCCGCGCAGTTGCCCTGCATGAGCGAGACGAGGTAGTACGGCGTCATGAGGGCCGCCCAGTGCCACGTGATGGACCCTTCCAGCTTGAGGCAGATGAACACTTCGGTCAAGATGTACATGAGCACGAGGAACACGTTGAAGCTACATGCGACCTTATTGGTGAGAAGGATCAATGCGGACCACCACGGAAGGACGTACACGCGGTTCTCGGGTTTGGGCTCGACAGGTGCAGTCACTTCAACGACGTCGGTGGTGCTGCCCTCAGTGGCCCCATCCTGGACCCTGGTGACGTCTTGGGAATCATCAAAGTGATCTTCACGGTCCACAGGGTCGATCCCCTTGAAAAAGCACGTCGAGTACAACCACACGGCGTTGAACACCCATAGCGGCAAGAGCACCAACCACCACGACCACGACACGACGTTGTCAACCTTGAAGTAGACGAGGACTACGATAGGCATGCGTGAACAAACATGAGGTTAGCTACAGGAGGAAGGCATGTATCATGACGTACGAGGTCCGAGGAAGAAGGGTACGGTGATGGCAAGCACGAGCAGCGTGTATACGAACGAACTCGTGAGTTTGTCGGCCGGGTCGGCGCCGACCGTGGCGAGGACAGCTTCGACGTGCTTGTTCACGTTCGCCTGGTTGGTGCTCTCGGCAAAGTCAGACATCTGTCGGACAAGGGGCACGGATGACGCGCGTTGGGACGGCGCCTTCACTAGAAGGGCCTTGGATTCGCCTGGCTGCATGATAAGCAATTGCAACAAAAATGTGAAGTGACGACAATGACCAAAAGGCATTTAGTAATACTACATAGTACTATCAGTTTTTGTAAGACATTGTTATAGTACTACTAATCCAGCCCAGACTTCAACCACTATTCTAAACTCTGATTGGTAGTCGCTCCGATTTTACTGCCAATCATCAACTCGATCGATGGTTGTACTTTTGTCTCGAACTGGGGACTTCACTGATTTCCATACTGTATCACTTCATACTACTCCATGACAACATGCCAGGTCCTCCTTCCATCGGACAACCTTCGTTCCATTGCGCTCGACAGTACGTTCCGGATACTAGCACATACTAATCATTCGCGTACCTCTATTTCCTACACGACGGTGGGCCCATCGACGGCCCGCTCAACACGCTGAGGACGCTCGAGTTGACAAAGCAACATGTGGCCTCGCCTATAAAACTGGGTTCCGATATGATTTGCTTCAACTGTACATAACGTTACTGGCACATTGAAGTCCCACGCAACATGACCCTATCTGCCTTCCAAGGCGCAACGGTTTATCTCACGATAGCACCGACGAGGAATCGTGTCCATGTGGCCATCCTTGGAGTGCAGATCAATTGGTGGTCTTGTCAGAGCGAAAACTCATCCTTGACAAAGATGCCGATGACGCGACTGATGTCTCACAACACTGCAGCGACAGTGTTGCAGTGCATGCCTACTTTATGTTGTTTGGATGTCCATCTCACGGACGACGATGTAATTGGCCGCTGAAATGCTACTGCAGAGACTTGCTTCCATGTCCCTGAGTCTCACGCGACTGCGACTCTTAAAGGGACATGGTCAATTCGACGATGGTGAATTGCATGACGGGTCAGCCCTCACCTTCGACGCCCTCTTTCGTTCCATGGCAACGACGTCGAGATGGTGAAGTACGACGAAGCGTCAATACTCCACACTCTCGTCACTGGCGTGGAACATCGTTTGCCCCACCATGCGACAACGTGGTCAGTTGTTCATTCCTTTAAATGTGACGCAGTTGGCGCTCACGGAGATCGAACGCGACGCCGTGGGTGCATTCTCCCTCTGTTCAAACTTTAAGTCCTGCTGATATCGCCACACCGATAGCCTTGGCCGTCGTGCTGGTCATTGCGGTACGGCAATATGATTCCGTCCAATCGATGTGATATCTATGGAAATAGGGTCGGAGCACGTGGCCAGCGCAGACGCGTCAGTCCCCCGGAAGCCCCGGGTGATCCCCCCGCTGGTCCTGCAAAGTGTTGCTACTTTGTTCAGGACCAGGTGCTTCAAGTAAGCTGAAGACAATCTTACTTGAATCACATACATACATAGTCGTCCTGATACTTGCGGCGGTGCTAACTGGCGTAGGCCCTGTGGAACGTCGACCTTGTCGGCCAACCAGACGACCCCCAAGCCCCCCCCCGTCGCCCGCGGTGTAACCAACCAGCCAACTGTTCTCTGGTGAAAACCCATATCAAGAAGAACGATTTATGAACACCAGTGCTCCAGGTTCCCTCTACGGGCACGTGTTTACTAACGTTACCTTTGCACTGGTTCATCCCTTATTTAGCGGGGGACAAGAGCCTTTCCAAGGACTTCCGGTTTTGACCGCGACCGGACACTTGCAATACCTCTCATGAAGCCAGGATGTCAATATCCCTACTGAGGTCAGTTGTACATTTTATTGCTCAAATTTACGTGTGACCTCCCACGACCAGTGTACGATGTCTAAGCGGTAGACAACGGACGCTGCCCCGTTGGGCGTGCCGTGTAATACTACTGTATTGAGGTAACTATTACTGGGCTGTAGCCGCAATAGTTACAAGACTACCTAATAGTCTTGTACTATGTCATTGTTGGACGGGTTGCAATCTAAAACATCACTGGAGTTGTTTGGCAGGAGTGTAGTGAGTGTATGCATGGTATTCATAGTACACAAACAGGTCCGGAGAATCCGATATTTCTTGTTGTTGCAAGGACAAGGTTAAAAAACACGAGGTTTAAGCGCGGGCGACTTGGCCAGCAATGCGATCCAAGTCGGTTTGGCCGTGGCTGGTGATCTTGCGACCGCCCTTGTTGACGCCTTCGGGGCACTTCTCCACGACCTTCATCTCTTCCAACTGGTGCAAGATGTGGCGAATCAACCCACCCGATGCCTTTTGGTATTGCTGGCGAAGGGCGCCACGGCGAGCGGCACCGCCGTACACCTTCTTCAACGCACCGACACCAGTGTTTTCGCGAAGGTACACCTTGCGCGCGATGGACGCGGCGCGGACGTAGTACCAGTCGGCGTTGTCGGGGGAGTATTCCTTGAACGACGCGGTCTTGACGATGTCCCACCAGATCGGGAGTTCCATCTTGCCGGAACGCTTCAAGTGTTCAGCGTATTCCTTGATAAAGTCGGCGGCCTTGACGTCGCGGACAGTCACACCACGGGGAGCATCGAAATCAGCCATTGTCGTCTAGAAGTCTACACATGTACATGTGAGAACACGTCTGTACCACCGCATCCACACCGCCGCGTCACCTTCGACCCGAGCGATGTACTTGCGATAAGCAAGCAAACAACGCACGAGCAGAAGAGGACACAGCCATGCTTAGCAGGACAGTCTCGGTTCTCTGGAGAGAACGTCATTCCACATCGGGAACGCCATCATGTATGTGCATGCACTACTTACTTTGTCGAAGCGGGCAACAAGAAGAGTGGAAACGGGGGCCATGACCTGTTCAAATCCCGAGCAGCTCCTGGCCAATTGGCCCGTCGTGACATGCCATTCGCTATAAATACCGCAATCCTCGCATTCCATTGGCTAAAAAAGACCGCGCCTCGACTTGTCATTGGTAAGTTCGCCTCGCACTTTGGGGCGACTGATCTCGTTTGATTGGTGGGAACTACACGAGTGGTGGTTGACCGTTGGTTGGCACTTGGATTGAATCGCCCGACCACCCAAATTCGTATTCGACTCGATCATCATGCTCGTGCTTTTCGAGACTGCGGCGGGCCATGCGCTCTTCAAGGTGCAGGATGAAGGCAAACTGACCAACGTGGACGACATCCACAAGCACTTTGCCACCGCCGACAAGGCCAACTCTTTGTACGTTGCATGCTACATTGCCCATCCCTGGAATTGTGTGCACCACCAACCATCCTTGTCTAACCATATATGTGTACCTTTTTTTAGCGTCAAGTTGAAGGCGTTCAATGCTTTCAAGGACACGACCGAAGCCGTGGCCGCAGCCGCCGACTGCGTGGACAACACCGTCGGCAAGAGCCTCAAGAAGTTCTTGAAGAAGCACGTCAAGGACGCCGGTTTGTCGGACAAGTTGGCGGTCGTGGACAAGGCGTTTGGGGGGGTGATCAAGGAAAAACTCGGCATCCAGTGCGTGCATGACGCGTCGATCCAAGAACTCCTCCGCGGGATCCGCACGCACATGAACTCTTTGATCTCTGGCTTGGACGACCAAGACTTGAAGTCGATGACCCTTGGTCTCTCGCACAGCTTGTCCCGATACAAGCTCAAGTTTAGCGCAGACAAGGTCGACACGATGATCGTGCAGGCGATCGGTCTGCTGGACGAACTGGACAAGGAGATCAACACGTACTCGATGCGCGTGCGCGAATGGTTTGGCTGGCACTTTCCCGAGATGGGCAAGATCGTCACAGACAACCTCCAGTACGCCCGCGTCGTGCTCAAGACGGGCACGCGGCCGCATGTGAAGAACCTCGACTTTTCCGACATTCTGAGCTCGGACGTCGAAGCGTCCATGCGCGAAGTGTGCGAAGTGTCGATGGGCACGGATATTTCCGAGGAAGATGTGCTTAACATTGGCTCGCTGTGTACACAAGTGATCTCTCTCACCGAGTACCGCACGCAGCTGTTTGACTATTTGAAGAACCGCATGAACGCCATCGCGCCCAACCTCACCGTCATGGTCGGCGAGTTGGTCGGCGCGCGGCTCATCGCGCACGCCGGCTCGCTCATGAACCTCGCCAAGCATCCCGCGTCTACCGTCCAGATCCTCGGCGCCGAAAAGGCGTTGTTCCGAGCCCTCAAGACCAAACATGACACCCCCAAGTACGGGTTGATCTACCACGCGTCGCTAATTGGCCAAACGGCCCCCAAGCACAAGGGCAAGATCTCGCGGGTGCTGGCGGCCAAGACTTCGCTCGCGGTCCGCGTGGACGCGCTGGGGGATGCCACGGAAGCCACCATTGGGTTTGATAACCGCGCCAAGGTGGAGGCGCGAATGCGGCAGCTGGAGAATGGGTTCACGGGCGTCGTGTCGGGCAAGGGCAAGGCCAAGAACGAAGTGAAGAAGTACGTGAAGGAACCTGTGGCGGCCGTCAAGAGCTACAACGACGCGGAAGACATCAAGTTGGTGAAGAAGGAGAAGAAGGAAAAGAAACGCAAGGCCGAGGTGGAGCAAGTTGAGGAGCAAGTCGAGGAAGTCGAGGAAGCCCCGAAGAAGAAGGCCAAGAAGGAAAAGAAGGCCAAGAAGGAAGAGGCAGTCGAGGTCGAGGTGGCGGCGGCGACGGACGAAGTGGACACAAAGGACAAGAAGAAGAAGAAGAAGAAGCAAAAAGCGGAATAGATACAGACGACTACTACACTATGGATGTATATTGAATATATGGAAGATCGACATGACATTCATTGTAGTAGTACACTGTATGATTGGCTAAAATATGATATTTATGACGAATCAAAACGTGGCGTCGATTTGGTGGCGGTTCAAATATTAATAATTACTCTGAAAATTTCTGCAAAATTCAGGTACTGTATGTTTGGGCGATGAGCAGGAGTTTTTCTGGGAACAGTAAAGGCTTTTACAGGGGTGAACCAAATCTTCCATAAAATAGCTCATTGCAGATGCAATACGATGATGTCTGCAATGGTCTATCTTACGAAGTCTAAAGCCTCCTATAGCGAGAGGAGATAGTGTTCAACGCTACGTCGTTAGTCACCACCATGTCACTTTAATACAAATGTAACACGTATATTTCAAACGAATAATGTGGTTGAATTACTGGTTAAAATCAAAACAAGAAAGCACTCCAGAGTATATTAATATGCGATATAATTATATTATTATTGGCGGGATTCACGGTCAACGATTTTTTGGCGGCACTTTCGACGCTTTGAAATGCCCAAGCGACGGCGTGGCCACGGTCTTACCAGAAGTGTGAAATACTTCAGAAATCAGCGTCGAGGCAATAATCCAGCCAGCTGTGCCTCTGATCAATTGGCAGGCCCTGTGGATCCACTGATTCAAGCACCAACGGCATGTCCAGACCAATCACAACCTGTTCTTCTCCATCCTCAGACACCAACGGCCGTCCCAAACAAAGCCATGCCAATCCCAAAGCACCAAGAACAGTCTGTTACCAGTGAACAAAGACGCGTAGCGTGGATTGTACACTTTGTTGACGTGCTTGGCTCTCCACCAGAACACGAATGGAACGTTCATCGTGGCACCATTCACGACATGTTGGTTGCTTTCAACCTTAAAGAAGGAATGCGAGTGCCCATGCGAAATGCATTGTTGCAGTTCTTGGCGAGTGTTCAACAAGGCATTGCTTACACCGGCAGCGTGTCCCGTCCCGGTGGTCAGAACCGAGTGGTAGAACTGGATTCGGCCGAATCACAAATCATTGCTGATTGCATGGAAATGGCCTGGAGTGTCACGCAGACGAGCCACATGGTTAATCACTATCGTTCCCAGCAAGCCAAAGTCAGTGTTGGGCGGTCTTCTGTGTATAGTGCCTACCTACGTCTCAAGCCCCGCGTGTCGTCAATGACAGCATCGAAGCAAGGCAGCAACGATGTCGAATCTCCATGGGCAAAGGCTCGACTAGCGTGGGCAAGGCAAATGGGTGTTCGTCTTGGTATTTGGTCGTGGCCATCATCCCTTGGCCCTACCCCGAAGTCCATGGATATGACGTATTTGTCAGCGTTGAGTTTGACTCAAGTCGTCGTGTGGGATGAAACCCATAAAGAAGTCAAAGTGGGTCAGTTGGGGCCAAGTGGAAGTAAACGACAAGTTCGTTTTCCAAGGGACGAAGATGGCCGCATCGATTGTGTTAATGGCCGGTATGCCCCACCTGGAACCTACCTGAAGATGAAGTATCCTGGCCAAGCGCGCTTTTCGTTTGGGTGCGCAATTGTTTCTACACCAGACGGTCAAGAGGGCCGTCGTTGCCGCCCGTTCATCTACTCCGGGAAATGGATCCGAAGCATTGATGAGTACAGTGCTCTACAAAAGGACGAGATATCACGCGTACAAAACCTGAAGGGGGAGGTGCATCCGTGGGTTGTTCAACGACCTTCAAAATCACCGGGTACGATAACTACTAGTAAATAATTTACACTAAATGATAAATTGATATATATTTAATTTGTAGAATTTTTCGACGAGGACATTTTGTCAATCCTACCAAATGTGGGCAAAACCACCGCGGCGAAACTGGCATCGATGGGATTTTCTACAATTGGTGAATTGCGAATCTCTGATCCGGATAAGTTGGCAATCAAATGTTCGAATTCCCATGGAATGACGAGGAAAAAGGTTTACCACATCCACTCATTGTCACTGGGATCGAGGGGCCCGAATCCAGCTGACGTCGTCGTTGACCACCGGAAATCCGACAACCCTTACAAATCGTTGTATGGCGACGACTGGGAAAGCCACATGGAGCATTGTACCCTGTTGAGGCCCCACGTCTGCGTGTCATGCAGACACACCGAATACATGATGGCTTTGAATATGGTTGCCGACCATGCTTGTCGGCAACCACAGCAAATGCTAAAACGTATTCAGTGTGGCTTCATGTCTTGCTGCTGCACTGTGTCCCTGGGGGACCTAAGTGTGGTTGCCAATGAATCATGGGTATATCCTACGTGTCCTACGTCGACAACACACTTAGCGCCAACATGGATTCGGTGTACCTTCGTGTCTTGCCGCTGCACTGTGCCCCTGGCTGTCGTTGCCGATGAATGATGCGTGCTTGTGCTATTGAGTGTCGATGTTGGAGTGCGATGGAACAGTTGAAAATCGCCAACGGTCTTTCACCTGATTGGTTGTAATTAAATAACATAATAAAAAAACAATTGATGTATATTTAAATAAACTTTGGTGACAATTTTTCAAAGTAATTTCAAAGCCGATACCTATTTTATATATGGATATTTGGGTTGCATTGCCAAATTTCAACATTGAATTGCGTTGCAATCATTGTGCTTTAGGGAGTCAAATTTTATACAGACCTTGCCCCTGAACATATCAATGCAGCTTCAAAATTTGAGCAAAAACGGACAAAAATTGACAAAATTCTCCTGCGCGCCGCCCAAACATACAGTAGTTGGTCAATGGTGAGGCAGCGCATGAACATGGAAAGGTAGAGAGAGAGAGAGATATGTACACACTCGTGCATGCTCCATGGCGGGAAGGTATGGCATGATCCTGACACGAAATGAACGTGATGGAAGTGTATAACGTTAGCACTAGGAACGGCGCCGTGTTCCGAGTGGTTGATATGTCGCGGAGATGTTGGGGAGAAAGGTGTATTTCCGAGTGATTGATATGTCGTGGAGATGTTGGGGAGAAAGGTATACTGTATGTACGTCGTGGGGCGCTTGGTATCTCATGGCATGTCCAGAGTGTGGATGGCGTAATGTTAGTGCGTATCGGACGTTTGCTTGTTGAATATGGAAACATGATGGTAGTAAGATAGGAGATACATACGTCGTTACAAGATTCGTTTGGCTAATGCGCGGACGCGCAAGTCAAAGTCCGGCGACGTGATGAGGGAGTCGTGGGCGTAGAACGGATTCAGGAGCAGCTTCACGTACAAGTCGTACACTTCCTGGAAGAACAGCTTGATCGCGTCTTCGTTGCGGCTTTCATGGAGGAGGAGGAACTTGATCGTGGTCGCCGTGACAAACCCCGACACGAACTGGTCGTTGAACTTGTCCACGACCTTCATCCACATATTGTTGTTGGTCCACATGGACTCATGGACAACGTCCAGGGACGAGTGCAGGACGAACTCATCGACATGCGCCGTCTCCTCCTTCCGCGGCTTCACATCCAGCGAATACAACGGCTCCTTGGACCCCACGATCATGAAGAGCGACATGGTCAATAGTAACGTTAACGTAAGTTGGAGTTTGAAAAAGTCCACCGTATCCGGACGCTTGTGGATTTTTGTGGATTTATCCGAATCCTGTGACTTGACATTTTGCCCATGCTCCAAGCTAGCATTGTCGTGGCTGTCGTGGCCGTGGCTGTATGTCTGTGGAGGGTATGGTGCATCCTTCCCCGTCGTAATGGAGCTACATCTTCCTCGCTGCTCCATACACCAGGCAAGCCATCCTCGGGTAACCAGACGTCAACCACAAGTGGCTCCACCGCACGCACGCTCGTGGTTCTCGGGTCGGGTGGACATACCACCGAAATGCTCAAGCTGATCAAGAGGTTGTCGATGGATACGTACGCGCCTTTGGCGTTTGTCGTGGCTGCTTCCGACCACACAAGCGAGGAGAAAGCTCGCGTGGAACGCAAGGTACTATCCACCGACCAACGTCGCCTTCCTTGGCCCACCAGTGCTTATAGGACGATGGACCCCTCCACTTCTACACGATTCCTCGCAGTCGGGAGGTACATACAGTGCATCCAACGATGTCCACTTCGCCATCACATGTGCAATTTCTCGTAGGTCGGGCAGTCGTGGGTGTCCACCGTGTTCACGACAGCATACTCGTTTCTGTACAGTGTATGGGTGGTGTTTCACTTCCAGCCCGACGTGTTAGTTTGCAATGGCCCTGGTAACGACGACTTTCAACTGTCACCGTATCACGCCACGTATGGTCATCCTTGATGTAATGGCCCCGTAGGCACATGCATCCCCATCTGCGCAGCGCTGCTCGTCCGCCGCTTTCTCGGGCACCAACCATCGTCCAAGCTGATCTTTTGCGAGTCATTTGCGCGTGTGCAGCGTCTGTCGCTGTCCGGTCGACTTCTGTACCACGTCGCAGACGCTTTCGTCGTGCACTGGCCGCAACTGCAGGCAAAATACCCACATGCCACGTATCTTGGCACGATTTGCTAGATTACTACTAATAGGTACTAGTAATACTACTGTAGTACCCAAACGTGTGAAACTATTAATAGACGGGAATAGTTAACAACACCGACAGACCACTCATATGAAGGTGAAGGTCGATCGATCGATTGTTTGTCCTGACTTTTGTATGTAAAGATCCTTCCAGTTTCACACTAATTTCAGTCACACACCAATATTGGTCGAAGAGTGGCTAATTGGATTGGCTACTTGATCTTGATCTGGGTGTTGATTGGTCGATTGTCTGTATTTGGTTCTCATTCGATTGAGAATTCCAATTTCAAATCGAATATCTTGACAATATATGAATGTGTGACAATGTGTTCATTTCTCATTACGACTTTACCAGCATCGGTTTGGCATAGTGGTCGCTAGTCATCGTCGATTGCAATCGCAGGAGATCGCTCCGATTCTATCCACACAAATATATACCATGAGACAACGTGATCCAATATACACAAACACATGGAAACATGCCGAATCTCTTACCATTTCCGTCCACGTGACCATCTTGGCCAGTTGGTCGGGCGTGAGCACCGCGCGAAAGTACACGTCCAACGACGGCGCGAACGCCCCAAGCTCAAATGCTCGGCGGCGTAGCACTTTGAATGCTTTCACAAGCAGCGCCAGGCGCGGCATCTCACGCCGGCGCACGACGGCCGCGAGGTCGTCCAGCTGCTGCTGCTGGGTCGGCGATAGGCGCAGGACGTCGGCGAGACCGTTGGAGGCGGCGTCCCATAGCATGGTCATGTCCAGGAGGCTCGCTTGCAACAGCGCCAGCGTCCGCCCCAGCGCCGAAAACACCTTGTCCAGTAACGGATGCTTGGGATGGCCCAGCATGCGCCTCTGCCGCGACGCATGCATCACGACGGCAAACGACGGCAGCGACGGCCGCAATCCACACAGCAAGTCGAGTTGGGCGGGGGGGGAACGTCCAAACCGGAACCGTCCGAGCGATTCCTTGGCGATCTGCAGGTGCTGGATGCCATCTTCGAGCACTTCGACGTACTTTTGCTGCTTCTTTCTGGATTCCCGGGCCGAATCGCGGTTGCGTTCGAGCTTTTTGTCTCGCTTTTCCGCTTCTTCGTCCAGCAAACTCTGCAGCATGGAGCTGATTTCGCCCGTGCCGGGCTTGCGTGCTAACGGCACATGCGGCTTGAGCGGCGGCTTTGCCGCCGCGATCGACGACGGACCGCCCGGCGGCGGCATCCCCATCGAGAAGGGCATGGGGTTGAGACCGACGCCGCCGCCGCCATTCAGCATGGAGGGCGGGAGGTTGAGGAATGGGTTCATCATCATGGAAGCGGCGGCGGTCGGCTGGAAATGCTGCTGCGATGGTTGTTGGCCGTGATGAGGGGGATGATGCTGGGGCGGCATCGGGTGGTGTGGTCCTTGGTTGTACATGATAAAGCCAGGGGGTATCATCATGTTGTTGTATGGCGACGCGTGCCCAAACGAAGAAGATGATGACGTCGATGACGGGTGGCCAAACATGGGAGTGTGACCTTGTCCTTGGGGGGAGTGCGCCATTTGGAGGGGATTGGCCGCCGCCGACGGTGGCGGCGGCGCAAACTGCTGGCCGCCACTGTGATGGGTGTTTAGAAACAATCCGCCGCCGCCGCTTCCATGATGCTGGCTCTGTTGAAGCTGTTGGTGCTGGGAAGGCATGTGAAACGACGTTGGACCGAACGCCGACGACCCGTTCGTGCTGGATGAAGGAGGAGGATGGGAAGCAAACATGGACGAGTGAGTTGCCGCATGCATGGTCGAATACCCGCCGACAGAGTGCACGGGGTTAAAGACGTTCCCGCCGCCAAGGGCGGCCGTGGTGTGTTGGTATCCGGACGAAGCGGGGACGACGGGCGACGATACCGCCGCTTGGGGCGAATACACGGGCATGTTGGCCATGGATTCCCGCGGAGGAGACACTGGCGCCGCCGCCGCTCCAGAGGACGACGACGCAGAGCTGGTGCGTCCATGCACGCCTCCGTTGCTCGAGCTTCCGTACTGCGATGGGGGGTGGGGAGAGTTGTTGGGGTATGGAGACGGATTTGATGAGCGCCGTGGGCGACCAGAGGACGCCGACGGGTGCGACGTGATGTCGGACGTGTCCTTAGACGGTATCGCGACAGCAGGATTGTACCCGAACGCAGAGGGAGGAAGCATCATGTCGGCCACGTCCTGATGCGTAAAGTTCTGCACGGACGTCGGCGGACTCATCATGTCGTCGAACCCGCCGCCGTTTTCGGCCTTGATGTTGCTTTCCGCCATGAGGCTGTCGAGAAGGGCGTCGGACGACGACGTGGCCGGTTGTTTGTCGTCCACGTACGTCATGTCCATGCCGCTTGCAAAGTTGGCTAGAGTCGTATCATCTTGAAGGGCGTTGTCTTCGTTCCAGTCGTCCCAGAGATTCCGCGTCAAATTCGACGGAAGTCCGCTGCACCATGTGACAACACCATGAGATCATAAACGCGATACACAACGCATAACCTACCTTAATACAGGGTCCATCATGTCATCTTCATCTGCGTTCTCCACTTGCATGTCCTGCTCCACACAAACAATCAGCATGTCAGGCACATTCATCCATGGATGTTCCCAATCCATAACATGGTGGATGACGGTGCGTGGTGCATCTACCACAACGTAGACAGCTTCAGAGACGTACATAGGGGCTATACAGGTAATTCCTCTTGGACTTGTTGATCTTGGACATGTTGTTCGACGGTCAGCGGCGCGGCGGCGGCACCTGCTTGACGACGTTGGAACAGCAACTGGTACTGTAGCCCTGCTGGGGCGAACCGTGACTGACGGTTCAGGGGCGAACCGCGAATACTGATTCAGCCAATCAGAATTGTCTATTTCGTTTTGCGAACTTGAAATGCATTGGACGTACGGTAGACACAACAAAAAGTGCCACCTGGCGCGTGCTTAAACCAAGTGCTTTCGTCGGACCGTGCAGCGGAAGGTGTCATTGGTCAACGATGGATTACGGCTAACACAAGCGCCAGAGTGCCGACGAGGGACAATGACACGTGGGAGTTGCGCCTCTACCACTTTGTGTCCTGGCTGTGGCTCCCAGCGAATCAGAACCACGGAAATGATCGAGGTGGAAGTCGAAGTGCGCGCACTAAAAGTGCAGGTGCCGATGTGGGTTCTTTGACACTACAGTAGTACTCGGAGTCACCAATAAATTCCCATTGCGACATTACTTATTAATAAGACCAACGGGCGGATAAGACCAAGACTGGTCCTACAGTGTATATAGGGGTTATCCGTACAATATAAGACTGACGGTACAGTCAGTACATATCGTACAATATAAGACTGACGGTACAGTCAGTACCAGTAACGACGTTCGACCCCAAGGCCTGTCAAGAATCCAGTTTCCATTGTCAATTCACGTTAAACTATATAGTTAACGTTAGTGTTGACTTTGAAGAGTTTATCATTGTACGTTGAAGAACAATCCCTTATACAGGTCGGTTCATACTGTCGTCCTTTCGAAGCCCCACGCAGGCACATGGCACACCTCATCCTAGGTTCGAATTATACAGTTTCTATTCCTCCGACGGGCGAAGAAGCAGTCGACGGGCTGCCGACAGAATCTGGTTGCGGAGGCGGGAGGGTATCGTGTTCCGGGTCGATGTTCACCCCACAGGACCCCCCAAAGCAGGCCATGGGCGCCCCCCCGTCGCAAGCAGCAATGCAGACGATCATGACGACGACAAAGAGCAGGAAGAGGACTAGGTCCGTGTAAAAGAAGATCACGCCAGACATGTACTCGTCGGGGGTCATGATTTGGTACATGCAGTGGGCGTCAAAGGCAAACCACATGATGACCGGAAACGCAAACAACATGGTCAGGCCGAACGTCGTGCCGGACATGAGCCCGGTGCCACGGGCCCCGAACGCCACGCACGCGACCGTCGTGACCAGCACGTACGCGGCAATGCCGGCCACAACGCTGTGGCAAAGCTCAATATGGCGCGTCTTCTTGACGAATCGCCGGCGGGTGCTGAAGAACGTCATGAACACCATCACGAAAAAGCACACCAAGCATGCCAGCACCGACGCCTTGGTGTCGAAGAACAACCCAAACGCAGTCACCGCGATCGCTTCGATGCACGTGAACACGCAGAGGAGTACAAAGTTGAACGGGCACGTGTGCTTGGCCACGTACAGTGCACAGAGCACCACAAGGGACAAGATGACGCTTCCCCCCAACGCCATGCCCGTGTCGTTGTTGGCAAATCGCGTCAACGAGTCTGTCGTCAGCGGCGAGTACGTAAATATAATGACCAACAGTGACAGCGCTAGCAAGTGCAGCGTGAACAGCCCGAGCACTTTGACGCGGAACGCCACTTGAATTTCCAGTGATAGTGTGTTGATGCAGCTGTCCACGGGGCCTTGGTCGCCGAGAGATGAAAGAGCAATAAGCGCGTTGTGCGTCTTGCGGGGGGCATGTCGGCGTTGGCGCAGCACCGTGTCGGTCTTGCCACCAGAGGGAGAAGACACATCGGCAACTACTTGATCCAAGCTACCCGCGACACGACGATTATTCGTAGCTCCAGCAGGCTTGGGCGGACTACCACTGACGTCAATTGTCACCATTTCCTCGGCGGTGGCATCGACCACGTCGATGTCACAGGCGTCGCTTGGCTTTGGCGGGGAGTCTGCCGTCAGTGGCACATGAACAGACGAGTCAAACACGTCCACTTCTTCGTCTTCTTCCGGCACCGACGATGGCTGCGACGCTGAGTTTGTGCGCACACTCTTCATGGTGCAAGTCGTTGTTAAAAGTACACCCACGACCACCGACGCAGTTGAGTCTAAATATAGCCGCCAATAATATGTATTTGTCGGATATACGAAACTCTTATCCGTATCCGGTTAAGATGGCAAGATTAACCGGATAATTTCCCGCGGGCGATTCTAACTGGTGGTTGGGCAGGGGGAAAGGTTGACTTGGTGTTTGTATGCCAGTGAAAGCGATACGCGATTTTGTGGACCAGTGCAAGTCCAGCAAGGAAACAGGAACGACATGTCGGACAACGAAGACAACAAGGGTGGCGATGACGAGAAGAAGCAGACGATCACGATTCGTGTGAAGGACCAGGTAAGAAGAAGGATATCGCGACGTTGCCGTCGTGATGAAGGAATGAGCGGGGTGCCTGACATCAGTGTCTAGTCTGGCGAAGAAACGTTCTTCAAGGTCAAGCCGCACACCAAGATGGAAAAGATTTTTAGCGCGTATGCGCAACGCAAGGGTGTTCCTGTCACAGCCCTTCGATTCTTGTTGGATGGCACGCGCATCGGCGGCGACCAAACCCCCAAGATGGTAAGAAACGTCAATACACATGAGGCTACCTTGACTGACACTGTCTATCGCAGTTGGAATTGGAAGACCAAGACCAAATTGATTGCGCGTTGGAACAAGTGGGCGGTGCCTCGTTTTAAACAAGAAGGGAGCATCCTGTTGTCCTCGTTTCAACCAGCTACAGTGCCGCGGTTGAAGGAATGATGGGAGAGGTGCTTTAAGTTGCTATAAGCGTGCGTATTACTGCGTTGTTGTTGTTATTAAGGGAGAGAAGGATATGAACGTCGCAGCTATGCACACATAACATTCGGTCGAGCTGTCTATGGGTTGTACATGTGGGTTTTGATCCAGTTTGGCGGGTTGGCAGGGATTGTGACCAAGTCGGTGTCGAACAATTCGATGAACTGCTCGTTCTGTAGCCGCACCTTTGACCCAGCGAATCGACGGTACTCTTCAAAGATGGAACTGAGGTGCCATTGCTGGATTTTCCGCAGGCAGCCCACTACGGCGCCGGTGCGGTCTCGCCCGAGGTGGCATGTGAGGAAGAGCGGGTAGTTGCCACGATCCAGCACGATGTCTAGTGCCGCAAGCACGGTTTCTTCGCTCATGGGTTCCCATGCCTTTCGTCGGTTCTCGAGTTTGGTGTTGCCCCCCAGGACAATCAGCTCGATCTCTTGCTCTTCCACAAAACTCAGCAGCTGCGCGTTTGGCTCTTCCGGCGCCAAGTAGACGATCTTGCGCAAGTTGAGGCGCTCCAGGAAGGGGAAGTTGAGTTCGTTCGGGATACCGCTTCGATACAGGTCTTCCTCAATCATGCCATAGTTGACGGGTGGAATAAAGTACGACATGATGCCGATGTCGACGGGCTTGAGTGAACGATCCGATGAGCCGGATAACCACACGATCATCCGGATAATCTTTGCGTTAAGTCAAAAGCCACCGACCGGCACGCCGCCATGTCCATGACCTCGTAGTTCCCTCAGTTCAATTACACCTTTCAAGTCCATTGACATTAGATATTGCTAGATGCTATCGATACAGCTAAACCAACACACCTTCCCTACAGAACCAATCTATAGATAGACAGCATCCTCTCAAACGATATCCATTTACCTAGTACACGCACGCCATCGGATGAGGAGCACGACGGCATACCTTTGGTACATGTATATTTCATTAACAACTAGCAATCGAAAGCTCGAAATCGGTCTAATTGCGGTGACCCCCGGCAAATAGTATCGGCGGCGTCGCACATTACAGACTTGACTGTAGTAGCTTTTAAACGTTGTCCAAGGTGTACATCAGTAGCCCTTGACGTTCAAGAGCGTTTTTGCATGAAAAACCACCGAGGCTGTGTCTCGCAGGGCTTGTTCAATCACGTCTGCGCTGCGATACGCGGACGGTCGCTCGTCCAGCGTCTCAGGTACAATGCACGTAGACTCAACATCTCCCATCTCTTGTCGGAATCGCCGCATGGCCGCGTTTACGGCGCTTCCATAGTGCAGCTGCATGGCTTGGCGCGATCGAATGCGGCCGCAGCCATGGGGCCCCGACATGTTCCACGCGGTGTTGCCTTTGCCTTCGCAGACCAAGACTCCATCGCGCATGTTGAGGGCCACCACGCACCGCTCGCCAGCGTGGCATCGAATGGCTCCTTTTCGAATGACCAAGTCCCGAAAGTCAATGTAATTGTGCACGCTTTCCACAATGCTGGCTTCGTCAAACTCGACGCCCACTGCGTTCAGCACCACCGATAAGATTGCGCGGCGGTTCATGCTGGCGTACGTTTGTGCCCAAATCATGTCGAAAAAGTAGGCGCTGGCTGCCGCTCCATGCAGTGCGCGGCTGGGTCGTCTGGGACTGTCGTGAGTGTTGTTGTCGTCGAGTAGTACATTGCGAGTTCGATCAGTTGACCCCCCGCCCTGATGGAACCGAGCCACACGCTGGCCAAAGTTGCGCGAGCCAGTGTGCACCGTGATGTAGCCGCCCCCGTCGTGGCCGTCGTTGATTTCAACAAAGTGATTGCCGCCCCCTAACGTTCCCAACGACCGCAAATCGTAGTCGAAATTCGACCCCAGCACATCGCATCGCGACCTCCACCACTCGAACGAGTACGTGGGCATGTGTGGACGTATGTCGAGGTTAAAGGCAGTTTCGAACGCCGTCGCGAATGACGTGGCGTCTTGCTGGGCCAGGGCAAAGTACGTCGCGTACTGCGATGGCTGCATGAGGGGTGTCGCATGGACGCGGTCGTAGCCGTTGCCCATGGGGACATGACGCTGGATAACTTTGTCCAGTTTGGTGAGGGCGTTCTTCTTGCTCAGCAGGGACGACGGAAGCGGATGCATGGCGATGCCGCAGCCAATGTCTCCGCCAATGAGCCCAGGCAAGACCGAACCGGTCAACTTGCTCGTAAACCCGACACAGCACCCGTTGCCCTTGTGGACGTCGGGCATGATCCGGACATTCGTGACCGATTCGTGGGCATTGATCGCCTCGATTTGCTTAATGGTTTCGCGGTCGAGCTGGTCTTTGTCCAAGTAGACTGTGGCTTGCTTTTCTGGGGGGCCAACTGTAAACATCATCACGACACGGTTTGGAAAATGCCATGTCAATATGTAGCAATGGATGGAATTGTGGAACGTCATTCACCAATCCATGTGACGAGAGTGTATGTTCTGAAAGGTTGGTGACTGTTCAAGATCCAATGGGAAAAACGGAGGAAAGTTCAAGGAAAGGTGCAGACTGAAAGGGATTCGAATACTACTGAACTCGGCGGCTGGGACAACTAGATTTGTTGGCACTGGTTGGCGACCCCACGCCAAAACAAAGTAAGCTTAACAGTACCCGTATATCGTTTTCGATAACTAGTTAGGAACGCTCGGCCGATAATGTACAGTACCTGGGAGAGAGTACATTTACTCGGTGAAATGTGTTCCGTGGCCGGTTACAGTACCGGTTGGTGAAATACTACCAGAGTACAGTACTACTGCAAAACGCACGAATCAAACTGTTAAACTACTCCTCATACTAGTACCATTGACAGTGTGAGTACAACCCCATCGATTGGATTAAGGGATGCCTTTATTATGTTTTGTTGTTGAGGCAGTACCCACACAACAAGATGAAGCAATCGACGTGGACAACTAACTGGACAGTACCAGCACATTTTGTACAACGTCGGGACTTTTTACGCTTTTTCTACCTTAAAGTGATTAACGTAGTGGTTAAACGGTAAAGTACAACTCCTTTTGTACATTTGTACTCGAGTAACTGGAACTGTTACATAGTTGTTGTTCGACCAACTTTTCCGGGCAACAATTTCCTCACCCAGACACGTGCCTTTGCTGGCCACACAAGCCATTCGCGTAGTGTCGTCCTGCCATGACAATGCCTTTTGTGGCTGATGCACTGCACTTGGACGGCCCATCGCAGCCTCAGACTCATGCAGGCAAAGGATCGTTGCAACTCCATCGGACCACCATCTTTGCCATCGCGTGGGTGCTCACGCTGCTCACGTCGGGTGGTTTGTGTTTTGGGTAACAACGGCTTCAACATCCAAAGACTCTGGCATGAATGATCATGGAACACGCATCTATCTACACCTACGTAGGTTTGGACCATTCTACAGTCGCCTCGTCAAGGAACACCAGTGGCACGAGCTGTGCCCGGACAACACCACCTCAGTGTGCTCAGCCCAAGAAGTGCAGTTGCAAACTGTGTATTCCACTGGGATTCTCATGACAGTGTTGGGTCAAACGGTCTTTGGGCTGCTCCTGGACACCATCGGGCCTCGCTACATGACCCTTGTGGCATATGTGGTCTGTACATTCATTCCTTTGGAGTCGTAGCTCATTGTGGGTCTAGTTTTCCATTGCTGGCAACGTATGCTTAGCAGTGGGCGACTCCCGTGATGGCACCGATGGCCTTCTCGTGGCCGGGTACGCCTTGATTGGGTTTGGCGGCATGCGCATCTTGTATGCGTCGTTGCAACTGTCGACGCTATTCAACGAGCCAGCGCTATACACGAGTCTGCTCGTCGCTGCGTACAGCTTTTCTGGTAGATCAAACCATATATATATATATAACCGTGTGTCCATCGAGCGGTCGAATCCCAACACGTCGATAGGGTATATCTTTGTGTTATTGGAGCTAGACGTTGCCCGCCAGAGTTTTTTCGTCGGCTACGCGTACGTCGTGATACTTTTATGCTAGATGTACAGTACAGTACTAGTATATACATCCAAGGTTGTTTGTGGTGTAGCCTGTTGGTGGCGGCGTCCATGGTACTCGCCTACGCTGTCTTCCCCGTGCACCACATCCTCACGCAAAGCCCGACCGTGACCACTCCTGGCTTTGCAGTCGTCCGCTCCCATGTTGATGTAACAAAGCATATGCATATTTCCACCATAGCCGCAATGTCTATGGAATAAGCGCTTGGTAGCGGCCCAAACTCGACCAATTGTGGGTTGGACTGAAGCGCCAGGTGAAGCGTCGCGACTACTGGGTCTATGTGTCCCTGGGGTCAATGCTATTTTTGGTCGTGATCTTCGGTGGCGGCGCCATGCCCAGCATCATTGCCGCCTCCCGCGTCCCGGCCAATGATTCCCAACATGACAACCATGACCTCCAACGCGTGTACACCAACTATCTGTATCCGCTGATCTCGAACTCGTCGTTTTTGTTTTCGCCTCTTGCGGGGTACCTCGTGGTGCATTTCGGCTTTCGCAAGACATTTTACACCACAATTGGCATTTTCGCGTTGCTTTGCGGATCGTTCATGCTGCCGTCATTGCCGGCTCAAAATGCCACTTTTGTGCTCATGGCCGCCGCCAATGCATTTCTCACCACCATGCAATACGTGTACATCAGTACGTGATACATATTCTTTTGTGTCCAAACATGTATATATATATCGGTATTCTAATTAAAAGTGGTTTTTTTATATGGGGATATTTGTCCTTCCTGGTATGTGTAGTGACGTTTGTACGTGGATATTCTTCTCCAAACATATACAGTATACCAGTATATACATATATAGTACAATACTTCAATCAGTACGTGGATATATATATATTCTTCTTTCTCCAAACATATATTATACAATATATATATATATATCGGTATCATATTTAAACTTGGTGGTTTTTACTAACGTTATGAAGACATTTGTCCTTCTGGAGTACTGTAGTGACATCCGTTCGATGATATATTCTTCTTTCGCCAAACATATATATATACAGTATATCGGTACATCTTTCAAGATGGTGGTTACAATATAGTCAGTCTGTGAATATATTCTTTTTTTTTTCCAAACATATAACAAATATAACGTGTCATATATATATATATATATATGAAGTTGGTGTGTTTAATATGGAGATATGTTGTATTTTTGGTGTAGTGACGTGCTTTCCACATGAATTGTACGGCGTGCTCTCGGGCGTGACGACCACGCTTGTATTTGTGTACGGATTGCTCAGCTACCCGCTCATGGCCCTGGCGCAGTACTCATTCGACGGCAACAACACCTACGTGTTCCTCATCCTCCTTGGCACGACCGTAGCCGCCATCTTCCTCGTGCCGTTTGCGCGGGAAGAGGCGGAGTGCTTTGACGCGGACCTCCATCTCGACTTGTTGGAGCATGCCAGCAGAATAGAACAAGCCCAAGTATGACCACGTTGTTTCATTTGTCTGTCGAATCGAGCGTCGTCCCGTGGAGCTGGCGTTGGTTATATGCAGGTTTTTGTATACAGCGTTGGTCACCCTTGCAAGAATGTCGTGCTTTCTACTTAGCATATCAATGTGTTCCATCATATATGGTAGTACTGTATGGCTTAAGGCAATTTTAACTTTGAAACCCCCTATGCAGTGCTCCATAAAGCGCGGTGATGGTGGCTATCACCCTTGCCGTTCGATGAAATATTCTAGTCATAAAGCAATGAGGTTTGGCTGCTCTCACATGCGAAATAACACAGGCATCTCAAAGAGACTTTACACATACCTGCTCCACGCTCGCATCTACGGACAGTCGTCGAAATTAGCACGGGGACGTGACCGCCAACTTGTTCCGAGAAGCAGTCGATGCGGCTGTCCGAGTCCAGTCCCAACGACTGGACGGTGATATCGCCTTTCAACCGCGCGCCGTCGTAAAAGAACCGAAGGGTCTCCACCGGCACGCCCTTGACATTTGCAAAGTTGTCGAAGATTTTCTGGAGGTACGCCGAGCGTTTGACCTTGAACGCCATGTCGTCGTCGTCGAATTTCACGAACAGCTTGATGGTTTTCGACTTCGACTGGGCAGGATTCAGATGTTTTCGTATGCCCTCATGCTTCACAATATCGTGATGAATACTGATAGCGTCCGCGTGAGGTGCATGGGCAGTTGCGACGGGAGGTTCTTGGCACTGACTCGCGATTTTGACATTGGCGGCACCTGATTGAGGGTGTCGTGCAAGAATCGGTTTGAAGGGTCTCTTTGTCGACGCATCGTCGTCTCGAGATATAGGAGGAGCAACGGGGCCAAGGACAACCGGTCCTGGCGATAGCCTGCGTCTTGTGGGGGTGGACTTGAGTTTCGGACTGTTGAGTAGTTCTAATTTGGCGGAGGATTCCAGTGGTGTTGACGTGGCAGTTGGGATGATCATGCAAGCTGCTTGTTCGTGCGGACAAGGCAATGCTTGGCGATCTTCAGCGTGGTTGGTATTATCGTGCGACGATGGAAGCATTGCCGGGGTATCTTGGACGCATTGCCGAGCAGTAAATACTTGACCGGGGATGTGGAGCGCAGGGGACGACAAACTGAAGTTGGAGGCCATTGAACCAGGAAACTTCAAAGTGATTGGATCCTCAGGGGTGACAATTCGGGGCGTGCGGACGATCTGCTGGGTGGGTGAACATGCGTCTTCGACTAGGATTTCCGCTGCCGTTGCAAACACGGCCCAAGACGGTCGCTGGGTTGTTGTGGCCGGGACAAGGCTGTTTTTTGTCGACTCCGGTGATGACTCAATATGATGCTTGGCGCGTGACGACGTTTGCAGCCGCTGTATTTCAGGTACACATGGCACCACTAACACACGCGAAGGCAAGGTAGCATGTGCCGGGCTTGCAGGTGGTGTGACAATTTTGGCTGGACCACTGGTCAAAGCATATCTTTCTCCAGCTCCAGTCGTCATAGGTACACCCAACATCCTGAGAGGTTGGGATACACTGATAGGACGCATCTCAGCGTCCATGCTGCAATGTTGCACTGCCTGCGGGGATGCGAACACAGACTTCAACCCCAGGATCGGCTGCGACGGTGCATACTTGAATCGCTTCGATGGTGTTCTCTGCGCATGGGGCTCCATCAATCTACTTGGCATCGCCGACGTCGTCGTTGGTATCGCCACAAATGTCGTGTCCGTCACGGGCGACGCCAGCCGGCGCAAGAGCATGTCGTCCGAGTCCATGTGCCCACTTTTGAAAATGGATCCGAAAATTGCGCGCGCAATTCAAATCGACCAGCACAAAATACATTTGAAGTTTGTATCCACTCGGATTAATAATATATGCTTTCTTGCAGGTTTGTCTTGACTTCGCACACTATGTACTTCGAAGTATTATTATCTTTTCAAAACGATAAAGTATAAAGGGTTTACAAGTCCATGCTTAAATGCGTCAACAACAGCATTCCATCCTCATGATCAAGACCGCGTACTTGGCGGGGTATAACGTTGTCAGCGCCGTTGGATGGGCATACATCCTGTGGCATCTGTGCAGCCTTCTCTACGACGATGCGGATGTCGTGCTGTCCTCTGCGAAACTATGGTCGCGGATTGCCATACCGTTGGAGTACCTGCAAACGATGGCATTGTTGGAAGTGGTTCATGCACTGGTTGGCGTTGTCCGATCTCCCGTGGGGTCGGCGTTGATGCAAGGTAAGGGTGTTTGCACAGTCGTTGTCGTGCGTATGCCGTGTGATGACGACGGACGTGTGATGTCTTGTAGTGAGCTCGCGTCTGTTTGTCTTGTGGGTCGTCCTTGTGCTGTGCCCAAGTTCTCGGTATCACTGGGGCTTTCTCTTGACGATTGGATCGTGGTCCATGGTGGAAGTACCTCGATATGCCTTTTATGCGCTGAGTGTCATTGGCTGGGCAAGTTCTTTGCATATGTCGTATATGATGATGTTCTCATGCTGCGTTGCTGGTATAGGTGCCGGACTGGCTGTTCTTCTTGCGCTATCATTTGTACTTGATCTTGTACATCACAGGGCTCGTGGGTGAATTGACGTGCATGGTAAACGCACTACCTTTCTTGTCCACAGGAATCTATTCCATCGAACTGCCCAACAAGCACAACATCGCCATCTCGCTGCATGCAGTTGTGTGCGGCATGCTCGTTCTCTATGTCGTGTGTTGTCCTATTATGTACAAGCACATGACGACGCAGCGCATCAACGCGTATGCTAAAAAGCACGGCGACAACAACGTTAAAGCCAATTGACATGCTCTTAACTTGTAATATACTGTATCTAGCGCTGCTTGAATTCGACGTCGCAAACCAGTGCTCCAACCTTGTTTAGTAGTGACATCGTGTTGAATGCTCCGTGGTGGACTTGAGATTTGGCCTTTGCAATACGAAAACAATATGGCCAGCGACGCAAGTTATTATTGCCAGTCGATTCGAAATTGGAGTGGGGAAAGCTGAATCGAATGAGCAGAATTCAGACAATCGTTCGACCAATCAAAACCCAGAACACGAATCAAGTGCCCAATCAAATCCACTCTTCGACCAACATCGAATTAGTGTGTGACTGAAATTAAAACAAAGGTCAGGACAAAGAATCGATCAATACAGTAGATTAGTCCCAATTTTGGGTATAAGGACAATATTAGTACTACATAGTACTACTACGTAATACTAGTAGTATACAGTAAGAGCCCCATTTACACGTACAAAATATAAATTGTCAGTCAAATGTCTACTATTAATACTCCGGAGTACTACGTAGTAGTTTTCATATACGTTTGGTGAAATTGACGTACAATATAATTCGAATAGTTCACCTGGAATACCATACCGTACGGAATGTAAGGTTAATAATAAAAAATAGAGTCCCAGTAATAAAAAATGGGGCAAACGTAATGTATGTACTATTAATAGTAAGTGAATCTCCTAAAGTATTTAATTCCGTTGACTAGTATTCTATTATAATATATAACACGTCACACCACAAAACCCCGATCGTCACTCAACCCGACATCGCGTTTGATTGGCTCGTGACGTGACTGTCTCGGCCTCATTTTGCAAATTGCCATGGGGTTCGTCAAGACAGCGTACTTGGTGCTGTTCAACATTGCGAGCAGCATCGGGTGGGCGTACGTGCTCGGCCAAACCTTCCAGTTGGTGTACACAGACCAAGACATCGCGCTGTCGTCGGCCAAGTTGTGGGGGATCATCGAAACGCCGTTGACGGTCGTCCAGACGATGGCGGTGTTCGAAGTCTTGCACGCGCTGTTGGGTCTCGTGCGGTCGCCCGTCGGGTCGACCTTCCTGCAAGGTATGTCAACCAGGACACTTGTGATCTCCATCACACGAACTTGTTTCTACAGTCAGCTCCCGTCTCTTCCTCGTGTGGGCCATCAACGTGCTGTGCCCCGACTCCCGATACCACTGGGGATTCATCCTCATGGTGGCATCGTGGTCGCTCGTGGAAGTCCCTCGCTATGCGTTTTACGCGCTCAACTTGCTGGACGCGGTACTTGTCTTGAAGTTCCATCCAGTGTTGTTTGCTGAATGTGACATTAGGTGCCGGACTGGCTGTTTTTCCTCCGTTACCACTTGTTCATGGTGCTGTACCCGAGCGGTGTCACAGGCGAAGTGTCGTGCATGTTGAAGGCGCTTCCGTTCCTGTCCTCCGGAGCGTACTCGATTCAAATGCCCAACACCCACAACATCTCGCTGTCGCTGTACGTGGTCGTGCTCTTGACGCTGGTCGTGTACGCCCCTGGCTTGCCCTTCATGTACACGCACATGAACGTCCAACGCAAGAAGGCATATGCTAAGAAGAACGAAGCAACCAAGACCCTCAAGAAGGAGTAATAATATCGCCTTGTCGACATACGTTGAGACCTTGACGTTATCAATTCCTTGTCGTCTTCACTTTCCACGTGCCCAATAATATGCGTACATACACTTGACATGACCCTCCTCAACCTTACACAACCCTACGGAGTCTGTTGGCCGTACTGTTGGTACGACCTCCATGACGTGATAGCTCATCAGGTTATGGAGGTCGTACAAGAATAGTGTCCTCCGGAGTAGTAGGACTCGATCAGCGCATCATATAAACCCCTTGTGGAACTCGACAACGTACATGTAGGAAGCCCCATGCATATATTATTAAGACTGTACCAGTAGTAGTAGTACTAGTACTTTGAAGTAGTATTTAATATAAGTACTAGGTGTGTACAGTACAAGCAAGTACACCAGTAACTTACTGTATGTAGTGCAATGCATCAAAAGGTCAATCAATAGTAACTTCGAAGTAATTACTAGCGATTCGTCGTACGAATTCAAGGCGTCCAACATGCAATATACACGGCAAAAATGCACATACATTATTAAAGAAATGTCTCCTTGGAACTACTTTTTTTGGGCCGATTACCACGCTCGACGTGGTCGTCGAGTTCAGCAAAGTCAAACTCGGATGGCGTTTTGATGGCATTTTTCGGTGCGGCGAGTCCTCGTGGAGGGGGCGACTCCAAGTTTTCATCATCATCATCATCGTCCGAATCGGAATCGTCGGATTCCATGTCTACTAGACTCGTCAAGACACTGCCGTCGGTGGTGGCCCCGCGCAGCAAGATCGTGTCGTTCACACTCACCATGGACTTGGCCACGTCCGAGTGGCGGCGGCCGCGCTGGAGCTCCTCCGTGACGAGCTCCGACGCCCATCTCGTGTCATGGGCAGCCTCCACGTCGTCCAAAGTATTCGACTTGTTCGAGGCGTGTGTGGACTGGTAAGCATGGCGGACGGCGGAAGCGTCGTCTTCAAACTCTTCAAAGTCATTTTCAAGCACGGATTTGATACGTCTCTGCTTTTCCTTGCGGGATTTGCGCACGACAAACAAAGCCACTAACGCCACCAGCGCCACCACACCCACGGCGGCACTGATGATCCCTGCCAACGTGCCAGTACTCATGCCATCCTTGCCGCTACTTAGCTGAGAGGTTGGTCCTCCAAGATTTGAGCTGCTGGCTTTCGCGACCAGTGGCACATTTGCTGGCTGGATCGCTGGACCCGCCAACTTTGGCGGGACATGCGGCGGGACTGCCTTGGCACTCGTGGCAGATTTCTTAGCCTTGGATTTGGACGGCGCATTAGTCGTCGCAGGTTTTGTTGTCTTCGTGGACTTCTTCTTGGGCTTCTTTGTGGGCTTCTTTGTTGTTGTTTTCGGCTTTTTAACCTTGGGCCGCTTGGTTCGCTTGTCCTTCAGCATGCGCGACGCCACGGGGTCATTACCTGCCAGGGCAGACGAGGCAGCGATGCACATCCATGGTGACACCAACGCCACAGTCGTATACACTGCGTTAGTCATGGGAGCAACGCGCAATGACACCGGACAATTCGGCACCGACAATGCGATTCCTCGCGCGATTGACGACACAAAAACATTTCCGGGATGCTGATTGGTCAAAACAAGATGGACTTTGTATGTTTGTAAATTTGACGACAATTGTCGGGTCTTGTCAGTTGACAAAAGCAGAGTGATGTTGGAAAAACCAATAGATTTCCTTCACAGTAAGGCTGCTGCACGTGCTTGTATCAACGACACTAACTCCATACAGTACTATTAATAGTACAGTGTATACTGTAACCATAAGCATAAGTGCCTGCACATATGCTTAATATATTCACAACAACTACAATACAACAACTACAATACTGAAGTACTACTCTATTGTGTTTTGGTACTTTCACTTATAATAAAATAAAATTCTTACTTTCTGTAAGAATTATTTCACCAAATATGATTCTAAATTATCACAGGTTGCTTCGGCTAAAAACTTGGCACTAACGTTAGCAGACTCACAGCACGTTCAGGTACTGTACTTCGGTGTCAGTTTTACTGCTGACAATCCAGTTGTTGATATAAATTGTGTTTATAACGTGAGTTTACCGTTTGGCGTGACGATTTGCGCGTCATATCTGATGATGCTACCGGAAACTTCATTACCTTCTACATTGTATTACCTTTGCAAATGTATAATATGGTTTTTACTATTACTCTTTATACATTATCCTTGATAGAAGCCATATTTTGTGAATTTGGAACCCAGTTCTTCTAACGAGAGGTCATATTGTTGGTGTTTCAGGTCACCACAAGCTCCGTCCTCAGAGTTGTCATGGTAGGGACGGCGGCGATGATGCGGTTCTCGTTCAATTCTCATCATGGATGTGTCTAGTCTGGCCTAATCTTGAACCCCAAGCCATTCCTTGCTGGATTGACTGGTAAAGCAGTTGTTGTGAAGCTCAAGTGGGGCATGGAATACGAAGGCTTCCTCGTGTCAGTCGATTCGTACATGAACCTGCAGCTCGCCAACACAGACGAATACGTCAACGGCAACAAGACAGGACACCTCGGCGAAGTGCTCATTCGATGCAACAACGTGCTGTATGTCCGCGGTGTCGAAGGCAAGTCGAAAGACCACCACCAAGACATGGGTCCTTAAGAGGTTGTGTCCACGTCCATTCGTCCTCGCCATCGTTCCGCACACCACCCCTTAGTCCATTTCCTATATTACCTCGTAATCGACGACCATTATCATCTTGCTACGATGCCTGCCATCAAGGTCCCTGCATCTAACGAGCCATTCAAGACCACAACTCCGTGCAAACGATATGGTCTTGATTGCAATTAATGTTAAGTTGGACGGGGACACACGCTCGGGTGGTTTTCTACTTCAAAAAGCCGAATAAATCATCGTTCATGTCGTCGTCGAGGTCCCATGCGAACCCTTCCGTCATGCTCACAGGTTCCACGCCGCCACCGTGATCGACATCGTCGTCCTTTGGATCCGATGCCCAGTCAGCGTTCAACTGACTTCGGAACGTCGGCGGCTCCTTTGTCGTCGGCGGCACGGGCGGCGACTCGAGGAGGGCCGCTTGGGTGTTGCTCATGTTGCTCACTTGAGACACTTCAACCTTGCGCTGCAGCATGTGCTGGTGCAGTCGCATTTGCTGGTGCATGGTCATTTGCATTTGAATGTGCGGCGCATGCAGTTGCACGCTTGACGATAACGCTGGCTGGGCTGCCGACGATGTTGGATGCGGCAGATCAAGTAAGAACCCCGTCGAAGACGATGTCGATGGGTCGCCAGGGGGCAACACCGGCGACATGTACGCTCCATTCGGTGCCGGCATGAGTGGGAAGCTCCACGACATGGCCCTGTCCTTCGTTGGATCGTCCCCGAGTTGCGCCAACTGATTGAGCTGTTCTTGCAGTGGATTGTTGACATTTGTGATGGTGGTGGGAGTTGGTCGACTACTTGGTTGATGGAACGGATGGGTGGTGGTGGTGGTAGATGCTGCTGGTGCATGGTGGTAAGAAGACGATGGATTCCTTGTCACTGCGATGTTGTTCTGGGTCAGCGCTGTGACTGGATGGGTATGTACGGGATGGTGGTGGCCGTGGTTGTGTGGACTCGTTGCTTTGTGCGCGGTCACCTCGGCAAGGCGTTCCTACGGAACGATTGTTATAACTCTTGTTACGACTTGTTATAATAATTATAAATACCATGATACCTGCAATTGGCGTTGCAACACCGCTTGTTCGTACAATTGTTGCTGGATCTCTTCTTGAAACTGTGCTTGCACTTTGAGCGTTTTCGACTGCATGTCGAGCTGCCGCGAGATGCTGGACGTGGCCGCGACCACCTTGGCCACTTTCTCGTCCGGATGGACTTCGCCGTCCGAGGACGACTCGCCGCCGCTACCTTCGTTCATGTCGCCCAGAGACCGTTTGCGCTTGGGCATGATCGGAAACATCGACGTCACGGCCCCTTGTGGCTATAAATCGACGAAAACTCCATCAGATTTGGAGCTGGACGATGTGTCATGTGATAGTACTGTACTACCATGACTTTGCCCTTTCGTTTTTGGTGTTTGGTGGATTCTGACACGCTTTCGTCGAAAAATTTGAGAAATTCGACGCGCGACCGGTCGTAGTTGAGCCGGTACTTCTGCAGATGCGACTTGAGGTGCTCCGTCGTGAGGCCGTTGGTGCACGCGGGGGTGCCCATCAACGTCAAGAGCGCTTTGGGCGATGCATTCTTGAGTCCGACGTCGAACACGGCCGCGACGAACAAGCGATGGAGTTCGTCGGGCCAGATGAATCGCTTCGTGCGACGCTCGTACTTGCGGCCACTGCTGCCGGGTTGCGACGTGTCGGAGATCCCGGACTCGGCGCTCGTGGCTTCGTTTGGGTGATGATGTGCTGCTGGCTGGTCGTGGGAGGAAACGGGGGACGAAGGCTTCGTAGTGGCAACGCGTCCGTCGTGTGATGACGACGAACGGTGCAGCGGTGGAGGTGGGAGGATGGAAGCAGCGCTGGGAAGTTTGGACGCCAGGCTTCCTGTTTTGGCGACAGACATTCCAGAGGGTAGTACCAGATGACAGATCCGCGGCGTGATGGCAATGGCAGCAAGGTGGTTGGTATCGTGATGGTTGCCTGTTCGTACATGATTAGCCGCGAGCCTTATGCAGGCTGCTGGTGTCTGCGCTCGACGTACCGTGGAATGGGCAATGGTGAGATTCTGATAGATTCAATGCACACGGCGGTCCTAGTGAGCGTGGTGGAGCTGAAATGCCAAGTCAGTGGTGCCCCTATAAGAATATGATCACAGCCGACAACCTTCCAGATTCAGTGCCCATGGGTCACGACTCTTTTTTTCTTTTTTTCCGAATCTTCTTTACAATCACAAGGTAATATTATTCAAGTTGTTTTTAATCTATCGTGCCGAATCTCTAGGCTGCATGGGTTTTATTCATTTATACAGGTGTAGGTTGTTGCTCCAGTCGATCTTGAAGGAATGACCTTACTGTTATCGTAATGTACGACGACTTACACGAAGGCCCTACGCGCACGCTGCTACAGTACTATAGTATGATGGACCCCACCATATACTAGTAGGACCGAGGAAGGTGTCAAAGTTCACGGCGCTTGCTTCGATTTGAATGTTTCTTCATTTCACGTGAGACTAACGTTACCTTCGAATCTAATGCGAAGATTCACAAGCAAGATAGCCAAGGCCTATCACAAACAGACCTTTCAAACGTTCCCGCCCAGGTAAGCATGGATTCCCACTCGCTGCGAACACGCTCAAGTATGTCTAACGTTACCATTAGGTTGTGCTGGTGTACAGCTGTACTAGTAGTGCTGTAGTAAGTACTACAGAGACGAACGACCGCTATACATTGGTTGAGAGTATTGGTGATGAGTCTTCCGATTCCACCAATCACAGCACAACAGTCAACGATTCATTACGGTTAAAAACGAAAGAACGCATGGAATGCAGCGCGTCATTCGCTGACGACCGCAGCCTAGCGGACCTCTGCGCTTATTTAACATGCTGGCATCATGGCTGTAGAAGTGGCTAACTGCTAACTATGAAGTGGCAGTAGTCCGGTGGTGGCTGGTGTATTTGGCACGATCTGTGGAAGTGGTGGAGGTCGTCGTACTATCCACACAACTCGAGTTCTCGGCATCGAGCTTCGCTTGTCGCCGCCGGCGCTGCTTCTTCCAGCACTTGAACAACGCCGATAGGACTGCTATGAAGCCGGCGGTGGCGCTGATGGTGATGGCGCCGATCTTGTAGATGGACGGGTCCGTACAATCGGGAGGGTTGGAGTACTCGAGCCACGAGCAGACGCAGTCGCCGTTGGCGCGAAGCGCGGCGCGCTGCAAGTTGCATGCACCACGCTTGGTCGGTGCCGGGGTGGTGGAGGCGCTGCAAGACACATCGGGGCTCGTCCCAGCGACGATGCGCACAACTTTCTCGGACGACGCACTCATGCACGGGTCCTTGGACCACCCGCGGAAGTACATCGTACCGACCGAGTCGAAGCACACAGAAAAGGCATCCCCGTCGTGCTTCAAGAAGGCGTCGTTGAGCTTGGGGAGTGCGGTCTTGTTGCCTTGAAGGAACACGTACGTGACGTTCACGACCCCTGGCCACACGAACCGCAAGGGCTCGCCTTGCTTGACTTGAGGAATGTTGCGGACAAGTGGCGGCACTGGGTCGAACGTCGGCGACCCAGGGTCAGGCGTGCTGCAGAAACAACACGCCGTCTCCTTGACGCACTCGGACCACTTGGTAGGGTCGTAATGGAACGCTGTAATCGTGTTCAGGCACGTCGCGCAGCAACTCTTTGGGATCTCGGTGCTTTGGCCTTCAATGAAGAGGAAGGGGGGAAGAATGGAAGCGCAAAGCAACCACATGAAGCGTACGATCATGATGGCCATCATCACGAATACAGATCGTGTTGTTCAGAACAAGGCCACTACCCCCGCGTAAAGGACGGCGCTGGTCGCATCGGTGCCTACTTGTGAGTTGGGAACTTGTTAGATCACCTTCTTCATTTATCGAAATATCATTTTGAAACGATTAATAGTAGGAATAATTTTCCGATAATACTAATTATAAGAATAGAGTCAATTAAAAATACTCAATCCAGAATCCTTTAAGATAAATAGATGAAGCATTTTTAACTGTCAAGTTTGGTCATGTGCTGTTGTATTTCGAACGATATGCGTGTGGTCGAGCGGGTGCAAGAAGACCGACCAGGGTCGACAGGACAAGAGCGAGGCGGAGGCGCCAGGGCTGCCTCCACGGCAGCTACGGTGATTAACCGCGACTCCACATGTCCGGTCCTGATTCGCGTCTTTTGCAATTCCTCCCACAACCGGTACGTATGTGTATTGACAAACAATTGTGCTTCTTGATCGCTTACATCGTCGTAGCCCGGAAGCGTACCAGAACATGCACACAAAATCGTTGACGAATGAGCTTCATGTGTACACTTGGCCCGATGCGACGTTGCGAGAGATCGCCGAGCTAGTACAAGATGCAAACGACGACGCAAGAAAGCACAACCGTCTGGCCATCTCCCTTGTGTACGTCGACGGCCGCGGCAAGTTCGCCGTGAAGAAGGCGGGAGTTGTCAACACGAGTCGCAAAACGCCCGACGAAGACAAAACCCTGGCGGGCTTGGGATTCCAGAACGGCGACTACTTGGACGTCGCCATCTTAACGTAACCAGTGGCATCTCGCCCTTCCTCCATCGATTCATGCCGTCAACTACGGCAACTTAGGTCCCGCACAGCACGACGTCTTCATGCTTATATAGTTCCTTCACCATGCTGACCGCTGATAAGTCCCCTGACAGTCACGCAGTCGGGTTGACTGTACCCAACATATACGCTCCAGCGTTTACTGTACACCTGTACCGGTACTTCCCCATCGGTCCTTCTTCGCAGCTTGACCGAGATCTTGTTAAGCCAATCATCGACATAGCATGTTCAAACACCTGTCACATCTCTGCAGGTCGTGTGCTGTTTACCTCCTCCACAAGCGCAACAATCCGTCGAATGGATACAGTACTCTTCCTGTCATGACATCGTGCCACGTCATAAGCCATCGAGGCGCCTTGTCAAACACAACACGATTTGTTCGAACAAATAATAGTACGGAACATTAGCACCACCAACGGGTGCTGTACGTACGTCCCCCCCGGCCCATTCGCGGAAGAACCATGGCCGAACCACAGCATCCCGGCACGAAGCAAGGCATCTACCTCTACCAAGACATCGAAGTCGCGACGACGGCGTCGCCCGTGTCTGGAAGTGGCCAGAACGCGAGCACCAGTAGCCGCGGCCACGCGTCCAACGACCCCGTGACGGGGCTGCGGACCAACTTTATGACCACGTTGCACCAGCAACAATCCGTCGACCATGACGAAGTCGACAAGCTCAATAATCCGCTCAGTCCGGCCAACGACCAAGGGCCGTTTGGGGGGCCCAAGGAGCTCCTGGCGCACCTGCCCCAGGACTTTGGGCCGGCCGCGCCCCCGTCCCACGCCATCTCCATTATCGTCGGCATTGGTGTCGGCGTCGGTCTCGGGCTCCTCTTCTACTACCTCAAAATCGGACCCAAGTACCAGCAGCTCGTCATGTTGCCGGGGGACCTATTTGTTCGCGCACTGCGTTGCCTCATGGTGCCCCTTGTGTTTTGCATGCTCACGATTGTCGTGGCAGAAACCGTCGCGCGGGGTCACACGTCGATCCTGCGGTGGCGGACGCTAGTGCCGTACGTTTTGTCCACCGTATTGGCCACCGTCCAAGGCATGCTCTTGGCGATTGTGTTTCAGTCGAGCTTTACGCTGTCGTCCGCCGCCGCCCTCGCGCATCCATCCACTAACATTACACCCGTTAACACCCTGTTCAATCTCACGCTACAGTGCGCGAACGGCCTCTACGTCGCCGCGTCCACCGACAACGGGACCTTGGCATGCGCGGACGCCACTCCGACCGCGTTTCTCGCCATGAACCGCAGCCTCGTCGTGGGCGTCCCCCTCCCCACCAAAGGAAAAGCCACGTTGGTCGATGCACTTGTAGCGATTGCAAACGTCATCGTTCCCGACAACATCTTTGCCGCGTTGTCAACGAGTGCGCTGCTCAGCATCGTTATGTTTACGATCCCCCTAGGTGCCGCCGTGGCAGTGTCGGCGTCCGACGGCCAGGATAACGTCGTACTGCATGTGCTCCGCCAGCTGCGCAACGTGTTTATGTCGATGCTCAACGGGCTCTTGTGGGTCACGCCCGTCGCCATCGCGTTCCTCCTCGCCGGCGCCGCGTGCAACATCGACGCCCAAAGCGCCCCCACCGTGTTGTCTCAGGTGGCGGTCCTCGTCCTCGCCGTCCTCATCGGCGCCGTCCTCCACACGGCCGTCGTCCTGCCGCTCGTGCTCTATGCGTGGACCAAGACCAACCCGTTTGCGTTTTTGAGACACATCATCCCCGCCTATATCTTTGCGTTCGGGTGCGCGTCGTCCATGGCGGCGATGCCCATGGTCATCACGTGCATCGAGCGGGCCAACATCAGCCGCTCGCTGGCGCACATCACAATGTCGTTTGGCACCCCCTTGAATATGAACGCTGCGGGTATATATTACCCGCTGGCGGTCGTGTTTTTAGCCAACATGTCGGGTAACCCCCTCGCCACGATGGAATGGGTCGTCGTGTTCTTTGTGAGCATCCTGGGGTCGGTGGGGACCGCCCCCGTCCCGAACGCCGCGCTCGTGTACATGATCACGCTGTGGCAGACCGTGTTTCCAGCCGAGCCCCTCCCCGTGTCGTTTGCGTGGATCGTCGCCGCCGACTTTCTCTTTGACCGGATCCGAACCGTGGTCAACGTCAACGGCAACGCTGTCGTCACCCGCATCTTGGCCGACGACATTGACGAGACCTTTGAAGCCCGCGCGCAACAACATGTGTAAACATAATAACGTTTTTACAGGGAGATGCAGCCAACTTTGCCAACTGTAATCAATCGCTGTAACCATTGAAATGCACTTCCAGTTCACCCCTCAGATTACTGTTTTTGGAGGCCAGTGATTGGATAACCGACAAATTATTGAAGTTTGATTGGTCAGATATTCTTTAGACAATCCGATTCGACACTGTCAGTTGTAGTTTAGACTTTGACACAGCATATCGAAAACAACCATGGTATCGACTACTCAGCATCCTGAGATCAAAGATAAGTCGAGTAGAGCTCGACAAACAAGGTGACGAGTTTCGACTAACGTTAGTACGCGAACAGACAAGTAGCTGATGTGCTTGATGTACCTGTACATCCATAAACTACATCTTTAAACAGGTCGTATGATATGTTCATCTCTGTGAATTCGTAGGAACCCAGTGTTGCCAGGGCCACTGGACTGGGACTCGAAGCAGTTTATGTTCCGGTGCTTGCGTTAAATAACTGAATTAACAACAACTTCAAGGACACACTAATTCGCACAAGGAGTGATGATGGATACATGTAGTACAGTCAGTACATACTTATCGACCTTAGCAGTGAAACTATACATCTACTCGGGGCTACTAGTATGCGTCGCTGAGCTGACACCACTGAAGCTCGCCAACCTGTCGTCCCCGACACCGCGATCACGTTGATGTACTGTACGTACAGTCACCATGCGAGCTGGCAGTGCCTCACTTGGGGCATGCTGCCAATGGTAAACTCAGGAATGATGCAGTAGATTGCAGCACGCTGACGTTGCTGTCCCTCTAAAGCGATCCATGAGGACTTCGACCACACCACGCTCTTTTTTCAAATGCACCGACCCTTATGTATCTTCATCATGGTATCTTTGATTGTTCCATTTCGAGATACCTCATTGGAAATATAAGCCATTGCAATATCCCTGGAGGTGACAGGACTTCTGTCCTCACGCCTCGATGGGACACAGCAAGAATTAAGAACTGTGGTCAGGCCGCAAACGCAACTTTAGGCTGCGAATCCATGTTGCAGACTCTGCACGTAATACACGTGGTACCCGGAGTCACGCGGTTCATGTCCTCACCTCGTCAGAGACTTCTACACAAACCTACATACGACATTTGGTCTTTGTATTGAAAATGAAGAGAGTCATCTACCAATATAAGCCTACGAAGTATTGTGAATTCGCTATCAACTTCCAAAATTCGCGTGGTTTGTTAATCAAATGGTTTGTCTGTTAATCAATACCAGTATTTGAATTACGCTGGAGTTCTGATTGGTTGAATATACTTGTCCTTTCTGTAAGAGCAGCCAATCAAATCCAATCCAAAACGGATTAGCTGATAGCGTCGATTTGTGATTCGATTTGGCGGCGTAACGGGGTTTGGAAATTCGTACCGAATCCACAATATTGAAACTTTCAACCAATGAGACTAATTAATAGTAACGTCGGATAGATTGTCGTAATCGCAAAGTTATCCATACCTAGTACATAATAAGAACAAGTAAGAGGATTACGTTCGAAAGGTTGCAAATCGAACAATGGTAGTTGACCTTTCGAACAAGGGACCTTTCGTCACGACTCGTCAGCGACACTCTGCAGCGCTGCGTCCACCCACTAGTCGAGTACTTGACCATGCAAACCAAACCACTACCAGGCGCTCAGGCTGGCGGTGCGAATCCAACCAACCGCGAGGGCATCCTCCTCTTTGAAGCGTCGCCCACCGACTATTTCAACCGGTACACCAACGTTCTGCAGAGTGCACCCCCCCGCACCAACTTTATGACCAACGGCGAATCCGGCAGCGACGCGCACTTCGACGAGTACAGCCAGACGCCGAGCGTGGTTCTCCTGGGCGACGACAAGGACGACCAAGTGCCGCCACATCAACGTCGAGGTCGTTTCGCCGCGACACCAGATCACGACTTTGGCCCGACACCGCCCCCGTTTCAGTCCAAGTACATCCTTCTGGGCACGGTTGTGGGCGTCGGCGTCGGGGTGGGGCTGTACTTTAGCCGGCTGAGCGACGAAATCGAGGCGCTGGTCGCCCTGCCAGGGGACCTCTTTGTGCGGGCACTGCAGTGTCTGATTGTGCCGTTGGTGTTTTGTGTGATTTCGATTGTCGTGGCCGAGACCATTCTGAAGGGGCAGGCGTCCATTCTGCGGTGGCGCACCATCGTGCCCTACGCGACCACGTCTGTCCTCGCGAGTATACAGGGCATCGCCCTCGCGGTGGCATTTCACGCGTCCTTTAACGTGTTGACTACATCGTCGTCGTCCGCTGGATTGGAAGCCATGGCTCTCGTGCCAACCGTTAGCACGTCGTTCAACTTGTCGCTGGCGTGCTCGAACGGCGTAGCGGTCGACAACCAGGCGGAGCTGACGTGCGCGAAACAGGACGCCACCACCAACTCGTCCATGCTCCGAGCCACCGTCGTGGGCTCTACCGTCACCAATCTCGACACGTTGACTTTAGTCGACCAAGTCGTGGGGATCGTTCGCCACGTCGTGTCGGACAGCATCTTTACGTCGTTTGGCCAAAGCGACTTGCTCAGCATTACGATCTTTGCGCTTCCGTTTGGCGTCGCCATCGCGCTGTGCCACGATGACCCGGCCAAGCCCAACGTCCTGCTCAATTTGTGTCGTCAGGTGCGCAACATCTTTTTGCTGCTTCTCCACGGACTTCTCGGTGTCACCCCCGTCGCGATCGTGTTCCTAGTTGGCCGCGCCGTGGCCCAATTTCACTCGGACCAGTTTGCCCACGTCGTGGTCCAAGTCACAACGTATGTCGTCGTGTTCACCGTAGGCCAGCTAGGTCACATGCTCGTGGTGCTGCCGTTGTATCTGTACATTCGCACACGGGAAAACCCGTTTGGGTTTATGAAACACCTCGTACCGGCATATATTTTTGCGTTTGGGTGCGCGTCGTCCATGGCCACGTTGCCTGTGACCATCGCATGCATCCAGCGAGCCAACGTCAGCCGAGCGTTGATCCACATCGCCATGCCATTTGGCACCCCCATGAACCTGAACGCGTCCGGCATTGATTACCCCCTTGCCCTCGTCTTCATCGCCAACATGTCGGGCTTCGGAGACCAACTCACCGCCGCCAACTTTGTCCTCCTCTTCTTCGTGACCTTACTCGGGTGTGTGAGCACCGCCCCCGTGCCCAACGCCGGACTGGTGTACCACGTCACAGTGTGGCAGACCCTGTTCCCGACCCACCCCATGCCCGCCGCGTTTGCGTGGATCGTGGCCATGAATGTGATCGTCGACCGCATCGCCACCGTCGTAAACGTCAACGGCAACGCGGTCGTGACGAGAATCCTCGCGGAAGAAATCGACGAGGCGTTCGATGCCCGGGCGGCGGCGACGACGGGGGGTCACCCATCCCAGTGGAGGACTTGGACGTGATTGTTGATTTCTACGTAGTATTCAATTGCAACACATAGCATGTGCACTTCAAGAAGAATATGATGAAGCACAGGACTTGATTGTATACGCAACACATACATCCTACTAATATGTACTTGGGAGAATGGCGGTTACCTTGGCATGATGTGTAGTGGTTCAGCCTTGACCAAATGAACGCGAGTTTATTACATGGCGAAGAGATGTAGTCGAATAGATTGGCAACGTTGCTGTTTGTTGTTGGGATGTCTATTGCACTCGGCTGAGTTTCAGTACTGTATCGCATATGGACTGCCGGTTATACAGAACTGCAGTAATCAGTTTAGAAACGTTGAGGGCAACTAACTGAAGGGGAGGCAGCACTAGGGGCGCAGAGTGTCCGACATAGAACAGATCATCGAGCACAAGATGGAAAAACCAACAGTGAATTTGTGGCGAATTAACGAAGTACATGCCAAAACCATGCAAGAGAGAAAGATGCTGATGTTTGGTGACAACGTGTCGGCGTCTCTCATCTTTTCTCACGTAGGGCATGAGTGGCTCAAGGTGCTGTCGCTACGTACATCCGTGCTCGATCGATCGTTCCCATGACGATCTTCAAAGAAATGTGGCCCTCGGTTAAATCGCACCCTGGTATTGGCGTCGTCCACGACCGCAAATACACGACGCTCGCTTTTGGGTAGTTCCAACGTCTTCTCTTCACATTATTAGCTGCTGCCTCCAACGACCACACCAGTGATGCTATCGTGTCGAAATCGTTCAACGTCACCGTGCAATGCACTCATGGACTGACTCTACGGGGGGCCTTTGCATCGTGTTCCCCCCCAAGGCTACCTCGTCGTCCATGTTTGTCGTCTCTGCTACGATGGGGTGGTCACATCTTGCTCATTGATGTATCTCAGGCCTCTTAGTCCCCGACAACTCATCTTTGGGGCTGTCGTCAGTGGGGTCGTTGGTGAGCATTGTGTTCATTTTGTTTTCACTGGGGTAGTGTCGTGGAATCGTCCAGTCTATTTTATATTTAACAGTGTCCATATGGTACTAGTACTACTACTATTCACAATGCATTAAATTTACCTCACGCTGTAAACAACGTGGCTAGCTCCTCGAGCATGTCGTCGACGTCATCGTGCTCGGCGCACAGCTGTTCGATCTGGGCTGGCGAGATACCGCTGTTGGTGGCACGTTCAAATACTCGATCGACCACGGCGCTTTGGTTGGGGCTGAGGGTGCAGGCAAAGTAGTGCTCCATCATGGCCATGGTCTGGCGGCCGTTGATCGGACCTAGTTGGACCTGCTTGTTGACACGGCCAGGGCGGATGAGTGCGGGGTCGAGCTTCTCGGGGTGGTTGGTTGTCAGGATGAGGATGCGGCCGGGGCTGTCCACGACGCCGTCCAACACGTTCAAAAGACCTGACAAGTTGAGTTTGTCCTTGGGACCCCACGACGATAGGCGGTTGGTGCTGTTGTTGTTGTAGTTCTTGGGACCCATAACCATATCAACCAATGGGTCCAGTTCTTCTCCTCCTTCTTCATCACGAGGCTGGCGGCGATGACGAGGCGAGCCACCCCCTTCAAAGCCACATTCGCCGATACCAATCATGTCGTTATCATCGCCATTACATAGGACATGTGGTGGTGGGGACGTCGTCGCCGTTCCCCCCCGTGTGATGGACGTGGTGTCGTGTTGGCTAAGACTGGTGGCATCTGTCCGAGCCAGTACAACGTTGGACGCGCAATCGACGTCCTCCATCACAAACACGATCTGGTCGAACCTTAGCTTCACCGGCAGGTCTTCGCCGTCGAGGCCAAACTTGAGGTCGAACATCATGTCCATAAGCTCCTGGTTGGTTTTGATCTTGCTCAGTGAGATGTTGACAATGTGTCGGTTCGTGTGCTGGGCCACGGCCTTGATGAGGCTCGTCTTGCCCGTACCGGGGGGACCGTGGAGCAGCAGCCCCATCTTGTACGGAAACCCCCGGATGCCAAACTTGCCTCGCTTGGTCTGAAAGTTGTCAAGCAGCGTCAGCAGTTTCGGCTTGTCATCGAAGAATAAACTGTCAAACGTCTTGTCTTCACTCAGGCCATATCGTTTGTACTTGGCCACGGACGCACCGGCGTCGCCACCACCCCCTCCGTCCCCCGCGCCCGACGAACCGGCCGTCGCCGCCGTCATGTACATGTACCGCGCCTTGTCCTTCTTGTGCTTGGCGACCACCGCGGCCTGGTAGCTCTCGAACGCGCGGTTCACAAAGGCATCAATGCGATCGGTGGCGTCCACGGCTGTCGATCGCAGGATGAACGTGATGGTCGACTCTTTGAGCGCGTTGTTTTCGCCGCCGCCGCCGTTGTGGCCGTCGTTGCTGCTGATTTCGTGGTAAAACTCGAGCTCGGGCTCGATCGTGATCCATTCGTTGAGGGGGGGGAGGGCGCCGATCTTGAGTTTCTGCAGCTCCAAACTCTCGTTCAACCCGTACGGATCGTCTTCGGGTTCGGGCTCGGCGAGCTCGGTTGCGTCAGTTTCGGGGGAATCGACCTTGTCGAGCAGCTCGTACCGTCCCGACTTCTTGGCCATGACCAAGTGGTCGCTGAGGTAGATGGAGATGGCTTTCTGGAGGATGTGGTTGTGTTCTTCCGTGTCCTGGACCTTGCCCCATGTGTTGAAGTGCGTCTTGAGCTCAATGCGCCGCACGACCTCGTTGCCTTTGCGACGGAAACAGTCGCGGACGTACGCAAACGCGACCGTGAGTTGTTCGGACGAGTCGAAGAAGCATTTGAACATGATGGGGATCAAGAGGCAGATGAGTGTGTCCAGGATCACGTTGCTCGTGCGCATCGAGTTCATCATGCCGAATTGGATCGCTGACGAGTCCATGCTAGTCGTGTTGGTAGCGACGAAGGACGAATCTGTGGGTGCTGTTCCCGTTGACAGGGCGTGGCAAGTTGGGAAATGACATGGACAAACGGCCACGTGGGCCGCGCCGTTGGGCGGTCGAATGCGTGTGGATTGTAAGATACCGTTAACGAAATGAATAGGTTGCGGTGATTGGTCGTTAAAGTTATCATATTGCGAATAAGCGCATTTGATTGGGTTATTATTGTTTTGACTGGCAGCATACATTCTGAACAGCAGTGTTGCAAGGTCGTTGCGAGAAATACGGATAATGCCACCAATATCCGGATTATCCGGATAGGCCCAGCGCAGGCGGGTACCAATAAACGATGGTCCGCTTCAAGAATCGCTACGTGATCGTGGACATGACGTCGATGCGAAAGCTGCCGAACGTGCAGCCACGAGACATCTATGCGCTCGTGATAGGCGCTATCGGCAACAACTTTGGCGACGTCGGAGCAGGGCTCATGCAGCAGTCGACCCAAGGTACGCAACACTAGGTCAAGTTCGGCATGCACTTGATGGATTGATGGGTATGCATGTAGTGGTGTACTACAATGCCGCCACTCACATTGTTGTCGTACGGTGTGGTCGAGAGTATGCCACATGCATCCAGGCCTGCCTGACGTTCATCACGGAACTCCATAACCAAGACATCAAGTTCGAGACGCTTCGTGTTTGCGGTGTGTTTTCCCGTCATCCTTGCCATGATAGTACCTCAACGAATATATAACGTAGGGTCCAATCGCACATGCAAAGACGCCCTTCTTGCCATCTCTCTGCAACGAATCGACAATGCCACCGCCCGCGACGCCATCACCCGCGAGATTGACGCGCTTGAACAAAAGGATTAAGTCACACTAATTGCAGGATATACAGTATTTACCCACCAACCGGCCTTGTTTGGTTGCCGGCCACGTGCCGTTATGACCGCAATCCCCGTGATAGTCTCAAATGTCCTTGGCGTGGCCGACGCAGAATGATATTCATGACACCGGAGTGCTAGTGAAAACACCCCTCACAATACCACATTTCGAATCTGAAGTAGACTCCACAGACAACTAACTTTACCACATCATTTCAAAGACCTCTAATACCATCTGCATGTGACCCCATCGTGTGAACGAGCGTGGCGTCGACGTTCCCTTAAGTAACACTAGCGTTAGTTGCCTCATTCAAACAGCTCCACTGTTGTTTTTCTCACAAAACACATCAATTTGCGTGTTTATATTCGACTTAGTGTACTCTGACCACCTCAGTGATCCCTGGCGATTTAGTATCGTATGTGCTCGGGGATAGGGCGCAGTCCCAGGCTGTACAGGGCTACGGGCTATAAGGTGCATCTGGATGTGATAAATTGTTACCCCTCATTGACAGTGAGACAGGATTTCGGGTCAAAACAACAGAGGAATGGCTGTTATGAGTGAGTTATATCTGTTGTGTTTTGTGTATTCGTCTCTCGCAATACATAGGCATGCAGTGTCATGAAGTCGATTGTCATGTGATTCTGTCAGGTACACCCAAAGTTCTAATTTGGGGGTTTCGGGGTTATGGTGTTTCGGGGTTACTGTGTTTTGGGTTACGGTGTTTCGGGGGTTGATACCGGTATTATTGTGCTTTTCACTCGTTTTGGCTATTCATACAATAAATCTGGGTGTTTATTATATCGACCCCAGTCATCGTGCCGTGATTTAGGGTGTCATGTATCGTTACAGATGTACTTTTAAGGAAGTGATTTATTTGGGGAAGTTCCAAGTAGTTTTCAGAAATAGCATGAGCCAATCAAAAACGATTTACCTTTTCTTTTCACGATATGTCAAGGACCTCTTTTTCTATTTTTGGTATACATAGTAAGTTGCGTAAAAAATCGCAGAAAAATAGGAAATATGTTGGAAAATTACTTGGAACTACTTTTTCGATTACTAAAAATATCTACTTGGAACAGGCCATTATGCATCTCCCTCACTTTTGTACATTTGAAAAATGTCAGTAAAATCTGATCGAAATGGACACAACCCAATAAGGTGCTTTATATTGGTCAAAATTGTTCAATTATTTCGTTCTAGCCCCACCAGCTCGTTCTTTGTTGACACCATACAGCATTGTCGGTACAACTCGATAAGTCAAAAATATGGGTACACTGATCCATGATTTATACGGTAGTTACTGTAGTACCTGCTACTCTTGGGAGCAAATTGCACAATTCAATGGTCGTCATGAACAAATTTAGCAAATGACACACAGCGAGGATAAGCACCGGAGCTCTACCGTACAGCGATGTACGTGTGGTGCATATCGTAGAAAACCACACCATCTTCTTGTTTCATCGCTTAGTACATTCCACCTGCACATCCTATGCGATGGAATTAACAGCCAAGGTGTTTTGGTCCCTTCAGCGTCACATGTAACTACAAAAGGTATTATTGCCTCAGAGTTATTTGGCTTCTATAAAACCCTAGGGAATTAGCTAAAACACCAGGTATTTATTCAACCTTGTATTAACGTTATTAATATTAACAACGTTTACAGCTTGCATTACAGAAGATGCACTACCAGTACTCTTTTAGCCATGTAAAACCGACGCCAAAAGAAGTCCAAAGTACAATAAGCTGCTTTTACAGTTATATACTGTAAAGCAGTTATATACTGCTTTACAGTTATTGTTCAAAGTGATCATTCATGTCAGTGGCCCTCGCGGAGGAATGTCTTAAAAATGATAATCCAAACTCAATTAATCAGTGTCCTTGGAAATCATCAAGTGATTTCCGAAAACAGTGACTAATGGATTAACTGTACACGAGACGATTGTGGTACTTTTCTCATTGTGGGTCACTTCAATTTGACCAAGTCATAGTACAGTATATTTGTATCTGGATTGCCTGACCAGTCATGAAAATCGAGGCATCAGATTATCGATACTAGTATTGTAAAACAGGTCCATTATTGTTGTTTTGACCTAAATTGACTAACGTTACCTTGACACTGTTTCACAGCCAAATGAGGGAATAATGCCATCCGGACACTACCTGTAGTTAGTACTTGTACACTTTCGGTTAACGTTACCGGCAATTCTAAATTCCCGGGGTTAACTGCATCATCACGTCTATTGTTCGGCAATGAAAGCATGTGGAGACCATGAAGAGGATGCATTACTTCGTACTCCAGCGTCGCCTTCCAGGTGCACAATTCGCGGGTAGACTGGTGTTTTACCTAACATAAACAGGTTTTATAAAATCGCTCAGCCAATCAGAGACTCGTCAGAGATTTTTTTTAACCCATGAAATTACCGTAAACCATCCGAGGTACTTCGGTTAAAAGACGTTAAGCCCGTCTTTCTATTTACACGCTGATCCAGGTGCGTTTAAACGTCCTTTTCACAAACTGCACCGTCGAGTTTACATTTACAACACCACGACAGTAGCCAAACGTCTCAACAGTGCCACCATTTCCGAACTACATGGCAAGCGGCACGAGTGTATTTTATTGGCTGGCTGTGAGCGCCCCCTTGATGCGACCCAATGCGAAGCTCACGCCCCCTTGTTCGTAGCTCTTGGCATGTCTGAATGTCCACGCAGGGGGCCAGACGTCGTGTCCTTATGCCAAGTATGCCAGCACATTCACGTCGAACCCAGCCCTATGCAAGCAACCCGATGCGATTCTTTGCATTGTCGACAATCAATGCAATGTACGCCCCGTTGCCCCCGTGGACGTACGTTCCTTGCTCATACCCGTCGTAGGAACTGCCTGGCAAGTCGTTTTCCATGAAAAACGTGACCAAGGACTCGACCGCCACAGACGTGTTGATCATCACAGGTACTGCTGCTATCTATCAAGAGTCTGGAATCGAATGTTACGCTGTAGAGACTGCCGAGCATTTGGCTAGCCTGCCCTTGATCGGGAATACGTACATGTAAGTCCATGGCACCATAAATGTCCCTGACTTGTGCGACACAGTCAATTTTTCGGTCCCGGACTCAAATCCCTCGGCAACTTGTCCATGTCCAACGTGTCGTTATTGTAAGGATGTGGTTCGAACCTTAAACCCCCAATCGCGATATATACGACCCACACGGTTCTTATTCGTTGTTGTTCATGCCAGGGACTTTGAAAACAATCCTGGCATCTCGTACGCCGATGCAATCTTCCCCAAAGGCATGACTCGGTTGTACGTTGTCACACATAATTTCGGCATTTGAAACTTGTGCAATTTTCCTGGAATGGATGTGTGTTTACATGTTGTGGCGAGCGTAGATCTGTGGCGCGCAGTGGGTTGACGGAGCTTCCTCCAACCATTCCGTATGGCCAGCTCACCGAGTTGTAAGTACTTTATAGTAGTGTCGTTATCCTGCTTGGATTTCCATGTGCTCAAGTATAACGTCGTAAATATATATATAGCTTTGGATGGGAGAACCAGTTCACAAAGATCGAGCATGTCGACTTTCGACAAGCCAGCGAAGTCAAATTCAATGGCATCCCCACCCTCACGTCATTGACAAACGTGTCCATCTCGTCGCGGCTGATCAAATTGTACACACGATATATACTGATATATATCACTTTTCCACACCAATCCCTCACGATATGATATATATCATTTTTCATAATATTAGCTACTTTGACGTGTCTGACTTTACGACGTTTCTCGTGGACGATCCAACGTTCCAAGTCTTGGACAGTGTCGCAACATTTCAAGTGCGTTCGATCGACGTGTCCAAGTCGTGTGTGCCCCCCAACGCCCCCAAGAGACTCAAAGCGGGATATACGGTCTGTGTCTCGTCAGGTATATATATATATATATATAATACGCTAATTCATTCCAGTATTTAATACGCTAATACATATATAAAACGCTAATATATATATATATCCTGCATCGTACGATGTCACACACTATGTTTTTTTAACACACTTATGATTGTAGTTCCGTTTCTGCAGTCCTCCCCTAGTACGCCATTGAATGCCAGGACGACGACCCCCACAGCTACGGAATCGCCGTTCAAGCTGCCCATGTTCCTCAAATGTGTGGGCGGAGGGGTAGTGATCTTGGGGGTCCTCGTATGGTTCCTAGTGTACAAACGAAAGCACCAACAAACCACCAAGTGGGTATATTATGTTATTTTATATTATTTATCATAGTTACCCCCCATAAGAATTCAATTTGATGTGGTTCTAGGGATCACTCGACAGCAAATGATTTTTCGTACCAGGCCACGACCGCCAACAACTTGTCGACACTGGACAGCATCCACTTTAACATGGAGGTGCGTGCGTGATAATATAATAATCATCATGTCGTGATTGTAAAAATAGTATAATATTCTTATATCCTTGACCAACAACAATTTATACATACAGTATATATATAGGAATTGGCACTGATTCGACTGGACGAACAAGCACTCGTCAAGATCAAGGTCGTGGCCCAAGGCGCCTACGGTGAGGTCTTTATCGGAAATTACAAAGGTATTCATACTATCATATCCATACATAATAAATACCAGTACAGGAGATATCTCAACCCTCCACGTTGTATGAACAAGTAATCTACTGCATGTATATTGGTCATGATATTTATATATATATGTGTTGATCTCGATCGATTGAACGGGGGTGTATATTGTAGGGGAAACGGTGGCCATCAAGCGTTTGCTGCCAGGGAAAAACAGCAAGCACACCGTGCTGCTCCTGATTGACGAGATCAAAATATCGTTCAAGTACAGTACGCAATGATTCAGGATCACCGATTTATCACAATATCTAAAAAGGCAGCTAAATACATAGATTGGAATGCCCGCATATTGTCCGAACATTGGGGGCGAGTTGGGTGACGCCGTCGATGCTCGAGATGGTCGTGGAATGGATGGACCAGGGCGACTTGAAGGACGTGCTCGAGGACACCAAACCAGCCACCCAATCGACCCACTCGACGTCGTTTCCGTGGCGTCAGAAGCTCGAGTGTTTGCTTTGTATTGTCGAAGGCCTGGTGTACTTGCATTCATTGGACATTATTCATCGCGACTTGAAGTCCCGCAATGTGCTCATGGACTCAACCAAGGTCGGTTCTCTTGTAGTGGCTACGAATGGGATTGACCCTAAACAATGGGGCGTAGGGCACGAAATTGACCGATTTTGGGACCGCCAGGGAAGCCACGAGCGACACCATGACCATTGGCGTCGGCACGTACCGATGGATGGTAGGAATTTGCATATGCAGAATGCTACTCGCCATCCGGATATACTACTACTATTGCTGTAAATAAATTGTCCATTGTAATAATTTTATTCCGACATACTACAAATTAGTTATGGTAATCTGCAATCTGATTGGCTGCTTCATCCTATTGTTCTGTACTTACTGTATTTGGTTATGTCGATCGATTTACTCTCTAGTTTCGACTACGTACTGTAACAGAGTAAACACAACCAGAGCTGTTTACTTTATATAGTGTGATCATGATGATGATGTAGTGGCGATATGAATGAATATCTATAATAGGCCCCAGAAGTGCTCAAGGAAAACTACTACACGGTCGCGGCAGACATGTATTCATTGGGCATGGTCATTTCGGAATTGGACACGCACCACATTCCGTATGTGGACCTCACCAACGGACGAGGTACAGTAGTAACTCTCTACTAAATTACGTCATAGACTACTACTACGAGTGTGTGACGCGGTCGAATACAAAACGAATGCATGGGGTTGTGACGCTGTCACATGTATACTATATGTTGTATGTGGGACGTAGGCAAAGCGTTGGTGGACACAGCCATCATGAGCATGGTGATCCACCAGGAGATCCGACCGACGCTCACGGCGCTGTGTCCGCCGTGGATCAAGCAACTGGCGCTGCGATGCCTCGAGTACGATCCAGAAGACCGACCCACGGCCCTCCAAGTTTCGGCACTTGTGCGAAAGCACCTCAAGCTCATGGGCGACGACAACCAAGGCGGGTATCAACACCTCTAACAAGGACGAACATACAGATTTTTGCACCTTTTGTTAAACAACACAATCATACGTAGAAATGTTGCAACGAGGCAATAATCATGCACGAACTAATAATTACTGCATTATATTGTAATACTTCGAAGTAGTTAGTATACTTCACACAAACCATTCCATTCGGCATGTCAACCACGATGATCGGACAAGCGACGGTGGTTGGTTGGGCAAGGCCGTTGAGAGTGGCGACATGATCCCTCTTGTTGATGCAGTGGAAGCAACAACACTGTGTGCACACCTCGCACTCTTGGGCAAGCTGAGAGATACAGTACAGTACTGTATCTCACTGGATAGCACTACTGTATCATAGTGTCAAATTTGTGCTAATTAAGAGTAAAAGCTTACTTTGGACTTGCCAGAATGTACGTACTTCAAGTGGACAAGTGCATTTTAGAATGACCTAGCCAATCAAACGTTTTACTATGGAGATATTTGAACCAATCATAGTTTATCCAAAAAGTACCTCTTTATTAATATGTATGTACTTCAGTAAACCATATATTGAGCAAGCTTAAAATCTGACACAATCGATGTTTCGAGACTATGTAGTCTACAAGGTTACGATGACGACCGTATCGTGAGCGTGTACCGATTTGCTCGCGACTTGTAGCACTATTACATCATGGTTCATCATGACTGCGGCTGGCTTCACCGCCACGGAATGCGTCAAATCGACTTGAAATTCGGTCAATGCTGTATTTTCACAGTTTCAAATGTCTTTTCGTATTTTTATGCCCCCCCCCTACCCTGATATCGTTCTGGGCCCACCCAAGGCGGCAGCCACCATTGTTTCGGCACCTTCCTTGCATCATTCGAGTTTGAGCGTGTGCACATATCGTCAATCATGATGCGACGTGGCTTGTCCTTGGCGCCTCGAGCGGTGCTTTTGCCGTTATCAAGACAAAACCTTCCTCACGCCCGCGCGTCGTTGTTCTCGAGCATTCCGAAAGTTCCGGCTGCTGCAGCCGCCGTGCCGTCGCACGACGTGTCGGCCGCGATTGCGCAGGCGATGGCGGAGGAGGAAGCGCGCAAGAAACGCAAGCCAGAACACATGCCGATCCGAGCCGTGCACCTCGCGCGCAAGATGGACATTGTGTCGCTGTTCCAGCGGCTGTACACGGATCGCTTCAAGGTGAGCCACTACCTGTACAAGGACTCGATCGTGCTGCGGCTCAGTGCGACGAGCGACGACCGCAACGCCGCGTGGCTGTCCAACCTCAACTTGAACATGAAGCCGTCGACGTTTCCCGCCATGACTCCATCAGCTCCTCCGTCCTCGGAATCGTCATCCTCGCCCTCGACCACCGAGGTTCCATCGCGCCGCGCCAAGGACAAATGGGTCGTGTACTTTGACTACGGCGCCGTCGTGTTCTTCAACTGCGACGACTCTCTCACGGAAACATTGGTCAAGCATGCCAAGAAGTACTGCAGCGACGCGTTCGACATCCGCGGCCACGACGAGGAGCTGCTTCTGGTTACCGACCCCGTCCAAACCACATGGAGCGAGCTCAAAGAGAACAACATTCGTGTGCAAGAGATTGACCACGTCAATATTCAGGTCCGTCCGTTCATAGTATTGCCTTTCTTTTACCCAAAATGTGGACTACTTTAGTGCGAATTCTTTGCCACATCTATCGATCCATTATTGTTTCACTTTTGTATGTAAAAAGATCGTCCAGGATCACACTAATTTCAGTCACACACTAATTCGATGTGGATTGGTCGAAGAGTGGATAATTTGATTGGCCACTAATTCGTGTTTTGTGGGTTTTGATTGGTCGTATATCGATGATTGTCTGTTGATTTATTTGGTGATTCTGGTGGAGAGCAAGCACCCAAACCCTCCAATATTTCATATATATATATATCGACAATATACATACAGTATTTGTAGCCCTTGTCCACACCGTTCGTACCGACAAATATGCCATTCATTTTGATCTTCATTTTTTCTTGATAGGTGATTGCGGGGGTGCTGGCGCAAACCGTGGCGTTGGAGCACTACGAACGCCAAGTGGATGCAATCTTGGCCGAGTTTGAAAAGCTCAACACCCTCGTCGAGAAGAAGGGCCCCCAGACCGCGCTCTTTGGCCTCACGTTCCTCGGCACCCAGTCCACCGAGCGAGAGCAGCACCGCAAGCTCTTTCAAATCGTCGCAACCAACAACACCCTTCTCATCGACCTTGTGAGTAAACTGCGCGTGATCGACCGCAAGCGACCGGGGGATGCCGCGTGGAGCCATACGCGGTACCATAGCATGTGGGAGACGTTGTTGGAAGAGTTCGAACTGAACGAACGATTCAACAACTTGAACTTTAAGCTCGAGCTCATCCAGCACAACACCAAGGTAAGCCACACCAAGTGGGTACTAATTCAGGTGTTGACGAATATATATATATATATATATATGATGACATGGAGTATGGCGTATATATATTTTTTAATGTGAAAACAATATATATATATGTATATGCTGTGCTTTCGAGTGAAATTTCATTGTGTTGTGGTTTCTCGTTGGAATATAAATCGATTTGATTGGCTTCTTCATATGTTTGAGGGTGGTCCCCCAATATTCCAAAGAGATTACACATACCTCTTTTTACTTATTTAAATAAAACATATAAATAAATAGACGAGTGAAAATGGAAAATAGATTATAAGAAAGTATATAAAAATATTTATAAATATCTGAAAAATGTTAAAACATTAGCTCAAAATTATTAACCAATCAAAACCTTCTCAATGAAAGTCAACCAATCAGATCGATTGTGGATCGTTTGGTTGGCGTGATTCGATTGCACCCCCTCCCCAAATTTGTAAATTTGTACTATCAAGTCGACAAAGGATATTGACATGTTTGTGGTAGTTTTTCCTTGAAGTGCTGAGCTCGCACAAAGGCACGCGAATGGAATGGTATATTATTATTTTGATTGCCGCCGAATTAGCCATCAGCGCGTACGAATTAGCAATGAAATTGCATTAATACAATGTCCCATCGCCCCACGTTTCTTGACCTCAACTCTCGTGTGGTTGTCGATCTACAGTACTTGCTTGGGCAACAACGGATGATATCGACGACTACTACCCCCCTCTAGTCGTCGGACGTCTTCCACTGCGCATGTTCGTGCGGTGCCTTCCGCGACGTAAATGCCGACGCCGGCTGCCGTCCCCCGCCGTTGACATGCGCCCAGTACGCATTGAAAGACGCAAAGTCAGCGCAGGTCAAGTGCACGGCCTTGGTGCGCAGCATCGACGCCAGCAGCGCCTGTAATTGCTGGGAAGTGGACCCCTTGGGCACGAATTCCGAGGCCAGCGTCGTGATTTTGACAGTGTGGTACGCATGTGAAAGCACGCGGCAAAAGAGATGCCACCCCGCCGATCCGCATGTATGGGTTGGCGAAATCGCTTTGGATTCGTATCTACAATACCCAAAGAAGGACGATGACGATATATGGACCACGAAGTACACAGCATGCTAGCTAGAATGAGTACTAGTTCGTAGTACCGAATCGCCACAAGGTGGACGCGAGTCGGGGGTGGTAAACTGTCCAAGATAGGGAGAAACGTCAACACCGCTTTGCCGTTGCTTCGAGTGCCCTACATACATACAGTAAATAATACAATTATATATTTCAACATGCAACTATTCTAAGCGATAACTCTAACAAAACTTTTTTTATTTTTCCAAGAAAAAAGCATCAAACTGGTGAATATATATATATATATATATATACATTCTTCGTATTTATTATATTTAATAATACGAAGAATGTATATATATATATATACATATAAGGGTGTGAGTCTGGATATAAAAACGGCTAACATTTTTGATATTTTGGAAATTTCTAAGAAAAATCGGCAAAAAATGAAAAATTATCTGCCTGGACCAAAATGTGGAGAAAGAATTCAGTATGTTGCCAAATATCTCAATTTTCGCCAAAAAATAGAAAAAGTTGTTCAAGGGACTTTTGTTTTCGGAAAGTTGGCAATTACTGCGAATCATAGATTTTCTTCGAAATCAGTTTGATCCAGACAGGAAATATTACTTTGAACCAAATTGTTGAAATATTAACTGGGCAAAAATCGGAGACCCGCCCTAAATATAAATACTATCAAAAGCGCATCGATTTCTGAATATAGAATAAATACTACGAACGAGTTGTATAGTAATTAATACCTCTGGAAAGACAACGACGGGACTAGACGTGCGACGAAGAACGTCTTGGAGCTTGACTGGCTACACAAGCACAGTATTGCTTAGCAAGTTTCGGGGCGTTCGGACGTACGCGGGTGAGAGAAGTCAGCGGAGGAGCCATGGCCTGGGCAAATGCTCCTAGCAAGCCGAATGTTTGCACTAGGTTCTAGGAAGTTTGATATTACATGATGCGAACGTGATATGATAGATGTGTAGTACCTTGGAAGCGTCGGACGCGCACGGGAACACAAACACGGGCGAGTACCGAAAGCCAAAGTACAAAATGTCGAGCACGGACGAGTGGTTGGCCACAATGACATCCCCAGCCTTGATGCCGCCCAGCGCAGGTGGTTTCGTGCCTGGCGTGCTACATTTCCATCCGTGAAGATCGTGCAAAGGATGTAGATGCGACGTACAGCAGCCCCAAGCGTCTGGCGTTTGCCGCTTCGTCCTTGATGAATATCGTCGTGACAACAAGGATCAAGCCTAGCACAATCCAGTCTGTCGCTCGATGGATGACGCGTCCAAGGAACGGCACATGATCCTATGTTGAACAATGTCATGCAAGCAGGATATATGATATGGTTGGTGCTGTGATCGCATACGAGTATCGTGTGGACGGCACTGAGCAACACAAGCCCAAGCACGAGTGGAAAGAGCAAGATCCATCGAAGCAGCGCCAGAATACCTCCGAAGAAGACTTGCGTCCATCGCAGGATGGCATTCGCCGGCAGTTGATGCGGCGGCGGCACAAACGGGTTGATGCCAGTCGTCAAGTCGGACCAGCGGCTGTACTTTTCCATCGCGACCGCGAAATGCCATGTGAAAACCCCGTATTCTCTGTGATACAGTACTTATATTATATTTGGCTTTCGTATGAAACGTATTTTGTAAAGTACTGTATGTAACCAGTCCCAGCTTAAATACCGTATTTGTCGTACCTTTGGACCATAGAATTAAATTTGAAGAATTTATTTAAATATTCGAATTATATAATTGATTCGAGATTATATTGAATTATAGAAATATATTCGCGTTTTGTATTTTGTGGTGCAGATCAAGGACAAATACGATAGTTGGATACAGAACTATACAGATTACTGCAATTCGAATTATACGGATGACATCGAATAAGTACGAAGTACTCGTCTAAGTGCGACGGCGGCACCATCCGTCCACAAATGCCCATAAAATCTTGATCCACCGAAGCAAGGCGGCGGCGGTGAAGCATGGCAGTCACTGGGAAGCGCGGCGTGGGGATTCCGACGATACTCCTGCATGATGGGGAAGGCACGATCGTGACGGTGGAGATGAAGAATGGAGATCTGTATCGAGGGTACTTGGACGAAACCGAAGACAACATGAACTGCCTGCTCAAGGACGCGATCCGCACCGACGTGCGCGGCATCACCACCCATTGCGAGCATGTGTACCTTCGAGGCAGTCAAATCGTGTTCATCGTGTTCCCAGATATGCTGAAACATGCACCGTTCTTCAAACGGGTGAAGCTGTGGAAGAAGCATCGGGGGTCGATACCAGCATTGGGGTTGGGCGGCGGCGCACATATAGGGCTCGGGTCGGGTCCTCGAGGTCAAACGGGAGCGCACATGCGAAGCACTCAAATGCGTCGCTAGTAATCTCATTAACATGATCATACAGGTAGGCCATCTTTTCGTTGGGAACTTAGGCATACATATATGGCTGCATCTGCTACACTACGCTACTTGGTGTACAGATAGATCGGTCGCTTGAACCCGTGCGTGGACGTGCTGCATACTTTGAGCAGTTCCACGGACGAGAACCCGACCGTGTGGCACAAATACTGTGCAAAGTCCTTGGGCCGCAGCGCGATGCGGTCGTAGTTGGCTTGCGTCGTAGCGTTGGTGTGTTTTCGATTGAAGTACGACTTCCATTTCTACATACAATCAGCAAGTCCATGATGCCGTCGTCATGCATCCTCGACGTACCTGCGGTTCCAAGACGAAGCGACCGCCCGGCATGAGCAACGCATACACCAAGTGGAACACTTGCTTTAACCCGTCATCGCCATGAAACAAATGGATCCACTTGGTCACGGACAAGCTATACATCATATTGATATGTGTTTATTCTAACAGTAAATAATGAAGAATCATCGGCACAAGGATTTAGCCAATCAGATTGCAGGAAACCATCATCAACATCAAATTAGTGTGTGACTTCAATTAGTGTGATATAAATCACCCCAAATTCAGGACAAAAAATCGATCGATAGATTTGGCAATTTGGCACAAAAGTTTACCAAATTTTGGGTAAAAGTATGACAAAACCAGATATCATAACAAGTAGATGGCATTATATTTGCCATGTAATGAGTAAATGTATACAAGAATCATCGGCACAAGGATTTAGCCAATCAGATTGCAGGAAACCATCATCAAAATCAAATTAGTGTGAGATTTCAATTAGTGTGATGATCCACATCACCCCAAATTCAGGACAAAAAATCGATCGATAGATTTGGCAATTCGGCACAAAATTTTACCAATATCATAACAAGTAGATGGCATTATATTTACCATGTAATGACATCGTATTCTTTGCCCGTGTGGGTATCGTCCACGATGTTTTCACGCTTGAACACGACATTGTATGGAAAGCAGACCCTACGAAAATGGGCAACTCTCAGCTACATACCGTCCCCATGATGCAATGGCCGCCCATGGAGGAGATCAGCGTACGACCCCAAGCTATTGAATATACACAGAGACAACTTCGTACCCCGACGCAAAACTGCCAATGTTGGGCAAGGGGTCTGCCGACGACACATGGTGCGTTGCCGGCTTCCACAGTCGAAACGACAATGGCAGCTCGTCGTCCTCTGTGTTGCCGTCATCCTGGGGTTTGTCGGAGTGGCCTTCTTTCTAGTCCCGGGACAGACATGATCAGACATGCATGACCTCGACTATGGAGGTTGTGTACTTGGACGTCGCGAAACGCTTCCGTGACGGCAAGTTTCGAAATGTACTCCTTCAACGACGCCCGTGCTTGGGTGATCAAGTCCGGGTCTGCATCGATGCCCATGATGAACGCAGGGGAGAAACGCCGAGCTACATACATAATTTGCTAGAGTTCGACTAAGATAAGGAACGTACCGATTTCCAGCGTCATGTCCCCGGAATTGCATCCAATGTCCAACGCTTTCTTGCCTTCAAACCATTCCTTCTTGAACACAGACAAGCGGGAGTCCTCTTCCAATTTGCCTTCAATCGCGCCGCCTAAGCGAAATGCGTAGTACCTACGACACACACCATGTCGATAGGATCAGCGCGCGTTGAAAACGTCGAGGAGCCAGGCGGCGTACGTACTTCTTGAAGTTCCCCACGCGAAGTTGCTCGTCACCTCCACCTTCCTTCTGCTTGTTCTTCGTAGGTTTATGCAGACGCTTCTCATCCCCCTTGGCCTTTCCGTGAGACTCGTCATGGCGCCGCTTCATGTCGGGATGGCGCTTCTTCCTGATTTGAAATCTCCACGTTGAATATGCGCGGTGAGTGAAACACGAAAATGATTCGACAAAATACATCATATTTTATTCTTTCAGCCAATCATATTGAGTAAAACACGATAGAATCTACATTTGATTGGTCAAAATATGTTATTATAGCCAATCCAAACATTTGTCGTCACTTTCGTCGGCGTCCCCATTTCATTCCAGTGGTCTCAAACAACAAGGAAGGGATGGGAAAGAAGGAAAAAAAGACCGCCGTGGCGGCGGCTGCCGCTGTCTTGTCCGACCAGCCGCTCTCACTACCAAGTACAGCCCTGTTGCATGATCATGCTTATCTCCATGTACCTCGAACCAACATGTATATTGACTGTGTAGTCCTGGAAACAATCAAGTTTAGCCAGCAGCAGAACGGGCTCCGGTTCGGCGACTACACGCGGTACCGCCAGCACTGCGCGCGTCGCCTTCGTCGTCTTCGTAAGGGTCTCAAGTTTTTGCACGGACGAGGCAAGCAGTTCATCCCCAAGGACGTGACGCCCGAGAACGCGTCGGAAGTCCGCCATTTGATGTTGCCGCTGTACCATTCCGAGCGCGCGTGGAGTTATGCGATGCAGTTGCGTGAAGACGAGCGCAACGACAAGGAAGAGCACGGGGACGAAGCGAGCAGCCGCATCAAGTTCCATTTGCTCGGGCGATTGAAGAAGGCCGTGGCGTGGAGCGACAAGTTGACCGCGCTGTGTGTCGAGCGCGCCGACGTCCGGACGAACCTCGAAGCGGAAGCGTATGCATCCTACATGGGGGGAAACCTCGCATTGTACCAGGAGGAATGGAAGGTGGCGCTCGAGAAGTTTTCCACGGCTCAGCGCATCTACTCCGAGGTAGGCAACACGGCATGTCCTTTCTCCCATAAGTGGATGTGTGGCATAAATCTAGTTGGCCAAAGTGGGCACGGTGGTGCAGCGCGACTTGCTCCATCAAATTCTGGACGAGATCAGTCCGTTCATGCGGTATTGTGAGTACAATCTCGGCGGGACTTCGTCGTCGTTGTCGCTGCAAGAGCTGCGCGAAAGCACAACCAGCGCGTTGTTGCAAGCCAAGATCGACCAAGTGTTCCACGAAGAAGCCAAGACCAAGGCCAAGGACTTGGCGGCGATCACATGGCGCGGCCGCGCCATCCCCATCCCCAGCGCGGACGTACGACGGACGTTTTCGAGTGCTTTCGTCATGGTTGGATATAGGTGTCGGTGGCGTTGATTCGACCGGATGAACACTTGGCCAAGCTGAAAAAAGGCACGGACAACGACAAGAAGCGTGATGCGATTTACGTGGATTTGTTTGGGTACTTTATATTGTCGTTTAGAGCCAAAACGTCGATGATCGATTGTATGTTATTATTGTCCTTTTACCCAAAATTTGGACTATTTTTGTGCAAAATGGCCAAATCTATCGATCGATTTTCGTTGTACTGATATATTTTCAGTATGTAAAAAGGTGTCGTGTGGTGGTGCTTGGCATCACACTAATTGAAGTCGCACACTAATTTGACGTTGATGATGGTTTCCGACAATCTGATTGGCTAATCCTTCTGCCGATTCTTGTGTACATCATTTGGTTGTGTCGATTCATTCTTCATTCTACATGTCGCTCCAGTTTAGACTAAACACAACAATACTGACGTTTGGATGGGAACAGCGTCACACAGTAATATCAGTTCCACACACTAATTCAATGTGTCGAACAGATACAGCGAGTTTGTGAGTGGCCACTTGAAAATAGTGTGCTGGACTTTGATTGGTCGATCGATTGACTGACGATTAAGCCAAAGAAATTCGAATTGAATCGACAATATGTCCCTGATTTGAATCAATTTTTGCGAAATATGGGTGGTTCTATGAATGAAAATATCTTTCTTTCCTATTATCGTCAAACGATGAATTGGATGACCCGACGCTGTGTAACGACTGACCCTATCGGGCGGCTTATGTACATATTGTAGATGCTACGACACCATATTGCGGTTGTTGGCAGCGGAAAAGACCAAGAGCGACACGATGAAGAGCGGATTCATGGCCGAAGCCCAGCGTGAAAACATCGCCTTCTTGGACGAGTACATTCGTTACGTCAAGCAAACGCATGTGGTACGTACTTCCCATCGAGCAATAAATAAACAATATATATTGTGGATTCAGTACAAATTGCCAGCCCCCGTGACTCACGAATTGACACTATTGGCTAATCCAATTTCGAGTGGATATATTTGATTGGCTGATCTTACAGAAAGGGCATGTATATTCAACCAATCAGAACTCCAGCGAGATTCAATACTAGTATTGATTTGAAAGTGTTTAGCGAATTCACTATATATATATATATATATATATATATATATATATATATATGCACCATTGTGATTCTACCTAGTCCTTCCAGTCACCCACCTTCCACATACAATGACGAGATGTTCTTCTACCCACCCATGCGTGTGTTGATGACGTATATATATATATATACTGTCATCATTGCCTTGTTCAGAATCAAGTGTAATTGGTTTGTGCACAAAATTGTCGTGTCTAGATCGAACGCAATGTGGCGCTGTTGACGCAGCTCAAGGCCCGCCTAGAGGTGGACCTCGGTCCAGGCGATTTGGTACACATTTTGGACATGCTTATCCGCAACGTGGACGACATGGCGGCAATTCCAGGCGCGGCCGACCACGCGCCGTTCCTCAAGTACCGCGCGCTGCAGTTGATTTTCCACGCCTTACGATGCACCTACGTTGCCCAAGTGTACCTGGGCTTGAACAAGGTATACTACACTAATACTAGTATCCTCAATGATATATGGAGACTGTTGGGCTGATTCTTTGCCAAATCTATCGATATATATCCGATTCTTTGCCCTGACTTTGGTCAACGTCGTCGTCATACTAAAAATTCGATGTTGAACATTTGATTGGCCACTTGATTTTTCATGTTGTGGTGTGTTGATTGGTCGATCATCGAGTTTGGTCGATTGACCTACTACACTCCTCGACTGTTGAATCGACGATACATTATGTGCCTAGTTTTCGGAAAGCGCAGCCTTGTTCGACCAAGCCCACGCGTATTTCACGCAAGCGCAGTCGCTTCACACGGATGACGCGGTCGTGCGGGAGTTTCTGGCCGACCTCGAGCCGCAAGTGGTCGGCGCGCACTCGCGTGTGAATGCGCTCGGGTTTCTGCATGACGCCACCGCCACCGAAGCGGTCCGCGTGGGGCTGGGCCAGCTCCACGTCCACCCGCCGACGACCGCCGCCGCCTCGTCCAAGAGTTTGCTGGAGCGGCAGCACGAGTACGCTAGCGGCAACCCCGCGACGCATTACGACCTGGTCACGCTGCCGCCGACGCTGCAGCCGATTCCAGTCAAGCCGCTGCTGTTTGACATTGCATTTACGGAAATGGACGACCCGAACGTGGACGCGCGGGTGCAGGACAAGGCCACCGGCGGCGGCGGCGGGTTTCTCGGCTGGTTGCGCGGCGCGGCCTAACGACTAACTTGGTTCAATTTAGTAGATAACTCGGGAATGATGAATCAACTTGTAGTCACACTAGTGTGCTGTTTGTTGGACAGATGATACGCATCGCCATCGTGGCAACACATATACTATTGCTCAATGAGGTATATATATATAATATATATATATAGGTCATGCATGGATGGATGGGTGGGTGGCTATACGTAAGTGTGATGGTTGGCATTATTCACCGGAGTACAGTACATACCGGTACATACATGCATAGTGCGCATAGGAAAAAAATATTTTTTGTCATCCGATATTTTTTTTACATGCTTCGAAGTAGTCCACATAGTAAAAAAGTTTTTTTTGTCGTCCGACTGTTTTTACTGGGTTTTCTTGGCCTGGCGTTCGTCGTCGACGGAAGCAGCCCCTTCGCCACCATCTTCGTCGTCGTCGTCCTTTTCAGTCGCAATGCGATGGAGTGTGGCCTTGAACTGCCGCGCATCCTCCCGCTCCTTGTGCGCCAATTCTTCCTCTGGTGACATTTCCGACGGTCCCAATTTGCCCAACATGCGCAAAAAGATAAACACCCAGATGAGGGGATACGCCAATTCTCGAGGAATCTGGTCAAAGTACCTACAGGAACACCACCCAACGTCATTGCGCCGTGGAGACGGACGACGGGATGGAGGAAGCTTGGCTATGTAATCTCTTACGTTGTGAATTCGTACAGACCGGTAAGCGTCAGCCCGATGATGAAGAACGCTGCGGCATGCTGATACTGTTTAAGAGGACCGTAGTCTGGGATGTTGGACCAATTCCACGGCGCCACTGGCTCGGGTGGAACTTGGAATTCTGCTTCTTCTGCCATGAATGTTGCTTTACAGAGGAGACTCAATCGTCGGCGGCGATGGGCGGCACTGCTGCTAACGGATGTCGTCGATCTGCCGTCGGTGGGATGGGCCAATCACCACACTGCAATCAGTGATACTTCGAAGTACATTATTGGGGTCATTTCAATAACTACTACTACAGTAGTAGTAATCAAGTTTACAGTAAGTTCCATATATAAAGCAGTTAGTATGCTAACACGTGGTACTATTAATAGTATTAATATGTACCAGTACTACGTAGTAAGCTTACTCCATGTAGTACACCCTAGTACTAGTAAGTAGTGAGGGCATGGAATGTATTTCTTGCCAACTTTTTTTCTGTTCGGTTCAGCTATGAACATGTACTAACATTATGAAGTTGTGTAACGTTAGCAATAGCATTGCAGCCAAGGCACAACCAACTTGGGACCGCAACATGTAATGCTACTTCTATCAATATGCTGACGCAAGGACAACGTAGGAAGCGGCGGCAAGTTGGGGTATTTATATTCAGTCCTTGGACTTGAAGTTCATGTTCCTCGATTCTTTAGAAGTACTATTCGTACATAAACGGGTTTGGATATTACCAGTACTGTACAGTACTCAACCTACTTTACGTACTAGTAGTACTACGGTAGTACTATTAATATTAATAGTAGTATTTTAATACTTCGAAGTACTACTGTACTATTAATAGTACTTGTGCTTCGAAATACTCCGGAGTACCGGGACGTATTAAAATACCAGGTACGTATTGTCGATTTGATACAAATATGTGTGGGGACAATCGAATCGCGCCGACCAAACTGATCCACAATCGATCTGATTGGTTGAATTTCATTGAGAAGGTTTTGATTGGTTAATAATTTTGAGCTCATCTGAGGTAGCCAATCAAATCGATTGGCTGCGGTAGTGAAAAGCGAAAAACAGAGTTGGTGTCCATTTTCTACCCGAGCCTTCGCAATTCTAACTAATCATATCATCACAGCAAGATTAACCGAAAAGCAGACAATATTTGTGTGTTGAGTGGGCTCGGGTTAACAGTAAGTATGCCTGGAAACTCTCACAGTACTTCAAGTACGCGGATTTTCAGAGATAAGGTCCGCGCACTACTATGGAGAATTCGTAGGGTCTGTTATCTTGGTTTTTGTATGTAGCATTTGTCACAGAAAGTCGCATCACAAATCAGTGCGGAGTAGAACTGTGAAGTAAACGGTCAATATAGGTGACACATTGAAGTAAACAGTCAATAGAGCAGCAGACACCACATATCGAAGGGTTGTTATACCATACTATTAATAGTATTCGATAGCTTTCTACGATTAACGTTAGCCAACGCAATTGGGCATCGTGGCATACATACACTCCAAATACCCCATATTGCACGGAATTGATTCGCATAACGTTATTTTGGGAATTCCATCACACATGTCGTTACTTGTACTCTGGAGTACTATTAATAAGTTTCTTATAGTAACGTTTTACGTACCGGTACTACATACAATATACTGTAGAAGCATATGCGGAGTATTATTAATAGTCAGACCGCACTATTAATCGTTTTGAATCCACACTAATTCTCAATCCGCACTAAGTACGGTCGATGGTATAGTATAAATCGCATATTAACTTACACTTGGTATTTGTATCAATCACGAATTGAGGGGGTGGTCGTGTTAAGTACGCCTAGCATTCCATTTGGTTTCTACGGCACTTCAGGTACGGAGAGATGCCACTGAATTTTATTCTCGTGAGATGGTCACGTTACACACTATGGGCGGACGTGACAAATTCTAGGCTGACGGGCCAAAGCATGAGGTCGTAACAGCGTGTGGCAGGCATGCTTTTACGCTTGGCGGACCAACACATTCCCCAATTCGCTTTGATGAAAGTACCATCGTCGCTTGTCGTCGCTGCCGCGTTCGCCGCCTCGTCCGTGGCGGCGCTGGACGCCAAGTTCTACGGCATCAATTACGACACCCGTACCTCGGAGTGGGGTGGGTGCAAGGATTTCCACACGATCGCCGAGGACTTCACAGTTCTCAAGGAAGTCACCGACTACGTCCGAATCTACTCGATGAACTTTGACTGCACCAAGCGCGTGCTCGAAGCCGCCGACAACCGCGGGCTCAAGGTCTGGCTCGGCATGTGGAGCGAGGTCGGCACGTCCGACGTGCACGACTCGTTCCCATCAGAAATGGCCAACTTGAAGGCGCTCGTGGAGCAAACCCAAGCGATCCGCAACGACAACGTCCTCGGCATCCAAGTGTCGAGCGAAGCCTTGTACCGGTACTACGTACAAGGGCTGGGCAACACAACCGGCAGCAGCGACCGCCACGGCATCGACACCATCCGCAGCCACCTCGACGAAGCGCGCAGCTACCTCCGCGGCCGCGGCTTCACGTTCCCCGTCGTGATCACCGACATCATGGACATGTACTCAAAGTTCCCCGAGTTGTACGAAGCCGTGGACGTGGTCTCTGTGAACCAGTTTTCGTTCTGGCAGCACATTTCACCAGAAGACGGCGCGCACTTTACGTTCACGCGCTTCCAGGAAGAACAGACCCGCGCCAAGCGCGCCGGCAAGCTCATCGAGCTGCATGAGACCGGCTGGAGCGCAGCGGGTGAGAACCCAGTGGTCACGGAGGCGTCTCCCCGGGCCCAAGGCGTGTTCACGCAGGACTTTCTGACCCTGGCGGCGCGCCAGAACCTCAACACGTTCTACTTTTCCGCGTTCGACTTGACGTTTGGGACGAGCGAGATTGAACGCAACTTTGGCATTCACTACGCTAACCGCGTGATGAAGCCAGAGGTGAAGGCCGCCCACGTCGGCGCGCCGCTCCAAGCGGTCCGCCTCTGGGCTGGAGGCAACGTGATCAAGGCGCACCGCCACTGGAACGCCGACGACTCGGTCAACGAGAAGGTTGGCCGCGTGTATGCTGCGAAGCCATCGGTCGGTCGATCGGGCGTCTTGGACGACGAGATTTGGCTGTGGGATGCCGAGTCTAGCATCTTGTACTCCAAGAGCTCGAATGTGTGCTTGGACTCATATGGGGACCTCAACACGCAGACTCTGCACACGTACTACTGCTCGAAAGCGAACCGCAACCAAAAGTGGAGTGTCGCGAACGGCAACATTGCGAGCCAGAACGACGCCAACTTTTGCATCGACGTGGACGTGAACCGCCCAACGACCCCCGACGGGAACCTCGTGGTCGCGATGTACCGGTGTAATGGGCACCCGAACCAGCTCATCTCGATGGTCCCGGCGGCCGACGAACCGCTTGAGATTGGTATCAAAACGAACGGCGGCGTGCTGACCGAGTGGTACGGCAAAGTGACGTGGGAAACCAACCGCAAGGACAACGCCGACTGCCACCAGTGGTTCTATGACCCCGTGACCCAGCTGATTGCGAGCAAGTCGCACCGCGGCATGTGCTTGGACGCGTACGAGCGCAAGAACGACGGCGCTGTGCACTTGTACTATTGCAATGCCGCCAACATCAACCAGAAGTGGGTCGTGAATGATATCACGGGCCAGATCCACCATGCTACGCATATTGGGTTTTGCCTCGACGGTCCCGACAACGCTAACGGCCTCGTGCACTTGTGGTCGTGTTACAAAACTGAGGCCAATCAACAGTGGAGCATCAAGCCCGTCAAGGCCTTGGCGTAGGACGACAGCATATAAGCATGAATATTGACTGTAGTTATCACGTTAACGTTCATTCGAAGGGAGTAGTTTTGTTGGATCACAATCCCTAGGGCAGTAGTAGGGACAGTCAATATAGATATGTAATCTTATATGTAGGCAGTCACCTGACTTTGTTTTCCCACACCATGATCGGTTTTACCCTTGCAGAACTATACTATTGTGGATTCGGTACAAATTTCCAGACCCTGTCGAATCGAATCTCGCTGCCCGAATCGAATCGCGAATCGACGCTATTGGCTAATATCCAATTTTCAGTGGATTCGATTGGCTCGGACAGAACGGACAAGTATATTCAACCAATCAGAACTCCGGCGTGATTCAATATTGATTTGATTCGACAAACAACGAATTTTGGAGTTTATAGCGAATTCACAAATTTCAATGGATTCGACAAGGGGGTGAAAGCCTGGGTGTATCTCCGAGGAAAAGGAAATCCATTTGACCAAGGTCCGACCGTGACTGGTCATATAGCGGTCATATATAGGTAACACCTAGTATACTTAAATCAAGATATAAATAATGGGGGTAGAATGGCATGGCAAATACGGTACAGCGTACTGCTACAGTAAACCAGGCGTTCTACTTTCCCCGACATGTCAATAATATGCACACAAAGCACACAATCATAATCAAGTTGATATTATCGATTTGATACAAATTTGGGGAGCAAACTGATCCACAATCGATCTGATTGGTTGAATTTCATTGAGAAGGTTTTGATTGGCTAATAATTTGGAGCTCATCGGAAGTAGCCAATCAAATCGATTTAAATTCCAACGAGAAACCACGCCACAACACGAAAATTCACTCGAAAGCACAATATAATACTGTATTCTTTTTTTTGCTGGGGCATGGCCTCCGGCGGGGACCGGCCAGGTTCGAGTGAGATGGTGGCACAGCCGGCGACATCAGTCAATGGGCGCCCCATTCAGAAGTGGTAGCGGTGGTGGCAGTCTGCGACAGCAGAAACAGCGGCAGCAGGGAGAAGCGCACACAGTGATGGGGACAACTGGGTTCAAATTGCCAAATGAAAAGTGATTTTGAATTGACCAATCATATTGACAATACGGATAACTAACCGGTCGTCGGAATGTCGTCGGAATTTTTATGGTGCTAAATGTAATACTACAGACTGTACAAGTAACCGACAAATTTTACTTATTGCCAACACTGTCCCACAATTTGTGCCAGCGCACTACGTACTGTACGTACTATTATTAATAATACTACGTACTTCGAAGTATTGTTTATATTAATAGTTATACTTGTACTACGTATTATTAATAATAGTACTACTGTAGTGTCAGATTAATTGAGTTTTTGGATTATCATTTTTAAGACATTCCTCCGCAAGGGCCGATACTAGAACCACACGTTATGGAACTGCTTCGCCAATTGTAACGCGCCTGCTCCACCAGGGGCGGTGTGTAATCTTCGGTTTTTACTTCGCTCAACGCTTCACACCTCGTGCTTCGACCGATC